CACATCCTACAATTGTAAAATTTAAACAATGTTTATAAATCCCAGGCCCTGATGATGATCTCAATAAAGATCGAAACGTTGGCACGATAAAGAAAATGTTTTTCTAAAACCTACGTCACACTTGATCGCATCTCCAAATAATCATTCTAAGCACTCATAAACTTAGAGTTTTAATATATATAATTAAAATTTAATCAAATAAATGACCTCAATTTCTATCAACTTTTTCCCTCATCACATAACACTCCATTAAACCTTAAGCCTGGGGGCCTCGGTAGCCGAGTGGTTAAGGCGTCAGACTCTCGGCTAGTAGATCCCGCGATCGTGGGTTCGATCCCCACCGTCGCCTCTGGAATTTTTCTGACGCCTAAGGGGACCGGTGGGCGCAATTGAAAGAAATTGAAACAGCACTCATCAATGGAAGGAGCGAGATCAAAAAAAAAATTAGCCTTATAGCATTATAAGCCTTATATAGCATACAATTAATCAAGGTTTTAAGTTGAGATAAAAAAGTCAGTGTCACGAGCGGGATTCGAACCCACGACCTTCGGCTTGATACGCCGCTACTCTACCACTTGAGCATTCCTGACTTCGATCCCCTCGGGCACTAACTTCCCATCTCAGCCGCACCTTTTGAATTTTCCCTCCTTTTTGCCATTTTTCAAATGTCGTGTAATCGGATTGGATTCTCGACAATCAAATGAGATGGCCACGGAGAGCATTTGTGAAGTATACTTCATTTTAATTCATTAAGTTCAAGTTAAAAAGAAGTATACTTCACTATAGCTCTCCGTTGCTATTTCACTTGTCGCCGATAATCAAATAGATTACACATTTGAAAAATGGCAAAAAGGAGGGAAAATTCAAAAAGGTGCGGTTGAGATGGGAAGTTAGTGCCCGAGAGGATCGAAGTCACGATAGCTCAAGTGGAAGAGTAGCGGCGTATCAAGCCGAAGGTCGTGGGTTCGAATCCCCCTCGTGACACTGACTTTTTTATCTCAACTTAAAACCTTGATTAATTGTATGATATTAATTGGTCAAGCGGACCACGAAAAATAGTGAACCTATAAATAGCCTCATACTTCAAAATTGCAGGGTGAATTCTACGAACTTCTGCTTCCTAGCTGGCTTGTTTTAGGTCCTTGGCATCTGAGTTTTTAAAAATGACGAACCCATCTCTTTTTCTTCCCCCTTCCTTTTCTTTTCCCGTTTCCTTTTGTCTCTTTCCGATTTTCAAAAATTGTAGTTTTTTCGTGTTTCAAGTACATGTGGATATAGAACCAATTATGGCTTTATTTTCGCTGTTTTTTCAGGCAAAATCGTCAATGATTTCTTTCAGGATAGGCTGAAATTATTTTAACATTGACTCGATTTTTTTGGTTCGAAGTCGTTTATCCCCGTTTCAAGGGGGTTGAAATTTATTGCCCCGGCTCCGTAAAGCTGGGCGGAGATGAAAATTGGACATAGGGGGTGCCGTTCCGTCTGGGCGGGGCGGAAAGATGGGAAATAAAGACAAACAGCCCTCCTTCAGGAAAGACGGAAACCTCGGTTCCACGCAATTACCGGGCCGGGCATAAACCAGGAGTCCTGGCAGATAAATTGACAATTATGGCCTTGTTTCCCTCCGGCCCATACACCGCCCTGGCTCGGAGTTAAATGCGTCGGAAATCGGGAGTTACGGCCTTGAATTCTTCTTTATTTTCTTTATTTGTCTTTCTACTTTATTCTTTATTCTCTCTTTCTTTCGCCACGGCGAGACCAAGAGCCGGACCAATAAGACGCCAAGACACGACTGAAAAACAACCCCCTTCACCACTATTAACAGAATTGAAAAATACAACTTGCCCGCAAATTGAATTACTCGCCCTTTTTCCTTTAATTTTTCCCCTTTAGGATTTATTACTCTGCCAGTCTCAGCAGTAAAATCCTCTCTGTAATTCTCAATTTACATATTCTCGTACCCCCTTGCCCTGCAAATAAAATATAAAATCGAAGTCTACATAAAAATGCAAATAAATTATGTCAAAACACAAAATCTAGTTTGGTTTTTACTATTCTGGCCTATTGCCAAACATTCCCTGAAAAATTCTTGATCATTATAAATTTTCATAAATTTTTTAGACAAATATCGTCAATTTCTTAGCTTATAAACTTAGAAGAAATTTTAACCCTCATAAAATAAAAAATTTTCCTTTATTAATAAAACAAGAAGGGTTAAAAGAAAATAATTTATTATAACCCAACCCTAAAACAGAATGTTAATGATAAAAACAATGAAAAATCAGACACTCACCAAAACCAACCGTGAACTGTTAAAAACGGAAAGATATGGTCGCACTATGTTGAGCCAAAAAACTGAAAAAAATTTCATTTTGAACAGGATCTTTTTATTTCTTTATTTTTATTACAATGAGATAACCTGGAATTAAACAAATTTTACTGAAAGGAAAGATCTGGTGAACATTCTAACTTTAATGTAACGGTATACAGTGGTTACCTGAAATTTCATTGTCACCGGCCATTTTGTTCTGCCTGTCTTAGCTTTGCGCCATATTAAAAGATTGGTCTGCATGCTATTTTGTCCATCCTGTCCACAAATCCATCACTGAAGGAGGCATCTGAAAAATTAAAACAAGGATATTAGACAAGTATTGAAGACAATTCATGAAGATTATTAACGCCGCAAGAATCATGCAAAGAATAATATTTGAGCAGCTAAGGCCATAAGATTTTTTAAAATATAAAGTGGACCGATGTAGGTATAAATGTTAGCTTTCTAATCCTGGTCTACGGTCTACTTATTGTTGCGAATTTTTCGTTGTCAGATGTATTTTGGTGATTGTATGAGGGATGTTGGCTTGTGTATCTGTATTACAACCCAGGAAGTCTTACTCTCATATTTGCCATGTTAGCGGTTCTGGGTATAAATAACGGCATACACTTAGAATTTACTCTGGAGAAAAATTTACTTTCATAAAATTAAAATTTTTTGTATTAATAAAGCAAGAAGAGATATAGGAAAAAAATTTATTACAGCACAACATAAAACAGAATGTTAACGATGAAAACATTGAAAATCAGCTAATCACCAAAACAATTACTAACAATGAAAAGATATGATCACACTACAGGAAGACCAGAAAACTAAAACATTTTCATTTTAATCAAGAGCTTTTTATTGCTTAATTCTTATTACAAGAAGATAATCTGGACAACACATTCTGGATTAGTGTATCAAAAGATCTGTTGAACATTCAAATTTTTGAGATTGTGATTATATGTGGAGGTTATGAACATGTAAGTTTGTCATTACTCATCATTTTGTTCTTCCTGTACGTTCTGGTCTGTCTGACCATTTTATATGCCCGGTCCACAAACCGACACTGAAGAAGTTAAAAAGTTAAAACACATCTGGCAGGAAAAAACAGATAATTGTTGTGCTGTTATTGCTGTGCCAATGGTGCCTAGTATTGAGTAATAATAATAATTACAATTAATTAAGGTTTTTAGTTGAGATGAAAAAAAGCTAATGGCACGAGAGGGATTCGAACCCATGACCTTCGGCTTGATACGCCGCTGCTCTACCACCTGAGCTATCGTGACCTCGATCCACTCGGACATCAACTCCCCATCTCAACCCCACCTTATGAGTTTTCCCTTCTTAATTAATTAATTGTAATGTATTAATTGGTCAAGCGGACCATGAAATTAGTGAATTTAATAATAATAATTATGTGAACAACATAACAGCCAAGGTTGTAGGATTTTTCAATAAATAAAGCCAACTGATGTATTTATATATATATTAGCTTGATCATCCTGGCCTACGTATCCTTGTTTGTTTTCGTTATCAGATGTATTTCGGTCTTTAGATGCACGTGTTGGTGCGTACATTCACACTAGAACATAAGGGAATGCTGTGATTGAGTAATTGCAGAGTCTGACTCTAAAGTTAGTGGTTCTAGGTTCGAGACAAGCTTAGCCCTTGGAATTTTATTGGAGAAAAATTTGACAAAAGTATTGCAAAGTAATCAGACCCCTTATCCATAACACCCAAAGGCAATTGGATTGTACAACAGAAACTTTTTTACCTTTACTAATGAAGGGACCTAGAGGTACAGACCAACGTGGTGAAATGCATCTCACCGATGATAATATGCAGAATAGAATAGAAAAGGATATTTAATTTAAGACAATTAAGCTACATAATAATAATTTTATAGCATGGTTGTTTATTAAATTTTGGTCTGCCCATCTTTATTGTTCTGGTTTGTCAGGCAGCTTTTCGACATCATCTGTCATGTGCCTGTGTCTTTTCTAATGCCTATGTCTTACTGATAAGTTCTAACAATTCTAAATTGCTATTAAAAGTCATAAAAAGACTGGTTAAAAACTCAGACCAGTCACTACATCGACAACGTTTAAAATAAAATAAAAAATCGTATTTGACAAGAATCAATTCTTTCACAAGATAGAATATTTGAAGATGTGTTTCCCAATCAAAATAAGCATTTCAACAACTGTCAAAAAAAAAAATTTGAACTGTTGGGACTTTATCTAAGACAGCACATAGTGAAATCAGAACTGCAGCTATGAGAATGTCAGGCCAGAAAGCTGGACCGCATTTGAAATACCAAAACGGCGATAGGCAGACTAAAATGAACCACACCAAACCGTTTTACAGTTCTACATAAAGTCAAAAATATTGATCAGTTTATTAAAGTAAGTTAAATGAAACAAAACAATTTCAATAGGCATAGTAGATGGGTGAATATATCTATTCACTTTTTTTAAATGACGGTTCTAATTGCATATTAGTTGTTAGCAACTACAGTTGCTAACAACAAATCTGTGATTAGGGCCATCCTTTACGCACAAAAAAAATCAATTCCGCCTCTTTTACCCTGATTCTGTCAGTTAAAGATCACAAAATGTAAATAAAGTTCAGAGATTTCCTATTTTAGGGTTTTTTTTTGCTTTTCATTACTCAGTCACTTTTATATTTAAAGAAACAACATCGAAACATTGAAACATTGAAAAACGAACAATAATACTGCTTATTTAATTTAAAGCCTTATCTCACATCACTTGATGTATTGGTTTAATTAGAACGAATCAAATCAATACTATTAGTCTGCATGCTGGTATTGTCAAAAAGGGTAAGAAACTTTTTTTTGTTTTTACTTTGGATGTACAATTTACAAAAATGTATTCTATTTTATTGTTTGATTGTAATAAAATAACTGAAATTTTTTTTTAATCTCACAGGTTTTATTCTGTCTTAAATATCTCAATAAGCCAAGTTTTGACGACTTATAAAGGTTTATTTATACATAATTAATTTATAAAATTTATTGCAATGTATGCGTACTAAAATATATCTTTAAGGAGATGACAAAATTAGATAAAAAGTTTGGCCTTGTTATCTTGGCATTTCAATTAGCCATGATTATATGCTTTGCTAAAATAACAACTTACAATGATGATGATGAAGCTAAAAATTGCACTACACCAAATTATCAAAACAAAATGAACCACTATTACTCGAGTAAGCTCATATTGAATAAATCGATTTTACAGAAGAAAAAAATTTAGAAAAATTTTTAAAGTGTTTCAGGATGTGCAAATCATGATCCTGGTAGGGTTCGGCATGCTTATGACTTTTCTTAAGAAGTATTGCTACTCCGGCGTCAGCCTCAATTTTCTCATTTCTGCCGTTACATTCCAATACGCTATTATATGCTCGCGGATTGAAGGCCCAGTCAAGATTAATATAGAAACGTTGGATCTTTCAGTACCAATCTTTTATGTTTTGTCGGATCGAACCTTTTTGAATTTTTTTTATTTTACTTTGGTCGATGCTGATGTTTTGACAGCTGCAATTCTCATTTCACTAGGCGCCGTCTTAGGTAAAGTCACACCGCTTCAAATTCTTCTTATGGTAATCGTTGAAACGCCTATTTTGGTTGGGAACAAATACTTCTCTAATCTTCTTCAGGTATTCTAATTTTTGATCAAATTGATTTGTGTTAAATACAACTTTTTTATTTTAAAGGTTGTTGATGTAGGAGGGTCGATTACAATACATACTTTTGGAACTTACTTTGGACTTGCAGTTAGTAGAATAATAAGCAAACCAAAAAACACTAAATTAGAACTGTCTTCATATAACTCCGATATGTTTTCAATCATTGGTATGTTTAAAAATATTATTTTTTATGTTATTATACTCATGATTTTTACATTTAGGAGCATTGTTTCTATGGGTTTTTTGGCCTAGCTTCAACAGTATCTCAAGCAGCAGTGATAAAGCTTATGAACGGGCAATTTTAAACACTTACCTTTCTCTAACCGCATCGTGTATAATCTGTTTTGCTTTGTCCTCATTGACCGACGTCAAATACAAGTTCAACATGGTATTTAAGTAATGATTAATAAAATAATTACGGAAATGACGAATTGATAATTAATTTTAGAACCATGTACAAAATGCAACCCTGGCTGGGGGTGTAGCTATCGGCACAGTTGCAGATCTGAAAATACCTCCTTGGACATCAATTCTGATTGGTAGCATCGCCGGAGCTATTTGTGTAATCGGTTTCGTTTATATTCAGGTATATTTATTCATAATTAAAAAAGATTTGTAGCTTGATCGTTATGATCATCCTGGTCTGGCTATTCTCACAATTTACACAATAGGCACAAACTGAACCATTAAAGAGGGCAATAATAGACCAAGTTTCTTCTGTTTATAATTTTATAGGCAATTGTTATTATTGTGAGATTCTTTTTGAGGTTGTTTCTAATTGTTTTGGCCTACCTAACCTCCTATGTTTTCATAAGTCAGTTGTGATTCAGCATTTTATCTCTGAAATGGTCAGTGATCAGCCTTCAACATTATAATTTTATATTCAAAAACATTCAGAGGTGAGACCAATTAAAAAGACAAAATACTCAGTTCCTTTATTTTTAGCATTTTGCCATCTTCATTGGTTTGTTTTAACCTGTCTTTTTGTTGCTTTTAATGAAATGTTAAAATGGTTAGAACATATCAGAACATTATAAGAAAAATCAAAGTATTAAATAATGTGTGGTGATTAATGACCATTAATCGATGATTATTCAGAAATCATGAGATAGAATAGAATAAGATAAATATGAAGCCTGGTGACATTCATGTTACATACTAATTATTTAATACAATTATTCAGAAATTGTGAGATGTGGTCTGGTGTGATGTAGGTTTCAGAAAAACATTTTCTTTATTGTGTCGTTTCGATCTTTATTGAGATCATCTTCAGGGCCAGGAAAACAGCAATATCTGACTGGCCCTCTCAACACGACACGCAAGAATGGTACAATTACTCAGAAAACAAACGCTTTGAGTGAGTAGAAATACTTTGATTGAATATAAAAAATCTATTTTGCATTGTATAAATTCACTTTTTCCCACATCCTACATGTATTTGTAAAATTTAAACAATGTTTGTAAATCCCAGGCCCTGAAGATGATCTCAATAAAGATCGAAACATGGGCATGATAAAGAAAATATTCTTCTGAAACCTACATCACACCAGACCACATCTCACAATTTCTGAATAATTGTATTAAATAATTAGTATGTAACATGAATGTCACCAGGCTTCATATTTATCTTATTCTATTCTATCATTGTTGTATGTTTCATTGGTCAAATGCATTTCAACATTTCAACATTTTCAGTGTTTGGTCTATGCGTTTCTTTGTACTCTTTCATTAGATATAAGTAAAGTAATTCCACATACAGGAATGTTTAAAGTAAGTGGTCTGAATACTTTAAAATAATTTTGTCAAATTATTCGCAAATAAAATTCCAAGGGGTATGCCAGGATTTGAACCCAAAACTGCTAACCTAAGAGTTGGACTGCCTAATGTTAACCACCACAGTCGCTTAGGTTCTAATGTAGACTCACAACAACCCCTTATCTGAAGATCAAAATACATCTGACAACCAAAACAAGCTAATAACGGTCAAGCTAATATATACATACATTCGTCAATTTTGTTGAAAAATCTTCCAGCCTTGACTGCACAGATATTGTTTTTTGCGTGATTCCTGTGGTGTTAATAATTTACATACCTCAATACCAGGCACCATTGTCACACAAATCAGTACAACAATCTGCCAGATGTGTTTTAGCTTGGTGACTTCTTCAGTGTCGGGTTTGTGGACAGGACATACAAAATAACATGCAGACCAATCAATAAACATCGTAAAAAGTGTCTGACAGACCAAAATAGCACATTAAAAAATGACCAGTAATGACCAATTGCAGGTTCATTATCCCCGCACACAATTATAACCTTAAAAAATTTGAATGTTCAACTGTACTTTTGATGCAGTAATCCATATTAATAAAAATTGAGCAAAAAAGCCCCTGATTAAAATTAAACTTTTTTCCGTTTGTTTGGCCCCCCATAATGTGACCATATATTTTAATTTTTAAGAATTCACAGTTGGTTTTGGTGAGTAGTTCTTTTTTTCATTGTTTTCATCGTTAACATTCTATTTTACTGTAAGGCTCTAACGGATTATTTTCTTCTGTCATTCTTGCTTTATTAACAAAGAAAAATGTTTATTTATGAGTCAATTCCAAGAGTTGTGCCATGATTCGAACCCAGAAGCGCTAATGCACCAAACATGCGGTGAAATAAAAACATAACCAAAATACATCTGACAGCCAAAACGCACAGATTGATAAAAAGTAGACCAGGATGATCAAGCGAAATATGTTTTCTTTGGTTATTCAACTAAATAATTTTTTTATTCAAAAATCTTCCAGCCTTGGCTGCTCAAATATTGTTCTTTGCATGATACTTGTGGCATTAATAATCTACATGGAATGACCTCAATACTAGCCGCCGTTGTCGCAGCAATTACAGCAGGGCAAGCTTCAAAAGAACTTTACGGAGACGAGTAAAAAAAAAAAATTAATAATGCTTAAAGTAATTTAAAACAGTTCATGCCAATAATAAAACAGGTTTGAAGTATTATTTCCTGCAATGGGCTCCCATGGGAACAATGGCATTCTGGACGCTACGAACAGAACTGCCGGAATGCAGGCAGCGTATCAAATACTCGTCCTTGTTCTGACATTGATGATCGCCATTACAGGAGGGAGCATTGCTGGTGATTCTGGATTGAAATCATATTCTGTGCCAGTTTTCGGCTAATAGAAATAAATTTTCAGGTATTTTGATCAAACTTGGGACACAAGTCGTTGGATATGTTCCAGATGAGTTCATTTACGACGACAATTTCTTGTTCAGTGATGTTGACGACAATGAATCTTCCTTTAATAAAAGAATTTCAGCAGTAAACATCATCAGTGAAAGTATAAATTAAAAAACTACCAATAGTAGTCTAGTATATATTTTAGATATATTTTTAACCATTTAGCATTTTACAAACTGTAGAGTTAAAGGAAAATATATGTTTTATGCATAGAAGAATTATTCCTCACGTTTTTTTTTTTTTTTTTGTTAATTTTAGAGGATTTAAAAAGGTGGGTTTGAATGTAATAAAAAAAAAGCCATTAGCCTTTGGCCAGTTATGATAATATTTCATACTAATCAATTTCACAAATATATAATATTTTATTTTATTTATAAAATAAGAAAAGAGAAAATCTGATATATGAACAACAATACCAAAGTATTTGAACCTTAAAAATCAATGTGTCATTTTCTAGAAACACTTTCAATATAAAAAGAGTTGGTGGAAGTAAAAAACAAAGAGAAAAAAATTCGGAAAGACCGATTTAAGAATAATAGTTGTACCCTCCCCAGCTTTGGTTGCTGTTGTTGTAATTTGACTGAGAGTAATAATTTTGGTAAGAATTCTGGTCAGAAGCGCTGTAGCTGCTATTTTGACTGGGCTGGTTGTAGCTCTGCTGCGAGTACTGGCCGCTACCTTGGTATGAGGATGAGTAAGTTGTGGGAGGGTTGCTGTACGTGGACGAGCTGTAGCTGTTTGAGCTTAACTGGCTGTCTTTTTTCTTCTCGTCGGATTTTGCTTTGTCGTCGGACTTTTTGTGCCGCCTCGCCTCCTTGAGTTGTTTCATTATGCTGAAGTATTCAGTCTGTGCCTTCTGTACCGACTCGATGTCGAAACCGAAATCCTCGAGGAACTCGATCCGCCGTTGTGCAAATATTAGTTTGTCTTCGATATCGACGCTCTCCCGTTCTATGATCCTGTCAAACACCTTTATGCATTCGTTCTCATCAGAATTCGGCTCGAGCATAAGCAAGTCTAAGAGTTGTACATAAAGCCGTATGTCATCGGGGTTTTTGTCTATGGCTCTTTTCAAAACATCGACCCCTTTACTCGGATCGTTCAATATTTTCCAGCAGAACCTAGAATATTTAACTGATAGTGTGACAAAGACAGACCTGCTTTTTGTATTGGCTAAGTAATATTCGTAGAGTTGACCCGCCTCTTCTAAATTTCCTGAACGCCTTTCTAAGTTGATCCTCCTCAGATGGACTAACATCATGCTAGGGACTTCTTTTTCAATTTGAATCAAAACTCTTCTAGCACCTTCGACATTTTTATGGCATTCTTCAAAAGAAGCCCAATTGAGCGCCAGATACGGTTTCTTCGGGTGATGGATCAGACAAGCCCTCTGATAAACTTTGCGTATCTCTTCCTCTCGATTGCCAGGCAGGCTTTCCAGATATTTAATATACTTGACCCAAAACTCCTCGTAAAGAGCGCAAGCAATTAAACACCTTTCAAAAAGAACGACTGTCCTTTTTTCTGAGCCTACTCCAATTTCATAATCTAAATATTCTCTCCATGTGTTTAGCTGGCACCTTTCAAGCGGTTTGACATGAAAATAGGGCCGTTTTATTCCCTCTTCATAGTTCCACCTTGTAATTACTTCAGAAATAGTGTCTTTGAAAATTTTCTTGCCTATTGAAATAATTTTATCTCTCATGAGAGCAGTCTCTTCATCTGTGTGAGCGGATTTCGGTTCCTCCTCGCCGTCGCTTTCGTCTCCAGGAGGAGCTGCAGTCGGTTCCAGAATAGGAAGTCCTTTTTCTTTGATTTTCTGAACCACTTCAGATCTCAGTTCAAGAAACTCATCGACTTTGAGAATTTTATTAGGATGGTGTGACCGGACAAAATCCTCGTAAGATTCAAAATGTGTCTTGTATCCTTGTGTTGGAGTAGCTAAAAGACGGTGGTACAGTGCATAAGCATTCTGATAGTTTTTAACCTCCATTTCCCATTTGATGTAACAGTCCCAGAGCCTGTCGGATCGGAATTCGAGGCCGCATTGTTCAATCGCCCTCTCAAACTCAGCCCTGAGCTTCTCCTCATCGTCCTTCATCAGAGATTTGCAGAAGTTTAGGTAGTGGAGCCAAAGGTCCACACTGAGCGGGATGGCGTTGAGACCGCGCTCGAAAACCTTCTCACATCTGGTCAACTCCCCGCCTTTTCTCTTCTCGTAATCGGCGTACTTCCTCCAGTAGCCATAGCAGTACGGATAATGCTGGAGAAACTTGTCGTAGGCCTCACGGGCCGCATCGACATCATTCTCTTGATCCACATATTGCAGGAGGTATGTCCAACCTGTGAAGTCAGAAGGATCTTCTTTCACCGCCTTCCAATACTTATCAAGCTCGGGTAGCATCCTACTACTGGACAAGGAGCGTTCCTTTTCCTTCCTTGAAACAGGACTTTCACTGTCTCTGCTTCTCTTACTAGAATCTGGAATTTCAAAACTTAATGAAATACAACCAGACGTTCAAGATATAATTAATTTTTAAAAAATAAAATGTATTTCCTAATAGAATTAAAAAAATGTTACATTCACCTTTGTCCTTTTCTGGCTTAACTCGTTTGTCAGAATCGGAAGAGTGCCTTCGGTGTTTGCGCTTCTTCTTCACAGGTGGGAGTTCGTCCTCAGAAACGGCTTCAGTATCGAGCAGTTCAGCCTGTGTAGGCCCGGGCAGTTCCTCGTCAGAGACCGCCTCCGTATCAAGAGGTGCTTTCGGACCGTCTGACGGGAGCTCATCCTCAGAAACCATTTCCGTATCATGATGCTCAAGCATATCGTTCACCTCGCCCTCTTCAGAGTCAGGTTTATCACCACTTGGTCTTTCCTCTGAGACTTCCTGAAAGAAAACAGCAAACAAAATTAATCTCGTAGGTTAATTAATGTGAATAATTGTTGAATCGATTATATTTCAACATGAAATCAATTGAAAATAATTTTATAAATACACTTTTAGATATTTTTCTTTGTTAAGATGTTCGTTGCTACACTGAATATGAGAATTATATCCCAAATAAATGAGGAATTACAGCTTCTTGAAGTTATTCAGCATGCTTGAATACAAACCTTGATAATCTTTGTTTGGCATCTTAGTTTTGTTTACCTTTTTCAAATTATTTCAAAGCAACTATGAATAACTCTTGCCCTGTTTACAGTCTGTATTTGGCTTTTATTGTCAGAAGTTCTGTCTTTTTAAAAATGTATTCATGGATGACCAAGCATTGGAAAAAAGCAGCTATTTGGAGTGTTTCGAAAACTTACAAGATTAAAAGTTTTAGCAGTCTTGTTCCGAGGGTTATGACTAATCATGGCAAAAAGAATGTCTAGTAAATATGGAATTATTGTTGGATAATCCAGATTTCTTGCAAAAAAAAACACTGTGGACTGATGGGTGCAAATTTACAAATAATGGGATTATCAACCAATGGAATTTTGGTACATGAGCAGAGGAAAATCCTAGAATGGAATAACCCACCTCCAAACTTTTTCGTTAATATTTGGTATGCTTTGATTTATAATTAATCAATTGGTCCTTATTTTTAAGGAGCTCCAGACATGCGGTATTCGCCGAATGTTGATTGCCACCGAACATTTGCCAAGTCTCAAGATGCTAATCTTGGTATTCGCCAAATAAAGCGCTTATGTATACACACATTCAGGTTTTGTATATATATTATACAGGGTGAGTGACCAAGACCTGAGAGGTTAAATGCCTGGGTAGACTCGTACCCCATCCTTAAAAGGAGGACTTGGTCGGCTCGTGTGTCCTGCATAAATCTCTTGGACCTGTTCACAAACCCCAAGATTTTGGACCATTTTATCTCAGGGAGTGATTTGGTGATGTCCGCTCCTTCAAAGATTTCAAATCTGGACCTAGCATACCTATCACACTCTGTGAGGTAGTGCCTTGCCGTTTCTTCTTTTATTTCGCAAAAACGGCAAAAAGGATTTTGTGGAATACCCATTATGGAGAGATGTCTTCCCAGTGGGCAGTGGCCCATGAGAATACCTATCAGCCTCCTAATTCCCTTCCTTGAGTTAGAGAATAGCCATTTCGATTCTGCTAGTTTAATCACCTTAACGAACTCTTTCGATTGCTTGTGTCCGGGGGATAAATTCCACTCCCTAAGGAATTGTTTCATGCCCCAGTTGTTAATACTCTCTTTCGCTGTGCTCATAGAGTGAGGTCATACCGGTTGTGGCCCAACACAACTTGATAGCAAACATACGTCAGACTCAAGAAAGTGCCATGTACATGCACGAGAAATACAGAAAATTAAGCATGCCACGGAATACGGCAAATTGAACTCAGCACAACCAACTAGGCGTGAGCAAGCCCTAACTATGCAAATTGAAACTGAAAGTGCCATAATTACAACACCAATAAATGATGAACTCTGCACTAATTAACCAACACCACCTAACAGTGATGAATAATAAAGTGTCAGTATAAGTGTTCGTGTGTCAATCTAAGTGACAGCGCAATCAAAACAAATGAAAATACATTAACGACATATTAAATTTAATTGTACGTTAACATATTGTAAACATATATGTAGTTTATTGTATATGTGATAGTACGTACGAGGGATGCCCTTTCTCTCCTGGGCGGGGTTCAGTGTATGGGAAGATTAGGCACCCCTCATTAGCACATAAGAGTATTGTAAGCTGCAACCCTCATCGTATCCCAACCAGGCACCTCCCCGTGGTCCATCCTGGGCACGGCTGCAGCCGTGGCTAACGCCTGGTGAGGGTTGGGCCTTCAGGGGTATATGGTTGCACAACCATCCTGTGTAAGTCCGGAAACAGACATAGGTACAGGCAGCCTTAGACCTTTGAAGGTTTTGGCCCAACAAACGCAGTATTAGAATCTTTGGCCAGGCTATCCACTTCTTCATTGCCATGGTGTCCTTTATGTGCTGGTATCCAAATAAGGGTTACCTTGTTCTCAAACCTGGAAGAGATCCTATTGATAAGATCTACAGTTTCCTCCACCAGTCGTGAGGTTGACAAATCTTTTTGTAATGACCTAAGACTAGCCTGACTGTCAGAAAAAATTCTAATATCTTTTCCCTTGTTATATTTTCCATAAGTGTTCTACAACTACAATTCGGAGTTTGTACAACCACTCAGTTTGTACAGAAATAGCAAATATGTATTTGCCAAGAGCCATGAGAGTCCTCAACTTACTACCGATTGTGATGGACAACAGTGAAACTGTCACTCTGCAGCTGTCGCTACTGTTTTGTGTAGTGGTCAAATCAGTCACTGTGATTCGGAAGAGAAGCATTCCAAATTATTGGTTCAGCTTGGTACAGATGAAGTAACTCCCAGACTGATTGTTGGGCCAATCCAACAACTATTCCTAACCAACAGAAACAACCCTACATTCTTTCATTAATGAATCAGTGCTAATTAGTTATTGTTTATTATTGAAAAAGAAATACTGACTATTGATTGATTATTACAGTTGATATACAGTTCCCTAATGTCTGGAAGATTTGAGTTCAGTTAATTCACGAACACTTGTGCACTCACAAGAGGGCAAGAAAACTGACAATTAGCCAAACAAGGCTAGCACCGAATATTGTTGCATAAATCATGCGGCTTTAAACGATCTTTTGGGGCATCGGTGGTGATTAACACAGTGCTCATCACTGTAAGGTAAAGGTCACGGGTTCGAATCCAGCGGCCCTGAATTCAAACCCGACATACTTACGAATGGGCTTTTTTCCAAAACACTGGCACCCTGAGGGTTTATAAGACCTCTGCTGTTGCGAATCCTCGTTAAAAAAAAAATAATGGTCTTTCCTTGTCCGAGCACCAAAATTCTGGAACCCTCCTTCTAACTATCTGCAAAGCCGGGTTAAAGCAGTGGCGTATTGAGCTGAAAGTCGTGAGTTCGAATCCCTTCTTTTCATCTCAACCAAGACCTTATGTCCAAAATAATAATTGAAATTGGTATTAAAAGTAAAGTGAAAAGGAAAACTTGTATTTATTTTGCATCAACCTAAAACAGCTAGAATACGTTGCATTCAAACTGAAAAATCATGTAAAAACTTTACTTCTTTTTAATTTAGTTAAATTAATTAAGTGAGGAATGTACTAAATATAAAAAGCAAAATTAAGATTTAAAAAAACCTTTGTTTGGTTTGTGTCTGAAGTGAAGTGAGCTTCGTTGGGTCGGTCCTTTGCCGCCTGTGCAAGCATTTGAACATCGTCGGTGTCAGTGGGTTCCGGCATAGGTCCTTGAACGGGTTCCTCTTGAGTCGGTTCGTCCCGCATGGGGTCTTCTCCAAGAAAATCTTTTTCATTCATGCCAAGCCTTTCGGTCTCCATGGGGCCGAAGTCTTCTTGTAGGGGCTCCTCTTCTTCCGGTTCTTCTTCGACCGTGGCCTTCCGCTTGCTGCGGCCCCTTTTCGGCTTTCGGCCCCTCGGCAACTTCTTCTTCACCGGCTCATCTTCATCGTCGTCTTTGTGCTCATCTGCCGGCCGGCCTCTCCTCCCGCTACGGCGCAGGGCCGGCGCCTCGTCCTCGGCCCTTTCGACTTCGGCGTCCATCGTCTCGGTCGCTTCCTCTTCGCTCATCATGACAACTTTCTCGACGGTGATACGACGAAGAAGAGATGCCGAAACAAAACAAACCTTTGCCGCTGGAGGTTACTTTGCTGCATGGATCGAACGCTCTCCACCTAGCGCTGCCGTGAGCGAAGTATCCTCGGCCCTGTCATGCATCACCAAAGTCGACAGTTCATACTTATAATAATATATATTTTTCCAGAATTAATCCAATTTACAAAAAATGTTTAAATATAGAAATATAAATATAACAATATAAAAGAAAAAATAAAAACCACAGGAAAAATTACTTAAATATTAAACAATATGTCTATCTACATAATTCACTTGAATAGAATAAATTTTTATTTGTACATGTGCACAACAATATATACAATAATTTTAGAATGTAGGGAAAGTGAAAGTAACAGGGCACACAAAGAGCCTGATAAATTAGCCAAGGAAAGTTCGACGAGGACACCTATTGGCCCTGAACCCGTTTGTGGCATATCAAACTGCCAAAAACGCAGATCTTGCTAGGATCTATAGGATCTAGACTAATAGTTGTACTGCTGACTGGACACTACAGACTCCGTAGGCATATGTATACACTTGGAGTGGCAGAAACAAGCCTGGTTTTTTTTTTATATTTACCAGGAGATGGCACTTGTCCACCGCAACTGATGAAAGACATTATGGAACACAGCAAGTCTAAACACCTAGAACTAATCATAGGATGTAATGCGAATGCCCACCATATAGTATGGGGCAGTAAGATCATCATTACGAGAGGTGAATGCCTTTTTTCTTTACTGGAGAGGGTTTAGAAATAGCCAACCGTGGCTCAGAATTTTCCTTCGTCAACCGTAATAGGGAGGAAGTACTTGATGGTACACTAAGCAGTTGACGCGGTGACATACATTACGAATGGGCATGTGTCAAATGTGCCATCTTGCTCTGACCATAGACACTTAAGATTTGATCTTACTATTCCCCCTCTAATACTTGCAGCATACCATAATCCTAGAGAAACCAATTGAGTGGGCTATATAAAATCCCTCAAACACTCTCTTAGGGATGCTAAGGTTAAAATTTGAGGTAGGACCTTGACCTAGCAGTTTAGGAAGAAAATGATGGAATTCTGCAAGCTTTTGAAAGCAATTGCTCTGAAATGACAAGGAATAACAGAACCAAAACCATCTGGTGGAGCAAGAATCTGGAAAAAATGAGATGACAGGTAAGATGGCTGGAGAGGCAGAAGGCATTCTTGGAGGAAGTTCTGTCAGGAGGTCAGAAAAGCTCCTGACTGCACCAGAATTCATAGAGCGTTGCCCAAAGAAGGTACTGGAGACAGTTAGGCTTCATTCGAAGACCAAATGGAACTTTTTCAGAGACAACAGAAGAAATTCTATCCATGTTAATTAGTCAACACTTGCCAGGGTAAATAATAATATCCGGAGAGAAGCAGCCCACTAGTTCTCCAAAGAGGGCTGGAAGAATGCACCTAAAATAGTAATAGCCATATACTCAGACAGCCAGGCGGCACTGAAGGCAATTGCCGCAATGACGGTAAAGTCCAGAGTCGTTTGGAACTGCATTAGAGCCCTGTCAGACGTTGGACAAAATAACAAAATTACCCTTGTCTGGGTGCCAGGGCAAACATGGTAACGAAAAGGCCGATAAATTGGCCAAGAAAAAGAAGACACCTATTGGTCCTGAACCCTTTTGTGGCTTACCAAACTGGCAAAAGCTCGGATCTATTATACACTTGATTACTAGTAAGTCTTTCGCTCAATGGAAATGTAGCCCAGGACAGAGGCATGCGAAAAAATCATATCAATGGACCATTGCTGAACTACTTAATCTAGGACATGCTAGGACTAGAATAATAGTTGTACAACTGACTGGACACTGCAGACTCCGGAGGCATATGTATACACTCGGAGTGGCAGAAACAACCTGTGCAGATATTGCCAAGAAGAAGAAACAGCCAAACATGCCCTCTGTTGGCACAAAGGCCTATATAGGCTGAAAATCATAATGCTGGGAATAGAAAAGCCAGGGCCTGAAGGATGGGGGGTCTGGTAAAAAGCCGTAAGCTTAATGAGGAGCTCTAGATAAAAAAAATAGTGGAGATGCTCAATGGATCAATACTGGTCACAGTGCACAGGTCATAAAGAGAGCCGGCTCTACATTATCTAATCTATTAGGTATCGATGAGATCTTGCCTTCCTCTATGATCTTGAAGAGTTTTTAAATTTAGAAATTTAAGTCAGTCGATGGCTTTAATTTTTTTGGACGTTTTGGTGAACTGCAAGTTTAATGTATTTTTGAAAATAGGGGCTCCAAATACTGCTTGCAAACTCTGGTATGTGCTGAACGTAGGAATTTCAGGAGAAGGGACAGAAATGTGCATTCAACTTGGCAAGCTTTTTTTTTACAATGTCCAGGGTATGTTTATTTCACTTTGTCTTCTGATATTGTCATCCCCAAGTCTTACTGAAATGTAGAAGCCAAAGAAGCACCATGAAGTTTGTAAAATTTATAAGATCTAGATTTTCGAATTTTATTGTAAGGGTCTTTTTTTTGGGGTAAAAACCCGTCCATTTTTGGTCAAAAAATACTAAAAACAGTCCATTTCTCTTTATACGTTCTGAAACACTGTAAAATGAATTGAAAAAAGACCACTGGATAAGATAGAGAAGTCATAGGTCAGGAAGGATCTAGCAAGCCCCCTCCACAACTTTGGTCTCCCTCCACTGACCAATACGACTACAAAAGCTAAACAGCTTCTTCATTTTGTCTCTTCCTCGCTACGTTCAAAAATGCTGACCAGGGGTGCCTTTATCGTCGCCGTCTGCCTCGCCTTTGTGGCAGCAGAACAAGTCCAATTTCAATATTGTTCAACCAGGGGTGAGTTTAATCTATATATAATTTTGTTTAGTTTCCAATTTTTAAAAATTTAGTACATCTCGGGTTTTTCGACATTTTAAGTCGCTACCGCATGTAGTATATATCTCGAATGAAATCTCTGTATTTATATTATAAATAATCTGCATTTTTAAAAAAATCTACAGTCTGATCATTACTGTACGCAATTCTAAGGCAGTAAGTTTATTAATTCTGCTTAAATATTAACATATACAATATTTTTAAAAAGCCCGTTGATTAAGTTTTAGTAAATCCCTAAAAGAACATACGAAAACGAATGGAGTTCAAGCAATAAAAGGCTGATTTAAGAATTGGCGTCATTTTGAACAGCCATCCCTCCTCTTTCTTTCATTCCCACTCTCGAAAATACTTAATTCTAAAAAACACTACAACGTATTTGTACTTTGTTTTCTACAAATAAATTCTGTACGAAATGGTCTATTTTTAAACGGGCGAATTGTTTCGTCACTTTATTCTATGAAGGAATAGAGGGCATTTCGAAGGGACAAAATCGTTCGTGCTTCAAACACTTCGTGGTAGTTTTAACTGTTAACAGTCTTGGACAAATAAGCAGCACGGCTGCCATGGATCTGATTTATGCTTTTATTTACTGTTTCCTGCTTTGCATACTTTAAAAAAAAATCTAGATATGCCCTTTAATCCATTTACAAAGTAATGATGGCCCAGAGGAATATTTCACATAGATTCTCATATTATTTACAAATATCATCGATCCTTTGCCCAATTTATTCATATTAAACTGCGTTATTGTATGATGATTTAAGTCTTTATTAGCCTCCTGTGATTTACAGTAAACGATTTTGTCAATTTTGTTATTAAGGTTGTATTATTATTATTATTATTATCTGTTTTGTGAACATTTGATATTCTAAAAAATAAATTCTGTACAAAATGGTGTATTTTATAAATTTAATTGTTTCGTCACTTTCTTCTGTAAATTCTCGATGATACAGGCAGGTTCGAATTTTAAACACCTGTGACCAATTCAAGATAATTTTAAAAGAAAATTCATATCTTTTAATAATTTTTTTTTATATATTGTGGTTTACTCATGAAGGAATCGAAGGAATCGTATTTTTTTTTTTTTTAGATTTTCTGAGCTTCTGTTGCTTTGTCTATTGAATTTGTTTAAATTTACTACATGATTTCATGGTTTATATTTTTATGACTTTTCTGAGTTCCTAAGACTAGTTCAGGGTGGATTTGCCCATTTTTCTTGTTTTTTTATTTATCGAGCCCCTTTTAACTGACTTTGCTCATATTTTTTATATGATTTCTTCTCGATTTTCTGAGGAAAATCATTTATATTTTTTGTTTGTTTGTTTTTATTGTTGAGCTCCTGTTATTTCGTTAATTTAACTTCCCTATAATTATTATATTTATATCATTTCATTTCATTTCAATTTTCAAAGGATTGTTCATATACGTTAATAATTTTTTTTTTATATATTGTGGTTTACTCATGAAGGAATCGTAAATTTTTATAGATTTTCTGAGCTCATGTGAACTATGACCTGTTTTGGGTTGATTGTTTGCTAAGTTCCTGTGTCTTTGTTAATTTAATTTGATAATAATTATTATTAAATCCATTATATTTTTTGGTCTGATTGACTAAATAACTTCTTTCAATTAATTAATCTTTTTATGTAAGGTATTGGTTGAAATGAAAACCTAGTGTCACGAACAGGATTCGAACACACGACCTTCGTTGTTCTTATTTTCTGTTGTTCTTATTCTTAATGTTCTTATTTCTTAATATTTTTTTTCTTTTATGGTTTACTTATAATTTTTTTTCGGATTTTTTAACAGATTTTCTCAGCTCCTGTGACAAATTCAATTTCACCCATTTTTGTTCATATTTGATTATTGAGCTGTCCAATAATCAAATTATATTTCGATTTTCTATGTCTGGTACATTATATTTGTTAATGATTTTTTTTTTTTAATGTGTGGTGTTTAGTGACCGTTAGTTAATGATTATATGGAGATCGTGAGATGCGGTCTGGTGTGACGTAGTTTTAAGAAAAACATTTTCTTTATAGTGCCAACGTTTCGATCTTTATTGAGATCATCTTCAGGGCTCAAAGTTCGTTTTCCGTTTAGATGTCTCATTCTTCTGTGTCGTGTTGAGAGTGCCCAATGACACATCTACACGGAAAACACACTGAGCCCTGAAGATGTTCTCAATAAAGATCGAAACGTTGGCACGATAAAGAAAATGTTTTTCTAAAACCTACGTCGCACCAGACCGCATCTCACGATCTCCATACAATGTTTTTTTTTTAAATTTTGGTTCATTCCTAAAGATAACAACTCGCCAGTTTAATTTTCCGAGCTGGTGTGAATTGTGACCAGTTTTCTGGACTCCTGTTGCTATGTCAATTGAAGTTTATTAGATGATTTCGTTTAGATTTTCTGTATCTGGTCCATATTAGTTAATTTTTTTATTTTTTGTTTTGTGGTGTATTCGTGAAAGAATGGTCTATTTTTTAGATTTTCCGATTGGCTCGAAGGTTTAAGATGCTTTTGCCCATTTTTGTTCATTTTTAAACTTCCGTCAATTAAATTTGTTTATATTTATAAGAAAATTTTCAATTTGATTTTCTGCGTACGATCAATATTTATCTTAGCTCATGTGACCAGTTATCAAGAAATTTAAGTGATTTTGAGACCAATCACCAAATTCAACAATTTTGTTGTTTTCGTTCGTAGTTTTATAAAACGCTTGGGAAACAGATTTCTCAAGCTTGTCACATCCATTTTCTGACCTGTTTTTCTTCAAAAGAAGAAAGGTACCTGTACCTGCTTTTGGGTCTTCCTTTTGAAAAGGGACCCTCGCCATTGTTATCAGAACCTAGCCTTTTTACTTTTTGTGCATTTCTCAAGTTGTAAATCTTAATGGACACACCGTTTTCCTTTTCGTCGGAAAAAAATGTCTGGTTCATTATTTTCACGGATGAGGTCGAAATTGCGTTTCGCACAAACACTATCAGTCGAATTGTTAGATATAGCTAATTATCAAATGATTTAATCTCATCTCCGGTCTACACTCGGTTAGAAAACAATCTGACGGGAAAAATTTATGATTCTAAAAATCTTTATCGCCCTCGGCCCGCAGGAACGATTGTAGACAAACGGATCTTTTGTCCCGCCAGTTGACTCAATGGACACATCTTCCTTTTTTTTTTTGTCTGACCTTAGCACTTCCCCATTTATGATTTATCTCATGGGGGTCAAAAGCTAACACTCGCGTAGCGCATGAATTGCCATATTCTATTCAAAGACAGCCAAGAGCACAGACGTCATTTTTACAAGTTGATTTACAATCTATAATCGACTATTAAAGGAAAACGACCAGTTTTTAAAATTTAAAAACGTTTAAGATATTTATTACAAAAAGAATCTAAACCAATGTTCTGAGAGTACCAATTAACCTCAATCATAGCTTGAGACGTGTTGAGTATCTACATTTAAACAAGACCATATTTAAACCTAGGTTTTCTTGTGGAATGAATTTTTTTTTAGAATGAAAGTGCTATACCACCTACCATTTACTGATAATAAATTAATGATTTTATTAAAACAATGTCTCCATTTGGTCTAGGGACAAAACAATTTAGGTTAGGTATAAGTTTGGCTGATACATTGGCCAAAGAAAGTTCAGTCAGGACACTATTACCCCTGAACCTTTTTTGCACCGTACCAAATCGTCAAAAATGTACATCCATCAGACAATGCTTTAAGCAGTCATTGGTTCGATATAAATTCCAGAAGAGGCATGTATGTTCCGTGAAGGATCGTTGCAGAAACTAATGGCAGAACTATTAAACTTAGGACGTGTTAGAACTAGAGGAATATGTCCTCTATTCGTGCAAATGTTTATGTAGGCTGAGATTTGCTCTCCTTGGAAAGGAAAACCTAAGCCTGAAGAATACGCAAAGGATTGTGTCGACAACATAAAAATCGTTTCTTCAGGCTAAGAAGCTGAACATAGTTTCTTTGTTTAAAATCTTATATTTCTAAAATGCACAAATTTTATAGTTTACATTCTATTGTAGACATGAAGGAAACAACCCTATTATGGATTTTATGAGATCCTGCGACTAGTTCAGGATTCGTCAATGTTCGAATATTCATTAAGCTTCTCTGACTTTGTCAGTTAAATTTGTTTATTCATTATGAAATTTCAATTCAATTTTATGCAGATGGTCTATGCTTATTATTATTTTTTATATTGCGATTTACTCATGAACACATTTTCAGATCTTATGAGCTCCTGTAAGCTGTTAGTTCAGGATTGATTGGTTATTATTTGATTGTTTCCTGAGCTCCTGTGATTTGTCAATTGTGTTTACTAAACGATTTTCTGAATCTTGTCCAAATTTGCTAATAATTTTGGTTCTTTTATGGTTTACTCTTGGAGAAAATAACCAATTTGAGATTTTTCCTTCTCTTTTTGTGGGCTATTTCTCATCTGTATTATATAAGCTTTTCCTTTTTTTTTTTTTTTTTAAATTTTTGCTAGATGCTTTTCGAGGCTTCCTCTTCAGTACATTTTTATTTTGAGTTTCAACAGACAACTCTGACCTTTCACATTTATATATTCTAAGAACCCGTGAGTTGTGACCAGTTCAGGATTGATTGGTCAATGTTTCATCTTTTGCTAAGCTCCTTGTGACTAAGTTATTTACTGAATTTATTATAAGATTTCTTGACACTTTTTTTATTTAGATGACTTTCTGAGTATGAAGAAAAATTTAGGACGAATTGGTCTTTTTGTTATTCTTGAGCTCCTGTCACTTTCTTGCAATCAAATCAGTTTTTCTCAAGGATTTTAAGCTTATCATTTATTCAGGATTCATCTTTTTTTAAAGAGATTTTGAATTTCCTGTGATATTATGTTATGGTGATAAGTTAATCTTCAGTTTGCAAAGCAATAACAATACAAAGCAATAATTTTTTTTAGGTCAGGAACAATGTGAAATCAGCGATGTGCACATTGACCCTTGTGCAGAAGCTGAAAAAAATGAGCCGTGCAAACTCAAGCTTGGCAAGTCAGCGGGTATTTCATTCAAGTACAAGGCGAACTGGGATCAGGGCGAAAACGACCTGAAGACTCGTGCTTACTGGGCTTCCGTTCTTGACATTCCATTCTTAGGGATGAAGACCGATGGGTGTAGCATGACCAGCTGCCCGGTCAAAAAGGACCAGCTCGGACAGTACAACTTTACGCTCGACATCTCTGACAAGTTCCTCCCTGTAAGTGGCGAAAAGATAAAATTTATAAGTGCGTATATCTGAATTTTATTTTATCTAATTTTTTCCCCATGCAGAAACGGTACAACGTCAAGTTCAAGCTGTGGGAAGACAATGTTGAGGATCATGCTTGCTGCCTTTTGGTCAAGTTGAAATTGGTTTAAGGAAATGTGAATTTTTATGTTTTATTTAAAAATTATGTTTCACAAAATTGATTTTTGTAATGAAATATACGACAAAATGATTTTTTATAATAAAATGTGTACAAAAGTTTTTATGCTATTTGCCTAATGTGCCTAACAATCTAACTGTTCGTCGGTACAAAAAAATAAATAAATAAAAACAAAACTAACCGAATAAAATAATAATATTATCAATAAATTAAACACCATTATTCAACAATCAACAAAGGCTGTTACCAATCATTTTGGTCTGTCTATCCTGGTTGGTTTGATCGTTGATGTATTTAGACTTTTCACAGTCTTCACACACCCTGATTATCCCAGCAATGATAGGCAGGTGAATGATCAGTAATGACCAAATTGTAATCAATTAAAAAGAAAAATACAGGTATTCACTTAGAATTTTTGTTACCTGCAATAAAAATAAATTTATTGTTTTACTAGTTTACTTTTTCCAAGGATCAATTCATTGTTTATAATTAACCATCAGGTTATTTTCTGGACAATAATCTTAACAATTGTTCTTCGCAGGCATATTCTCACTGCTTTTGTCGGTCATGTTCCTACGTTTAATCATAATCTGAGGCTATTTTTTGTTTTTACCCTATGGATATTCTTTTTGTAGGCTATTGTTTAAAATTGTGGCAAGGTCTGAGATGTACAGGTTAGATCATCTCCGATCATCCTGGTCAGCCTTAGGTTGTATTGTGGTATTTCTAAATTTCACGCTATATTATTGGTTCTAACTTTTTGTGAAATGCCTACTGAAGCTATGCCATTGTTAAGATTGTGACAAGGTCTGTGAGATGAACAGGTTAGATCATCCTAGTCTGCCTTATTTTCACTTTTGTCCATTGTGTGTCTGCATTTTACCATATTTTGGTTTGGTCATGCTTTTTATTAGTTCTTTGAAAGAAACTGTCAAAAATGCAAGCCACGGTTAACTGACAGCATTCTTTAACTAATTTGTACTTATCATAATTATAATTACAGAAATGGTACGGTCTTCAAAGCACATTTATAAACAGTCAAAATGAAATTTTGATCTTATATCAGAATTAAAAGGTATCCCATTGTCAGATTCCAACCTTCCATATTTCTAAATAATTTATATGACAGGATGTCAATTCAGACAGATCCAAGATCAGTGATGTTGGGGCGTCGGTGGCAGCAACGGTTTAGGCATTGATACGGTGCTCATCACTGTAAGATGAAGGTCCGGGTTCGAATCCAGCGGCCCTGCATTTGAACCCGACATACTTACAAATGGGCTTTTTTTCAAAAACACCGGCACCCCGAGGGTTGATATAACCTAGATATATAGGGTTGTTGAGAACCCTCGTTAAAAAAAGAAATAAAATAAGATTGGTGAGGGTGAGGCCTGCGCCATGTTTAGTAAAGGTGCTCCTGCCACAATACAGTGTACATGATTTGCCAAGAGTTTGGGGTGAGTCAAGATGAGAAGGTCTCTTTGTCTACCTTGTTTGCACCAACTCCCTACCTGCTGGCATTAATCAAGCAATAAAGAATATGGTTTTAAAAAGTAATGGTGTCGGAAAACGAATCGGCAGAGCAGCTCCCACAATTCAAGACCAAGGTCGATATATGTTCCTCAGAGTATATTAATCGTAGAAGGATCATCCTAACCTGATCAAGAAAAGGACATGCTAGACTCTTACTTCCTTGGCTCCATACAGAGAGCATGCAGGAATACCATTATGAGAATTGTGTTTGAACACAACACCAAGCCGTTGGATCCCCTGTTCTAATTTTTGTAGTTAATAGGACTATTTTGATGTTTGTATTGGTAGATATCTCGTTTTCTGACTCTTTTGAGATTGAATGTATTTATTAGTGTGAATATATAGTGTAAGAGTTACAATTAATTAAGGTTTTTTGTTGAGATGAAAAAAAGTTAATGGCACAAGAGGGATTCGAACCCACGACCTTCGGCTAGATACGCCGCTGCTCTACCACCTGAGCTATCGTGACCTCGATCCACTCGGGCATCAACTACCCATCTCAACCCCACCTTATGAGTTTTCCCTCCTTTTGCCATTTATCAAATGTCGTGTAATCGGTTTGGATTTTCGACGACAATTGAAATGGCGACGGAGAGCTTTAGTGAAGTATACTTCATTTAATTCATCAAATTCACTAATTTCGTGGTCCGCTTGACCAATTGATACATTACAATTAATTAAGGTTTTTTGTTTAGATGAAAAAAAGTTAATGGCACGAGAGGGATTCGAACCCGCAACCTTCGGCTAGATACGCCGCTCCTCTACCACCTGAGCTATCGTGACCTCGATCCACTCGGACATCAAGTGTGTAGGTTCAATAGTGAAATTTTGAGAACCTCCACAATCTTATGTGACTGAATGGTATGTCAATAGGAAATAATCTCTTTGGGAATGAGTGAGTGCATATTTAAATATTCATGCTTTGGAGGCTGAAATGACCTAGTTATTAACCCTAACTTTGGAGGCTGAAATGACCTAGTTATTAACCCTAACTTTGGTGGCTGAACTTAAGACGAGGTATGCCCCCGACTGCCAAAACCTGAAGTACATGATCTCATATCTTGCCAAGAGAAGTCACAAGCTCTATTCTACAAAAATTTGTATGAATATTCAACCAGTAAAATGAAAATAGCATGGCTAAACAGGTGTAAAATATTTGTTGGACTGGTCAAAAAGCTTTTATCAAAAATTTGTAGAAATCACTCCTCGTAGTTCATCGTCATATTGACAAATCTAATCTATGTATGAATTGTACTTTTTTTTAATTGATTATTTTCTTATTCCTTTTTTTGTATATTTAGAAGAAATTGATAACGTATCAGTGGTTGCGTGATTACTCGATGCCAGGGATGACTTGCTATTATGATCAAACCAATTAAAACCTGAAATGTTCAATTACACAATTATTTTAATGTATTGATATATATTATTAAATAGTAGACTCTATTAGTAATAAATTATAAATAAATATAATATATTAATCAATTATTTTATAATAATTAATAAATTATATATAATATAATTTATAGATTATAAACTCTATTAATAACAGAACAATAAAATAAACTTATTCAACGTCAACAATTTTATTTGAATTAATGAGAAAAAAGATGTACAGTTCAACAAGAAAAAAAACGCACAAAATCATGTGTAAAAATAATGTGCTCTGTAAAAATGGTATAAAAATTAATGAGCTGGAACATATAAAATAAAGTAAACCAAACAAAACAAATATAAAGTCTGTCAAAAAAATTTACAGAATATATTGTAAAAGTCAAAGAAAACTCATCTAGAAAAAAAGACTAAGGTATGTACAGAAATACACTGTATAAAATGCTTCTTTTGAGCATTCATTTCCACTTTACAAATATAAGGATAAAATCATATTTTAAAAAACAACATTCTTAACTATTTTGTACAATATAATAATCATTGTATTAAAATCACAGCATTGAGAATGTCGCAAGAAGCGGGAAATGGTCTGATGGAGAAATGCGATTAGGCATTGGTTGGACAAAATTCTTACATTCGTCTACTGTCGGTAGTCGGAGCCTCGACAAAAGTCTGAGATTTCTGTAATTGATTTTTTTATTAAATTAATTTTTAAAAATTAAAAAAAAATATTTAAGAACACTTACGAGTAGAACATGTAATCAACTGTAACCCATTTATCATGGTGTGTCGTGGCAGTTCCATATTTCTCATCCTCTGTGAGATTGTAGACAGAGGAAAAGTTAAAATTATGACTTAACACTCCCCTGGAATCCAATTTAGTTGTAAAAAAGTCGGAGCTGTCGAAAAGTGCATACTTACGCTTCTAGCATTGCGTTTTTGTGAAGGGCCTCCCCAGGGCACTGGTCGAATTTTTTGACAAACGAAGGTGAGGCACGACAATTTGGTTGTTCGTTTGTTTTTTGGTGAAACGTATAGTCACTGTTATACAACTTAGGAAAAAAAAAAGATTTAAAAAAAGAAAAAAATGGGTAAATTTGTTTTGAAATATTCACCTTACTTTCTCCCAAGTGTGTGCAGTTGTTGAGAATGCCTAGGCTGAGTGGAAGCAGCTGGTCGTAGACGCGGACGAAACCAGATTCCAAAAAGCGTACAACAGGCGATCCCGGCCTTGAATTGAGGTCTCCCATTAAAAGAAGAGCGGGTGATGATGTTTTCGCCATCCTACAACAAAAAACGTTCAGACATTTCAAACTATAAAACAAAACCGTATTCGTTTACTTGATGATCCTGTGGAGTTCGGTGAGTAAAATTTGCGTCTGCGCCAAGCGTACTTTCCACCGTTTCGGATTGTAAAGAAGGTGAGTGTTGGCTAAAAACAATTCACCATTGCCTTGCCTGAGTTTCAGCCTCACGATCAAGCCAACATTTGGCCTAAAGTCAAAACCATCATCCTGATAATCACACAATTTTTATTTTTATTTGATTTATAATATACCTGTTCAGATATTCTATGCCAGGTTGATAATATTCAACAGAAGTCCAAAAGACCAAATCAAAAACATCAGTCTTATAATAAACAGCGACACCATCGGTGTTATTTTCTGTCCGCCGTTTAAAAACTCCCTTGTAACCTGCAAATATATTAAATGATATGAATGTTATAAATAAAATTACTGTTTAAAAAATTACCAATTTTCTCTAAGTCATTGTAAAACAACGGTATGTGCGATTGCTGGACCTCTTGCATTGCTAGAATCTATCAATATTTTTTTTTTTTTAATTTAAACCGGCAAATTGGAAAAAAAACATTACAAAATAAATTACATCTGGGTTTTGAGTTTTAATTTCGCCTATTAGCTTTTTCTTTCTGTTTTCCCACTTCAAGTCCTCAGGGTCTTGAGTCGGATAAAGACCCCTGTGATTCTCGATTAAATCTTGAGCAAGGACGTTGTAACTCATCACAGTGAACTTTTGCTCCCCTATAACAAAAGTCAGTTAAGCTAAACATAACAAATTTCATCGAACTTTACACCATAACATATAATTAGTACATAATACGTGTGTATTTTTTTAATATTGTGAAACATTTTTCTTGAACATCCCTGCAGTTTTTATTTGAGCAAAAAATATTTAAATAAATAAATCGGACACATTTAAATCAATGATATACCTGGTGTAATTTTATTTTTGTTGGTATAGGTCTCATTCGGTCTTCTTTCCGTTGCGAAAGGTCTGTTCGAACGGTGGAATTGGCTTTCCCATTTCCTTTCGAACATGATTATCCTTCGTTTTTTTCTCTTAGACCTTTTTCGCAATCTTTCTCGTTTCTGTTGTCTCCGTTGCTTTTTCTCCTTCTCCGACCTTTTGGGTGTCATTGTTTGCAATTCTAGCACAATGTTTTTCTTTCTTTTTCTTTTGGATAATTGTACTTTTTCATAGAATTGCCGAGTTTTATGTTTATGTTCTTCTAATGGTAATTTGTATTATAGCCTAAAAGTAAATTCCTAAACAAAATAATGTTATTACCAACTATTTAATGTGACTTGCGTTAAAGATTTTAAAGAAATAGACAAGACTGTCGTAAAGTAGCTTTCCACTTTACTTCCAAAGAGACAAATAAAAATTATTGTTATTATTACCACTATTCTATAGAACACTGTGACTTCAGCTTCACCTAACATACACATTATCATTTAAAAAAAATAAAAATAAAATATATAACTGTGGTTCCAGTGAAAACTGTTTTAAGTTCCAAAACCCTAACTTTCAGGAATTCAAGTTTAAGGTTTAATTAATCTTTATGGAAGGTATTAAAAACCAAATGAACTTTTCCTGTCATCTGCTAATAATAAAAATTCATGTGATAATGAGACTGCTCGATAGTCAGAAAGAGTTCCTGGAAGTTAAAAATATTTTTTCTGTGCAACAATGTTTTATTTGATGTTTCGTTTTGGAAGTTGTTGGTTTGTTTCACTGTTTCGTCATCTTTAGTGTGTCTGTATGTTTTATTATTAGTTCATTTCTAATTCATAAATTTGTAGTATGTACTGATATTTTTTTTTATCCTACATATTTTACTAAATTTATAAAGACAACATCATGAAAAAAGAGTCAAGCCCATTTTGTATTTTTCTGTTTTTCAAAGATACGAATAACAACCACTTAAAGAAGCTAACACTGACAGAATGGTAAAAGCCATATTCATGGGAAATTTTATCCACAACTTGATTTTTGGGAAAAACTTAAACCTTAAATTCATTAGATTTCGTGGTCAGATTGACCAAATAACATCTTTCAATTAATTAATCTTTATGGAAGGTATTAAAAACCAAATGAACTTTTCCTGTCATCTGCTAATAATAAAAATTCATGTGATAATGAGACTGCTCGATAGTCAGAAAGAGTTCCTGGAAGTTAAAAATATATTTTCTGTGCAACAATGTTTTATTTGATGTTCGGTTTTGGAAGTTGTTGGTTTGTTTCACTGTTTCGCCATCTTTAGTGTCTGTATGTTTTATTATTAGTTCATTTCTAATTCACATAAATATAATGTTAGCAGTTTGTAGTATGTACTGATATTAATGTTTTTTTTATTCTACTAAATTTATAAAGACAACATCAGGAAAAATGAGTCAAGCACATTTTGTATTTTTTTTTCTCCAAAGTTACAAGAATGGAATAACAACCACTTAAAGAAGCTAACACTGACAGAATCGTAAAAGCCATATTCATGGGAAATTTTATCCACTACTTGATTTTTGCTAAACACTTAAACTTTAAATTCATTAGATTTTGTGGTCAGATTGACCAAATAACATCTTTCAATTAATTAATCTTTATGTAAGGTATTGGTTGAGATAAAAAAGCCAGTGTCATGAGTAGTAAGTAATATAATAATACTAATTTAAAAAAAAATGGAAAAGGACTATTGATCATAACTGAATTCCCTAATTAGATCATGACGATACGACCAAGCCTGTCGTGCAAATCTGATCAATTGCAGACTGTTCCTGCCATTAAGGAATTCAATTATCTGGGCTCTGCTGAACCTGCTGTGACCTGTATGGGGATATATAAATTCTGAGAGGATGGGACATACACCCAAGAAATGGATCACATCCTCCCTTTCTCTAAGGTAACAAAGAGCACAGAGGGATTTCTTTCTCACCATGGAGTGTAGTTAAGATAGAGCAACTTGCCTCTTAATTTAAAAAAACCAGCTCAGCGGTAGGTACACAAGGTTATTACTGGGTTCCAGGACAAACAGGAATTGTGGGGAATGAAAAAGCAGATGTCCTTGTTAGAAAAGGGGCTGCTATCCTGCTAATAATTCTGAGCCTTATTGTGACATAGGGATCCACACTATCGATGAACATCTTAAACAAGAAGACAAGATGAAAATAAGGAAACAAATAACAAGATCTGGGAAAAAAGAGATAAGAGAATGTCTGTAGAGTTTCAATCTTCGTAGAGGACATTAGACAGGTGAAGAAAGAAGAAGACTAATTGTTGGATTCACCAAGCTTTTGGCAACTTATGGTGCCATCACCAGGGCATATTTATTAAAAATTAAAATAAATAATATACAATTGACAGTTATTATTTATTTTACTTTTTAATAAATAGGCCCTGATGATGGCACTATAAGTTGCCGAAAGCTTGGTGAACCCAACATTTAGTCTTCTTCTTTCTTCACTTGTCTAATGACCTCTACGAAGATTGAGACTCTACATAGATTATCTTCAGGTCGATCAACAAACATCATATCATCAGCAGTATACAAATCAGAATGGATTTTTACATCTTACATTTTAATGTAAATTGTAAATCACTGCTCGAAGTTGGTATCTGTAGGTTTCAGGAGCTATGACAAAATTAAGATTTGATGATATGGCAATTTTTATTTATTTATTTTTTTGTTTTTGTAACCAGTTGTTTAATAATTTGTTGGTGCCATGAGGAGTGGTCAAGAATGATTTATTATTTTGAAGATGGGGGACAACTTTTTTTTATTTTAACGGTACAATATCTTTTTATTTTAGTTGCTTCAATCGCTGACTCCGTATAGTATCATTTTGTCAGAAATATTTTAATTTTTTCCCCGCTTCTGCAAATGAATTGCGTTGCCAACTCCACCCTCCAACCACTACTAATATTTTTATTATATAAATACAATAAATTGGCATAATAAAAATGTGTTTTATTCCTACAACCTAGATCACCTTAACATTACAGCCTGAATCAGTTTATTAAATTGTTTTATAATATAATTAACTTTTGTAATTCTCAGCAAAATCAAGCAAAGAAGTGGCATGTACTAGTTTTTTCCAATTTGAAAAATATGTACCGGTTTTTAATTTTTTTAATCAGGCTTCCTGGAATCTGCACCAATTAACAGGCAGAATTTCCCACTTTTGTTAAATATAAATAATTTTTAAAAAAAGTTGGGTTGTTACGTTTTTTTTCCCGTTTTACCTATGCAACCATTCATGTTGGACTAGAAGGCACAACTGCTTGAAGGTTAAAGCACAATTTAACATATAGTCTGGTCGTTTTTCAACCTTTTATCCCAGCAGACCCAACAGAAAATGACAAAAATCTGTAAAGTATCTGGCAGATCTGCCCATTAAAGATAGGCGGACCAAAATGATCAGAAACGAATCGACTACAGGTTCATTACTCTGCAGGCTCCAATTTATTAATGTCTTCAAAAACGTTCACAGTTGGGATGAAGAAAACCTATATTCTTATATGTACATCTGCATACTAAATTCTAAGTTTATCATGGATTAATTTTCAACATGGCTAAAAAGTGTGATAGTGCGAATGGGTTTGGGTTTAGACAGCAATTGCATTTGGGGCTGAAACGACTTAGCTGTTGGTTGCCCCCTGGAGTCCTCGATGGCTGGACTGATAAGACCGAGGACTGCCAACACCCGGGGTGGGTGATTCTCAAGGTCTACAGGAAATTCATTGTAGAGTACAAAAGTTGGAATCATAGTGGTAAGCTCAACTCTGCACATATGTGTATGTGCTTATATAATCAGTAGTATAAATCAGTAGTTAATAATAGGTTTAAACCTATTTTAAGTTGTACAATTAAAAAAAAAAAAATAGTTCAATGATGCCGTTGAAAACACTAGTGTTGCCACAACTTTACAATTTTGCTGAATTTAAAGTTGAACGTGTAAAATACCTGCAGGTATTGGTGTTTTGTGCAGTTCTTCCACCTTTCGAATCTCTTGGAGTACGATGTTTGAGAACTGAGCTGAAACAAAGAGAAAAAAGAAAAATTTTCAGTATGCGTTTGTTGAATGATGATGATGGATGAATTTCTCATAGGACAAGTCAACGGAGCAGGGCGAGTCTTGGCGCTTGTACCTGCAAAGATCTGTCGCAGCTCTTCGACAATAGCCTGCTCCCTTCGGCCAATTTTACCGTGCATGTTACAACGGAAAAACTGGCCGTACTGCCTTCTCGTGATGACTGTTAATATGAATGAGCCGGATGTCGCTCGGAGCAAGCTGGCGAGCATTTTCAGACTTCATGGACAGGCGGGGGACAATGGGGCCTCTGAAAGTCCCATGATATCGCCTTTTTTTTTTTTTTTTTCAAAATTTCTTTTATCAAAATGATTTACCAATTACTGTTTGAAGAAGTGCAAAACAAAGCCAGTCCAACATCCTGACAAGGCTGTCAGGAGTCTTGAAAACAACTAAGACTGTCAACTATAATTCAGCACTGATGTGACCGACTAACTTATTACTTTACTATATTCTATAAATTCTACAAAACAAAAAGAAACTTTAATGGACTATTTTTTTTTTCTACCTTGGGTAACAGTACCTACCACCTAATATATACACGAAAGATTCCCTTTCATAATAATGACGTAATTTTTGGAGAAAAAATTCGAAAAGAATTATGTTTAATCTTCTTTACATAATCTGTATAAAATGTTTACAAACTTAAAAACATAATTTATAAACAATTAATGTGTAACTATTAAATGCCCATGGTGACTAAGCCATGACCTTTCTTTGAACGTTTTAGACAGATTTTTAGAACTTTGTGAATGATATAAACTTTACAATATTTAAAATTATAACTTTGTTAATTAATAAAATACACAATACACGAATATTGCAGTACAAAAAAAAAACAAAGAAGAAAGTGTTATAAACTAATCATTTATCATCTGCCATAGACAATATTTTTATTATAAACCAATTTTTAGCCAAATTAACAAGTCAATAGTTTTCCTTATGGACTTTTGTAGAGCCAAGTTCATAAGCTACAATTTGGTCGTTACAGATCATTTTGGCCTGCCATTCCTGGTTGTGTTCTGTTGGATGCGTTTTAGCAATTTGCCATCTTTAGGATTGCATCTGTATCCCATAGATAATATATAGACCTGAATCCCAGCTATGAACAATTTTGTAAGTCGTAATTACTTGTGGTCTTTCTTCAGATCACCATGGTTTGGTTTGCAGAATAATGAACCTGTAGCCTGGTCATTTCTAATCGTTTTGGTCTGCATTCCAAGTGACATTGGTCAATCAAATGTGTTTCAGCATTTCACCTCCTTTGGGATTGCAATGATATAGTATATAGCCATGTATTCTGGCTGTGAACAATTTTGTAAGTCATAATTAGTTGTGATCTTTCTTCAGATCACCATGTTTTGGTCTGGAGAATAATAAACCTGCAGCCTGGTCATTTTTTATTGTTTTGGTCTGCCATTCCTGGTCACATTGGTCAATCAAATGCATTTCACCTACTTTGGGTGGCATCTGTGTAATGTAATAGTTCTGATTCCAGCTGTGAACAATTGTGTAAGTCATAATTAGTTGTGATCTTTCTTCAGATCACCATGTTTTCGTCTGCTGAATAATAAACCTGCAGCCTGTTCATTTCTGATCATTTTGGTCTTCATTCCAAGTCACATTGGGCAGTCAAATGTGTTTCACCATTTCACCACCTTTGAGGTTACGTCTGTAAAATATATAGCCCTGTATCCAAGCAGTGAACAATTATTTATGTTATAATAAATTGTGACCTTTCTTCTTGGGGTCTGTAGGGTAATGAACCTGTAGTCAGGTCATAGACAGGCATTTTAGCGTTTCACCATCTTTAGGGTTGCAGTATGTCTTGCATGATTGAGAGTTTTGGGGTTTTAAAATATTTTTAAAAAAATGAAAACAGCACCATTTGCAAGTACAAGGATGATTCACATTTTCATTCAGTTAAACCAAAAAGCTAGCATTCCAATCACCTCTTTCGTCCCTTTCTCTGACTATCAGGGAGGTTCTCAATTTTCTATTTTAGCTTTATTACTTCTAAAGATTTGACCTTGCTGAGGTCACTAACCACCTCTTTGGCAGACCTTCTGTTACTCTCTGGATTTTTTATTATAATTATTTTAAGCAATCTTGCCAATGATAGGTGAAGTAATGTGTGAAATCCTGACTTCTATTTTAGGTTTATTCCTTTAAGATATAAGGCCCTACTGAATTCACCCAACCACCTCATTCTCAGCCTCTTTTTTAATCTCCTCATAACTATTTTTCGTTTGCTTTGGTCATTATCCTTTTAGATGTTCTTTTATTAGTCATGGACAGGAGTTCTTTGCATTTAGCACTTAACCTAACAAATGAAATAACATTGTGGTTCTAACTCTTCTATTTTAACTTTATTCGTTCCAGAGATCTTTGTGTTTGTAGCTAACGACCTCTTTGTACATTTCTCTGTAACTCTCTTCTCACCTAGCTTTCTGAATATAATCAATTTAAGCAATTTTGCCAATAACATTCTATGCACTTGAGTTATTTTCATTCAGTACTTTGCCTGACAGACAAAATAGTACATGAGAATCTGACTTTTCTATTATGACTTTATTCTAGAGATTTTGCTTTGCTAAAGTCACCCAGGCAAGTCAATCTCGTCCACTTTTTAAATATTTCTCACCTATTTGGTGATCATCTTTTTAAGCAATGTTGTCCCAGATATGCATATGAGTTGTTTTTTTTGTCAATTTAGTTAACATCTTGGTACTGTCTGTTCAGTCTTAAGACCTCAACTCCTCAGTGCAGGTCATCATACTCACAATTCTCCTGCAGTATTGTAGCACTGAAAATGAATATACTTTTGCTGTTCTTGTTATGGTTCCAAGTTTATTGTTGCTATGTACCTTGTAGTTTAAAATTCATGAAAATGCCATCATCGCAATTATGATACCCTTTTCTATTCAGTTCAATTTAGAAAGCCAACAATCACGAGAGCACAAATCCCCTCTTTCAACTCTTTCTCAGCTAATCAATTAGGTTTGGCTGTATTCCTTTCAGAAATAAGGCCTTGCAAAGGTCCTCAAACCTCATACATATGCACATGAGTTTTTTCGTTTAGTTAACATCTTGGTACTGTCTCTTCAGACTTGAGATTTCTACACCTCAGTGCACACCAAGGGTAGGTCTACATCACACCCTACCTCCTGCAGTACTGTAGCTTTGAAAACGAATGTACTTTTGCTGTTCTTGCTATGGCTCCAATTTTATTGTTATTATGTGCCTTGAAGTTTAAAATTTAGGAAAATACCATCATCGCACGTATGATACACTTTTTCCAGTTAGACCTAGGAAGCCAGCATTCATGAGGTCACCAATCACCTCTTTCCACTCTTTCTCAATCAATTCGTTAGGTTTAGCTTTATTCCTTCATTATGTGCCTTGAAGTTTAAAATTTATGAAAATGCCATCATTGCAAATATAATACACTTTTTTATCAAGTAAGACCTAGAAAACCAATAATCGTGAGATCAATACCCTCTTTCAACTCATCTCAATCAATTTGTTAGGTTTAGTCTTCCAGAAATAAGACTGTAAAGGTCCTCAAACCTCTTATGCATATGAGTTCTCTTCATTTAGTTAAATCTTGGTCCTGTCTCTTCAGGTTTGAGACCTCAACATCTCAGGCACGCCGAGAACAGGTCTGCAGGTTTCACATACTATGCTTCTGTAACATTTTGGCACTGAAAATCGATGTATTGTTGCTGTTCTTGCTACCAAGTTTATTGCTGCTGTGTACTTCGAAGTTTAAAATTGACGAAAATGGCGCCATATCAAATACAAGGATATTGCGCTTCTTTTTCCAGTCACTCCCAGAAAGAACAATGGGCCAGTTCTGGTTTAAGCAATCGTAGTTCTTCCCATCCTGTGAGGTCATGATACAGTCGCGGTAGCCTAACCATCACAAATGGCATACAGAGTTACGGACCGTTGTTTATCGATTGATAAGAAGTGACAGCCGAGTGGCAGGGAGTCGAGACTCGGAAAGGTGGCCGACGCCAGTCGTCAGTCGTGACTCGTCAGTCGTCAGTCGTGACCGGGAACATGGCGGCCGGCGACCCTGAGGGAGGATCCCGCGTCGAAACCCAATTCGACAGGCTCAGCATAGCGTCGGACGACTGCTCATTCAGGGCCGAGCAAGAGTGCTCATCGAAATACGACGAAGACTTCAACAGGAAGTGGGGCTTCAGGCTCAAAGAACTCTACTCCCTCGCTCTCACCTTCTACAAAGGTTACTCCCCCTTTACATCTTTACAAATTTAAATAACTATATTTTCTACCTGTATAACACTTCCAGTCTAGTTTTCTCCCATAATTTAAAACAAAGACGATAAGAATATGACCTTCAGTCATGGACATTAACAGGACAGAAAGTTTTCCAAATAGACATGGATTAACATTTCCATTTGATATAACAGTCTAAATTACTTAATAGCTCTTTTATTACTATAGTTCTATCATTTCCAAAAAAATCTGATTATCTTTGGTTTGACTAAAACAGAATAAATGATAGGTTCATCGCCCTACAGACTCTAAGAGTAAATCTATAGATAATTTTAATTAATTATTCTTTTAATCTAAGTACTTGGTCAAGATGAAAAAGCAAGTGTATTGAAAGGGATTCGAACCCACGACCTGTTCTACCACTTGAGCACTGTGACTTCTACGAAGTATTGAGCCGAAGGTCGTGGTTTCATGGAAGTCACGGTGCTCAAGAGATTAGAACAGGTTGTGGGTTCAAATCCTGCTCTTGACACTTCCTTTTTCATCTAAACCTATAGATCTAAATCTATAGATAATTTTAATTAATTATTCTTTTAATCTAAATACTTGGTGAAGATGAAAGAGCAAGTGTATTGAGCGGGATTTGAACCCACGACCTATTCTACCACTTGAGCTCTGTGACTTATAGGACGTATTGAGCCGAAGGTTGTGGTTTCATGGAAGTCAAGGTGCTCAAGTGATTAGAACAGGTTGTGGGTTCAAATCCTGCTTATGACACTTGCTTTTTTTATCTAAACCAAGTACTTAGATTGAAAGTATAATTAATAAAATAATTAATATGTTCAATTATGGCTGCTAAATACATGTTTGAATCTGTGGATAATGCTAAAACGGTAAAAAGAAATATGAATAAAGGCTTAACTCCGACAGCCTGTCAGTTATCATATATGAGTGCTAAATTGTAACTTAATTAATAAAATGTGAAGTCCTAAGATTTCAAGTTGAATCTGCAAGGTGAATTGTAACCTGATCTGATTGTCAAGTATCTTGGCTGGCAGGAAGAATCAATGGTAATCTTGATTTCTGTTGGTTTGGCATCGGATGAAGTACATATCAAAAAGAAATACCTGGTGTTTAGTACAAAACACATTGGATTAGTCAAAACAGCCTGAGGCTGACCCAGGCTGTTTGAAGAGAACGTGGATGACCAGTTAGGTTCAAGTGTGGTTAAAACAAGTTGAACGTTTTGTTTGCTTCAGTCTGCCCCTGGCACAATCAATCATTGCCTGTTGTTGTTTCATGAGTCCTAGTTTGCTTCAAACATTACATAACAAAAGTAGCATAATTACACCTCTATTTTTCAAGAAACGACCTGCTGCTGCTATGGACTGATTCATTTTCAGAACAAAGCCAAAGGAGACAGAAAATCTGGCATTGATTTTTTTTTAAGTTTAATTACAGGCAAAGATAAATTGTCAGATGTGAGGAAACGAAAATTTAAACAGACCGAGGACGCACCACGCATTCAACATTGCAGTACTGAATGTTGTTTATCCTGGAGCAGCCGATCTTTCAGAGGGATGTGCATGACGTGCCACTGCTATCATCCACATACCTCCCAGATCAGGGGTATATAAGCAGTATATAAGCAATTGGAAGAGCAAGAAATGTATGATGTGACCCTTCCAATGAAAAGCAACAGTTTATCAAAATATATTTGGTACATGATATATATTGTAATTTGTCACATAATCACACTGTACACTGAACAGGCGCCTTCACTACCATGGTTCATGAACGACTAAACTTGTTTTCATATTGAACCGGCACACGGGCACTACTGGGTCTGTCTTCACTCGCAGGTTTTTTGTTATTCAAACACGTTTCGGCATTACGCGATTTTCATTGAAAAACTAACAGATGGCCAGTAGTGCCCATGTGCCAGTTCAACATGAGTTCACCAACTCGCAGACCAAACCCCATCATCTACTATAAACTTGTTTTATCTGCAGTGTTAATTGACGTCGTCAGTCACAATCAAACATTTTGTTTCAATTTGCTTCGACCAAATTGACTAATCCACTGTTTTGAGCCTTAGCAAGTGTCGTAAAGACTCGGTGAAATGACTGAAGATGACATGCCAAAATGAATCTGAAATAACCAAGCCTTATAAGTAGACTAAGATGATCAGAAACAATCAAACTAAAATCCTTGATGTTTTTAATCTAATGAGCATAATCGCTTGGAGGATTTGATAGTTTCCAGCTTTTTTCACCCAACAATTAACTAAATTGATCAATGAAGGTCAAGATGACAAATTAGTCATAAGTGGGACTCCAAGCCACATCTGGATAGAAATTCCTGTGCTCTACCACTGAGCTACTGAGACCAACTCATCATCTCGACCTACAACTATATAAATTCCTCTTTTCTTAATATTAAACACTGCAATGCTTGAATAATTGTCTTGAGCGTAAAGAAAAACCAGCTACTGTCTTGAAGGGTAACTGGGGCGAATAGTGATTTAACAAGAAAACATGAAAGGATCATTTATGAAGATACTAGTGTACAATTTTTGAAATTTATTCAAGAACAATTGAACAGGCTAAACAGACCTGTGAGGGCAAGCAAATCAGAATGAAATGAGCAAATATTAAGTTGTGAGAAGTCTGCGAAGTGAATTGTAACTTCATCGCTTGTGATTATCCTGGCCCGTTTATACAAGTTGATTTTACTTACAAGAACCTGTCAAAAAGACAGACTTGCTGATAAAAACTGTCATGCACAAACACATGAACGAAGATGACTAAATGTCAAAATGAATATGCAAGATCAAAGCAGGCAGGGTTGACAGAACAAGTTGGTTAGAAATGAAGTCCTTTTTTTTTCAATCTAATTAACCTGATCGTTTCAAGCATCGAGATAGCTGCCAGCTTTTCTCATCCAATAATTAACACAGCAATATTTGATTATTTGCCTTGCACCTAGAGCAACAGGTTTTCAAATTAAACCATTTATCCAAGAGGAAATGCTCAGACTAAATAAAGCAGTGAGGATAAGTAAACCAGAATGATCAGAAACAAGCAGACTTAAACAAAATGATGGAGCGATGAAAATACAAGTCTTTGATCGTCCTGGTCTGACTATTCAACTGGCTTTGGGTCAGTCAAGGGCCAACGATCAAAAGAAAAAGACAGACTCACTGTTTGAAAATGTCATACAGACTCAGTGAAAATGCATAAACTCTTGCCAAAATGTCAAGCAAAAATAACAAGGCCGATCTAGATGATGAGGAACATCCAAACTGAAAATCCTTGATTTTTTTTTTTTACCTAATCAACTTAATCCTTGGGAGCATCAAGATAGCCAGCTTCTAGCACAACCAGTCGTGTTGAAAGTGATTGGCAAATGAATTACAGAAAGATAAAAGGATCATTTATCTGCCTACTCAAGCTGCTTTTGCATCAGATGAAGAACCTATAAAAAAAAACCACTGCTAGAAACTGTCTTAAAGGCTTAGAGAAAAATACACAAATCCATCGCTGAAGATGAAATTCCAGTGAATTGGAAAGACCAAACCAAGAAAGATGAGCAGACCAAAATGATCCTGAAAACAATAAAACTATAAAACCTTAGTGTTTTTAATCTATTCAGCTGAATCGTTGGGAGCTGCTGCCTTTTTTCATCCAGTAATTAAGTCCTTAAGTTTGCATATTTGCTTTGAACCTAGAGGAAAACCAGAATTGTTTTGAAGGGAACCGTGTGAACCATGAATTACAGAGGATCTAAAGGATCTTTCCTGAAGATTTTAGCAATTCACCTAACAGGAAATGTACAGACCCACCATTGAAGATGTTGAGAAACCGAAACATTCATGACACACAATGTGTAAATATTGAAATGATGAATGGTGGAGTGAGGGTGGTGTTCAATCCTTTTAAAAAGATAGTTTGTTACTTAGGTTTGGATGTCCGATTTGTATTTGTCACACTAGTGGTTCTGGGTTCGAATCCAGGCAGAGCCTTAGAATCAACAGAAACAGGGGACTGCGGTGGCCAAGTGGTTTGGATGTCCGATTTGTATTTGTCACACTAGTGGTTCTGGGTTCGAATCCAGGCAGAGCCTTAGAATTTTAATTGTGACTAATTATTGTAAAGTGGTTTGACCCCTCGTCTACAACACCCAGTGGGTTGGTCATATTATAAAGGATTATTTATGTGGCTTTTCGCAAAATTCGGCTACCTCTATCATATGGTCATGATTTTAGCATATGGTCCCTAAATCAAATACAACGAACTCATAAAATTAAAACATCGAACTTATTCAGCCCCAACAGAACATTAAAAAAATAAATAAATAAAAAGCTTTTCAAACAGCATTGAATTCAAAACTGATCAAATGAAGATTAGATTCTGCTGATGTAGTTTTGCTCATTGTTTCACATTGTGGTACAGTATGTGACTGGCCACTCCTGACCTTTTTTCAATTTTGGCTGAAATTTCTTTAAATCAGCATACCAGGTAAATACAGCTACAAATACGATATTGAACACAATAAACATTTTTAAAGATTTTTTTACTAATTAGCTATGTTTGGCTAAAACAGCTCGATTTTTCTCTTTCTTACCAATTCTCAAACAGATTGCAGTTAAAAATAGCAACTTCGCAAGTTGTTTCTAAACTAAAATTACAATACAAAATCTAAATATGAATTGTTACCTTAAAACTTCACTTTTCATTTATTTTCAAAATTTTGAATTCCCCTTACATAAAATTGGCAAAAATAACTGCATCGAAGTCATCAGGAATAAGATCGCCTGGTATGCCCAATTGCTTAGTCTGAGCTCAGTCCTCGCTTAACTTTTCCTTATTCAAAAGACTACCAATCTACAAAAGACACCCCCACACCTTATTTAATCTACAGAGAGAGAACCTTAATTCTCTTAGTCTTTCAAACTTAAGATGGCTACTAAAAACCTGTTGCGAGGCCCTTAACTTGAACTCTGCGCTTTGGTTGAGGGGCAAGGAGGGGTTATGTGCCCTTTGTAATTCTCAATCTGTGGAAACACTGCATTTTATGGCCGAATGTACAATATTGGGCGAGATAAGGTTTTGCACTGGGGATCTTTTACCCTCTCTAGAGGCACTCTCTTAAATCTGTTGGATGGCCCAGATCCATGGGTGCTCATGCAGTACGTCTGCCACACCTGGAAATATAGATTAGACCTAATTATGGAATTCAGTTTCTGACCCCTCCAATTCATTCACTCTATTTCCTTTATTTATTATATCCGATTTTTTGTCCCTTTACCATTAAGACTATTCTCCTTTGTTTCTTTTCTATTAGAAGTAGTTTTACTATTATGTTTAATCTTTTTTGATGGTGTACTAGCATGTAGCAAATAATGTTATAACCTCGCTTTAATTCTTATTTTATTTTTTTTTCCCCCGTTTATTCTTTTTCTCTTAACAACGACCTCCGGCAGACGGATTGTGATCCATGCCTGTATTATGCTTTGCTAATAATCATTGTTATACTCGTAGAAATAAAAAGCATATAAAATGTTACCTATTGAAGTGTAATATTTTTGGCTTTGATTTGCAGAAAAGGAAGGGAAAGCTGTGAGTCTTTGCTACCAGGACAGACTGAAGCTGGTCGCACTTACTAAACAAATAACAATTGGGAAATTCAATCTAAGCAATGCGCCACCTCTTGGAGTGTTAGATGTCATCGGCCGAGACAGGAGGTGACTCATCTTGAGTACAAATTTTCCGATATGATTATTTATTAAATAATTTTCAGACTGGCCTGGCAAGCCTTGGGTGACATGAGCGCAGAAGATGCCATGATTGAATTTGTAGAGCTTATCGATAACCGGTGCCCCATGTTTAGACCGTACGCTCAGGCACATAAGGCTGACAGAGAGAGTAGACTGTTGTTACAGTAAGGATTTATTGACTGTCTGCTATTAATTTTATTTGCAACTTTTTTAATGTATATTTAAGGAAACAAGAAGCTGAGAAGAAGGCAAAGGAAGCAGAAGCATCAAAGGAAAGCAATGGGCACCAAGAAGACCCAAAAAAGGAAGAAGAGGCGAATGGGCAGAGTTTGGAATTGCAAAAGCAGAACATCATGGAAGCCCTTAATCGTCAGACATACACGCAATTTAAAACCTACGTGGAACGGCATTTCCCAGGAAACATTGAACGGGTAATTTATCTCTTTTGTAATGGGGGGACAGGATGTGTCAAACTTTCTAACAATAGATTTGGGATAATTGATGAGTGGCTTTTGTTTGCTTTATAATTATTATTTTGATAAGAGACCGGAAACACTGTTATTTGACGAATTAAGGCTTCTTTTAATTCGTCGAGTTTTTCTTTTGTAGCAAGAAGTGCTGATGAAACAACTTCAAGAGCAGCATTACTATCAGTACATGGAACAGCTAATGTCACGCATCAAAACTGTTGGAGACCAGACGCAAGATTTATCATCGCCCAACGGCCACGTTATGAATGAACAAACCGAAAGTGATGAAGAAAGTTAGTATTATTTTATCAACCTTTTTATTTTAGAAGTAGAATGTTATTACAATGCCACATTTAGTGGAGAGTCGCTCCAATTCACACATGTATTTACATACATGCAAACATGTGCCAAGTTGAGCCTATTCATTTCTTATCGGGCAAGTCCAGCTTTTGCCATTAATAATCTACTCGCCAAGTCCATAGTCATCCAGATATCCACTAAACTTATAACGATGTAACAAACCGTCAAACTACTTTATTTTTTTAAAAGGCACAGAAGATGACCGAAATGTGTCTGACGAAATAAACGCCTATTGTGGAAAAGACAATTCATTTCTTACCAATCAAATTAAACTGCCGTCAGACTCTAGAATCCACCCAGTCTGGTCTTACCCGCCCAGCCACTGAGGTCAGGCTCTGGCTAATTGAGGGTTGATGGGGTACTCGATATTCCCCATCGATCCTCACTTCTTGCATTCATGCTAATAAATACATTCACTCACAAAACAAGCTAGGTATACACAACTATTATTACTATATTCAATGGAACAACCCTGATTCCTCCAGGACCTTAATACTCCCCATACTAAGCACAATTCTCAAATCGGGTGATATTCCTGCTCTATATGTAGACAAGGAATTGCACCCTTCAATTACGTGGACACTTTGAGCGACCTTACATGCGGGCTTTTGTCTAAAAATAAGTGTCCGTGTGTCAACCTCACATAGCCTATTCTTAATTGGGTGTGGATGACCCTTCTAAAAGTCAGATCCTCCACCCATTGCCTGATATGTGAGAGCTTCTCTATTGACCCAGCCCATTGATGCTGCCACCTTCTTTTAATCATGTTTTTGTTGCATTCTTAACATCAGAGGACCGGATCACAGTGGTTGAGTCCGGAGGTTGGGATGATCTTAGCATTAGCCGCCTCGTCTGACTTCATTACCCTCCAGACCAATGTGTCCAGATTTTGCCAAGACACTCAAGTTTGAGGTATCCCTCCAACCACACACTGAGACCCGTGCACGGACAGCAGTAACTGTGCTGAGGGAGTTGGTGCAGAGGTAGACAGAGCCACCATCATCTCAAATCATCCCAAGCGCATACAGTACAAAATCACATACAATACTGTCACATAAACGCCACATTGTGACAGGAGCAACCGCAAGTGCACCACCTTCGTCAGTCTTAAACCTGTCTGTAAAAAAAAAGCCAAAACCCAGCTTACCTCAATCTAAGCTCCAAGAACTTAGCTCAGTAAAGGTACAGCAGAGTATACAAAAACTAGAGAGATTGTATTCATACGCATTTATTGCTAACTTCTTTGAACGGTCTCAAAATTTATAATATTGTATATATTTATCTTTCGACTTTTCTACCAATGACTTCACTCAACTCCCCCTGGACTCAACATTCCTCTTCAGTTGACTCTCCTTACATTGGTACTCTCCTTGATAGTAAACTTCTACTTCGTGCTCTCGACTGCCTCTCTTGTGTCATGCCTATCCTCTTCTACCTTTCTCCTTGACTATTCACCATCTCATTACTTTTCCAATCCTCCCCTTTTATATTGATTCACAAAACAAGAGCGGAGGGAAGGACAAGCACATTCTTGAGACCTGACAGTCAACACTCTTTTTGTGAGGCTTGTTCATAATGACCTGGTTAGGGATGGTTAGGGTGTGGGTATGACCTGGTTATGGATGGTTAGGGTGTGGGTATGACCTGGTTAGGGATGGTTAGGGTGTGGGTATGACCTGGTTATGGATGGTTAGGGTTTGGGTATGACCTGGTTAGGGATGGTTAGGGTTTCAGATTTAATTTTTGATATTTTATTTTTTTAAAACATTCTGACATATAATTATTTTGGATTGTTTCTTAAAGAGGAAAATTCTAGATTACACGTTTCATAGTTGTGATTTTTTGAGAGAATCGGAGTATTGGTCCGATCCTGATGTTTCTAGTGTTGAAAGGTTTATATTTACAACTGATCCGATGTCAGATGCAACACTAGGTCATTTGGTCTTATCTGAATCATTGTTGGCTTCGAAGAACCTAATAGTTATCACACCCGACCGCATCTCACGATATCTGAATAACTATCGATTAACGGTCACTAATCTCTACACATTTCTAATAGTTTCTATATTACTTTCTTCTTTCCATTTCTTTGTTTTTCTTATTAAAAAAACCTATCAACCAGTTTAGTATATTTTTTAATGTATTTTTTATTCTAATTTTCTTCTGGTTGTCTCATCAGGCTTCTTTTGCAGTTAATATTGTAACTTTATATAATAGTTTGTCATTCAGACATTAATTTTGTTTTTTAAATTTAGAATTAATCAAAAAGATAAATACAAATTTAAATTTTTCTTCCAAATCCTTTAGCGATTCCAACAATGGCAGTCACTTCCGCTTCTCTTTGGACGAGGACGGATGTCAAAGAGTTCAAAGAATCTATCCGAAAGGAAGGCAGGGATGCTGTAATCAAAGTGGGCCATGGGGAAACAGTCACTGTAAGCAATATAACATTTTATTTTATTATTATTTTTATTAAAATATTCAATTCTAAATCAGGTGAGAGTGCCGACGAATGATGAAGGTACGTGTATATTTTGGGAGTTCGCCACTGATTATTACGACATAGGGTTTGGAGTATTTTTCGAATGGGCGAAATCACCGACGAACCAGGTGTCTGTACATATCTCAGAAAGCGAAGACGACGATGATTATGTCAATGATGAAGAAGACGATGACGATGATGATGAAGGTATTTGATTAATTATATTAAGCTTTTTTTTTTGTTATAATAAGTAAATTTTCCAGAGTTTGAAGGAATCAGAGTAGGCGATGTTGAAAGAGGGCTCAGAAAAGTGTCAGGAGTGGACCCGTGCAGGCCACCTACGAGCGAGATCGTCCCAGTTAGGAGGAGAGACTGCATGCAGCAAGTCTACGCCGGCTCTCACGTTTATCCAGGAACAGGTGTCTATCTCCTAAAGTTCGACAATACCTACTCAATCTGGCGGTCAAAAACACTCTACTACAAGGTCTTTTATGCGAGATAAACCTTGTAATTTGTAACCTTGTGTTTGTTTCTGTAACACGACTAACAAATTCTTTTTTTTTTTTTTTTAATTGATTAAAAATGTAACTTCCTGTTTCTCAAATGGCTGTCGATCCTGCTGTTTTTAGATTAAATTTATTTTTACTCTGTGTTTGTCAAATAAAAAGCTTCCTTCACCAATGGGAAAAAATGTTGGAGATTATATTATGTACAGTGTTTATAATGTAAAAATCTTATATATCTATTGGATATGTTGTTATTAAAAGCAACTGGTTGTATGCAATTATTTATTGTGAAAATAAATTATTCTTCCCAGTTTAAAGAATTTTACTTCTTATTTCCTCATTCTTTTTCTCACTAACTATATCAAACTCATAATATAATATGCAGGCAGTTTAACCATTTTAACTTGTTAATCCATAACACCGTTCTTTTTTTTTTCTTTTTTTTCCCCTGGGGGCTTCCAACGATAAAGGATCCTCTGTTCTGACTTTTGGAAGAAACAGTGTTGTTTTATATAGTTAATTTCACATTGTTTCCTTTTGTTTATAGATAGTGAATGTATTTATTAGAGTGAAGGTGTAGATTGTAGTGTGAAAGGGCCGATGGTGGAATATTGAGCCCCATTAACCTTCATTAGTTTCAATATCATTAATAGATCAGTAATTTTAAAAAATCAATTGGGAAAATTAAAGTTTATAAGCAAATATGTTTCAAGAGCACGGCCATGCGAGGTTGATACATAGACACTTCTAGTCCAAAGCCCACGTACATGTCCGACATGTAAAGTTGCTCAAGATGTCTTAATTGAAAGGTGCAGTTCCTTGGCTCCATATAGAGAGCACGTAGGAATACCAGCTGAAAAAAGAATTGTGTTTGAGTACGGCAGTGAGCATTTTGATCCACTGTTCTAATTTTTGGAGGAAATAGGGCTGTTCTATTGAATACAGTAATGACAGATATCTTATTTTGTGCTTATTGATTTTGAATGTATTGATTAGAGTGAATGTGTAGTAGTCCATTTTCTGCTCCTAAAGATAAACAATTTTTTATATGTGACAGTTCATTATGATGATGCATTATTTTGATTTTTAAATTTTTAAGCAGTTGATCATTTTTGCCTAGCTTGATTGTTTATAATCATCTTAAATAGCTTATTCATGCTGTACACAGATGTTTGGGGTACAATGGTTCTGGTCAGCGAGTCAGAATTTCGACTGGTAGACCTTACAATTATAGGTTCAATTCCCGTCGCCCCTGGTATTTTTTTTTCTTTTTTTCATGCACCCTTTCTCAAAAAATATAATGATTCAGTTAAGTAAGGATAAAAAACAAGGATAAAATAAAAAACAAAAAAAGTAGATTTTAAGAAGTTTTAGAAAAGTAGAAAGTAGATTTAGTAATGTATTTATTTTGGGATGGATTGAAAATGTTAACCAAACCACATTTCCAGGGAAAACCAAATTTAATTAAATACATTAAATAAATAAAAACTTTTATTACTTAACAATTTAAACATTTCATTCAAATGTACATAAAGGAACATATATTGTTTATCACTTATCACACTACAGAAAATAACATCACACAAACATAAACGCAAAGCATCATAGTCCCGAAGAGTGAAATGCTGATGTGAACAACTTGCCTGGCACTCAAAAGTGGAAGTCTTTTCGAGAGCGTGAGCTCAATTAGGGCTTTGATGATGTGCTCGCCGTCAAAAAAGAAACACGGTATTATGTTGAGAACGGCGAGCCCCGATGAGAATATCGTTAGAAACTGGCACAGTTTCGTGATGGCATCGGGTATCGCAGATGGGAAATAATCGGACAGGCTGATAAAATCGGATATCTGTACCGAATGGTAGATTTCGGCGGGGTTGCCGAGGAAGAGTACGTCGTCGCCCTTTTCCCGTTTGATGTGAACGAGTTTTGTTGAATTCTCGAGCGAAGGGCGAAAGCAGTGGTAAAAGTACGGACACTCTTTCGCTTTTACACAAGTCTTGAGCGATAATTGTATCACCCTTCGGGCAAAAAGGCAGGTATGCTGAGGAAGAGGCAGAGGTTCATCGTCAGAGCCGATGTACTCGAAACAAAGATGCCTTGGATTGTTGACTCCACAACACTCAATCACACTTTCTGATATGTGTTTAGCTGAAATAAAAATTAAACCAATTCTTTATTATTCCAAACTGTTATGCTAAGAATTTTTATACAAAAAGTAAATAATTGTGTTTTTGTTTAACACTGTTGTTACAGGTGTCATATTAGAATGACAAACTGTGACTCAAGTCATCAAGTCAATTATCATGATTCCAAAACCAAAATAAACCAAATCCAACATAGAGAAGTGTAGGCCTAGTAGCCTGCTACCTATATTAGGCAAACTACTTAAAAAGTGGATTAAAAAAAAAAGTACTCGTATGCAGAGGTCACATACTCACAGATTGGGTTTAAGGCTAAAACTAATGGTCAGACAAGGGGCGAAAAATCAGAAACACAATAGGGTTGTTGGTAAGGAAGGGTACAAGAAGCTATATGAATTAGTATCTTTCAATTAATTAAGGTTTTTAGTTGAGATAAAAAAATCAGTGCACGAGTAGGATTCGAACCACAACCTTCGGTTAAATATGGCACTGCTCTACCACTTGAGCAATCGTGACCTCGATCCACTCGGACACTAACTTCCCATCTCAATGAAATCTTTTGAATTTTCCCTCCTTTTTGTCATTTTTTAACGACTCGTGACACTGACTTTTTATCTCAACTAAAAGCCTTAATTAATTCAAAGATATTAGTGAATTTAAAAAGTTAAAATGAAGTATACCTTCACTAAAGCTCTCTGTGGCCATTTCATTTGTCACCGAGAATCAAATAGATTACATGACATTTGAAAAATGGCAAAAAGGAGGGAAAATTTGAGAGTTGAGGTTAAGATGGGAAGTTAGTGTCTGAGCGGATCGAAGTCACGATAGCACAAGTGGTAGAGCAGCGGTGTATCTAGCCGAAGATCGTGGGTTCAAATCCCACTCATAACACTGACTTTTTTATCTCAACTAAAAACCATAATTAATTGAAAGATATTAATTGGTCAAGTGGACCATGAAAACTAGTGAATTTATATGAATTAGGCTGAAGGACTTTTGTGTGAATGTGGCTACATTTGGTTCCTTTTGGGGGTCGCGTAGTCTTCAAAAGGACCATGAGGTTCTTTAGCATCTGCACCTAGTACAGCCTAATTTATCAGATGTTTAGTTTCTCAAGATAGGAGTGACGCACCTCCGCATACGACTGGATCTGTGTTATTCTCGTAAGGTTCAGTGTAGAAGCCACCCTGGGCTCTAATGACTAAGTTAACTTCTCCCACTTGCCCCTTCCGAGGGGGTTGGTCGTGTACTATTAGCATTGGACAACTAGTCACTAGGGTCTGAAAGGCATCGGCTAGGCTATACTCCTTAGAAAGAGATGGTAACTATCCCCCTGAGTGTGGGGGGCTCCGCCAGCATAAAAATTTTCAGATCCACTCTAGCAGCAGTTTTGCTTAAAGTGGAATTTCTACCCCTAGAGAAATCTGCCTTCAGGGGGAAGCCAACAACAGCTCCACTGAATAACAGGCCCAGTGAAATATCCTTCAATGCAGCAAGTATTGTGACCTATGTGGCTGCAAAAGACTAATGAGCAGCACACTACTATGGATGCACTCTGAAGAGCTATCCACACCAAAAGTTGTTTTACAACAAGGCCTCTCATCAAAGGCATCATGAGAAGTAAAAACTGATGAACAAAAAAATTAATATCTCACCCTGGACCATCCTAGTTCATGTTCAAAGTTCCGGTGGGGGCAGAGATGAACCATTAAACAAGAACAACAAGCCCTCTGGAATAACCCATTAGGTCCAGGGAGCAGAGAAGAAAAATGTGTCAGTTGGAAAGTAGGTAATTTCCAGTGAGATCATGGGCAAATGATTTTCCAGAAAAAGGAATGTCGCAATTTTTGTAAGCGAGAGAAACCAGATGGTGAACAGAAGAGGGAGAAAAGACTGGTTAGTTGGTAATGAAGATGGGAAGGGAAGAATGTGGGAGGTCTCCATTCACTACCAAACAAAGTGTCTACATATTGGATAAACCTCAGCTTGATAGATGCCATGAGTGGACACTCAGTTCCAACTAGGGTTACCAAAAGGGCATAAAAAAATCACGAGGATGAGATATACGAGCCCCAAAAATGTTAAAATCTACAACTTGATCATATATTTTAATAGGTGGAAACATTTTCCTTCAATGATTTTCATCCAGGAAACACACAGATTAGCCATTGAAGATAGCTAACTCCAAAAACGAACCTGATAGAAACCCGACCAATAGGGTCAGAAAGAATAAAACTTTACCTGGGATACTTTCATCATGTTCCCTTATAAAACTGTCTTGCAGGCAGAATCCGCTATGCGGTTCATGGAGCACACGTAATAAGCATTCCTGCCAGCTTGTGCTTCCTTGTACAGGACAGCCACTGAGATGTGTGATTTTGTCTCCTACGAGCAGACCACCTTCACCGGAAATGGAAGATCCCTTTAAGACAAAAAAGATTCAAACAAATCCATTGTGTAAATAAAAGAATCAAAATAATCACCAATTTGACAGATTGGACTTGAACGCCAGTACCAAAATTGAAGAAAGGATAAAAAAACCAAGGCAGAGTCGTAGCGATTACGGCTGCGACCAACGCCAGGAATATATTGTGCCATACACCTGCGCATAAAACACGGAGCTGTTTCAATGGTTGCAGGGAGTCCAGATTCTCCAAGTGTGTCATGACAACAGGGATGACAAAAAAAATCGTCATGCCGAATCCTCCCAAGTGAATACCTTCCCTAAAAATTTAGTATAAAGTTGATAATTAAACAAAAAAAATTCTGTTTTTCTAATATTTACCTCACAGCAGCCATTGCATGACCCATTTCATGAATCATGCTTGATATAAAAAGTGTCAAAAGATAATAACCAAAATCAGAGGAAGGCAAATTCCAACCCGGAACCTATAAAAAACAAAAAATTAAACAAAAAACCAATTAAAATATTAAAGCTTAAAACATCCTATAGAAATTACCAGAGGCTCAACGATCAGCATATTCCTCTCGACGTAATAAGAACTCCTCATTGTAACGTAAGTTGTATACATTATGAGGAGGAACGCCATGGGCATTATACAAATGGAAACCCAAGTGCCTGCCGTGAACCAAGCCGTTTGAAGCTTCGGGCGTTTCGAACTCCATTTCTGTATCTGTCGGTTGAAAGCCGTTGTAAACCAGTTTATCCTAAACGGCAGTATTTGTATGCCTGTCTTGGATAAAAAGTACAGGTACGGATAATGAGAGCAGCTCTAAAAAAAAGATAATTAACATTAGTAAATTACGAAGAAAAAATCTCCATTGTCAAACTGATGTGATAAAATTTATTATTTAAGATCAATGTACGATAAAAATCTACTTAATAAGTTAATTGATGTCAATTAAAAAACAGTTCTATGATGGAGCAATAAAATCAGGATTAAAAGGACGCGGTAGCTTTGGTGGGCCGGATCAACAAAGAGGCTCTCACAAATCAAGAGCATGGGTGGAATCAAAGAAGAGATGATTTCATCTATTTTCAACTCAACCAAGACCTTACATAAAAATAATAATTAATTGAAATAATTAATACGATCAATTGTAGCTACTAAACATAAATGGATTAATATAATAAGTAAAGAAATAATCACTTCACTAACAGCTCGCCGTGGCCATTTTCGTAAGACACTGAGAATTGAATCCTGATTACACGACATTTGAAAAATGGCAAAAAGAGGGAAAATTCTAACAGTTGTAGGTTGAGATGGAGAGTTGGTGTCTGAGAGGATCGAAGTCACAATAGCTCAAATGGTAGAACAGCGGCATTTTGAGCCAAAGATCGTCGGTTCAAATACTAACTTTTTCATCTCAACCAAGATCATATTTAAAATGAATAATTAATTGAATTAATTAATATGGTCAATTATGACCACTAAACATAAATGTTAGTTGTGTTACACACCCGAATAAGAATAGGCAATACTAGGTTAGCGCACAGGTACTTTTTACGCAAAGCTCATGTATGCATCCTTCTTAAAGATTGCTCAATGTGGCCCCTATAATTGAATGGTGACATTCCTTGGCTCCTTATAGAGAGCGTGTAGGAATGCTACCCGATACGAGAATTGCCCTTAAGCATGGCATCAAGAATTTTGGCCTCATGTTTTGAATTTTGGAGGAAACAGGGATGTTTTATTGTAATGTATACAGTAATTGATAGATATCGCCAGACAAGTAAGGAAGGGAACCAAAAAGCGAATGAGGTGGCTAAGGCCAGGGTCGTCTCAACCTATGGCCCTCTGATAATTGCATCACAATTGTATGTATTGTAGCCCAGTGGGAGGAATCATCAGAGCAGCTCCTACATTTCAACAACACGGTCAATCGATAACCCTCAGTAGATCTGATTCGTGGAAAAGAGATGATCCTTACCTGATTAAGAATAGGCATTTTTATTACATTATTTCGTATTTACATACCATTTACTCAAGTAGGGTGGTGAAGAACTAGATATTCCACCATCACTCTTTGCACATACTTTCTTTATCTAACTAATTTATTTGAGGTTCGATGGTGTATTCAATATTCCGGTACTGGCCATCTCGCACTACACATTCTTGCTAATAAATACATTTACTCTCAATACACACACAAGTAACACAAAACGGGATGTCAGTACTATTTACAATAAAACAGCCCAGTTTCAGAACGTAGGACTCAAATACTCACTTCCAAACTCACGGACAATTCTCATATCAGGTGGCATTCCTACACGCTCTCTATATGGAGCCAAGAATGCTATTTAATTATGGAACAATTTATCTCTACATGAAGGACACATGCGCGAGCTTTGTCCCAGAAGTATGTTCTGTGTCATAGTCATGTCAGATAGTATGTGCAAAGAGTGATGGTGGAATATCTAGTTCTCCACCACCCTATTTGAGTAAATGGTATGTAAATACGAAATAATGTAATAAAAATGGGTAAGAGTGTCTAGGTTTAAACTCCGCATGCATTGAGTCAGCCTTCAATGCATGCTGAGTTTGCAGCCAATGACCTAGCTGTTCACAGCCCCTAGAGCTTAACTTCAGCAGCAGTACATACTGAGGTTTGACCCCGGACACCAAAACATTGAAGCATGTCATAAACTCAATTCTGTTATATTAAGCAAAATTGAGCTTATATAAATCAATCGATCAATCATTCTACAATGGTTATGATCAAGCCACACATTCTCCTAACAAAAAATAATCATCAAAAACCCATATTTTAATATCTTCACACAAAAATTATGTACAGTTTAGGGTCAAACTGGGAAAGTGCATATTGATCATTCTTGATCATCATAGAAACATACATAGATAAACAGGTATGACAAGTTCAAGAGATATCAAATGTCATGTTTTGGTTATTTTGCATAAGTTTATGGTCTGTATACCCGTTTTTGGGAATAAAAGAATGAATTACCTTCAAATAACTTCAGATCACATGAAAGACAAGCAATGACCACATAAATGCAACAATTTTTAAAATTTGTCCAAAAAATTTAGCATTGTTTTTTTACATTTTTTTATAACAACCCACCTTGAAGACGACGTCGAAAAACAACAGGGATAAGTGCACGATCAGGGCAGCGATGAGGAAAACGAACAACTCATCCATGATCAATCATTTTACGACGATTTACATTTCAAAAGGGTCGGCAGTTGGAAAGCACTGATTGACTGACCGGCAAACAGCAACAGACGAGGTTTGCTGCTGATAAGACTGACGGCAAAGACAATCACTCAGCAACACGTGCGCTGTTGAGTTTAAAGCGGAGACGATTTTAAACAATAATTGGTGTTCCATTTTAAAGGGTGTTAATTATTTTTTAAACAATTACTCTAAGTTAATTAATCTAAAGTTAAGCTAAGTTTTGTAATCCTTCAAATAAAATTGCATTTGCAACAAAAACAGCATGTATCAAAGTGATCTTAATATTTTAATTTATTGTATTTGCATCTCTATTTTCTTCTTTAAGTTGTTCATTCAAGCAACCATTAATTAATCGTAAAAATAAATGGTTGATATTGTTTCCACTTGTTTAACTAGTCTGACCACCAATTAAATTATTGTATTATTCTGGAATTTTAGGTATATTATAACATTTGTAAAAACAAATTTTTTGATGTTCTTGCTTTGGGGTGACTTAGTAAAAAAAAGCCCTCAAAGTCCTTGGAAAATGATGACAAACTAATTTTGCAATCAGAATTTACGAACAACACTGCCATAAAAATTTAGCAAATTGGCAACTAAAAAAAAAAAATTATACTTTTATTTTATTTTTTAAATTTATTTATTTAAACGAGCGATGCCTAAAATACAGAAAAATTTGTCCATACTAAAAATTTAGAACTTAAATTAGACACTTGTAATAAACTACACATTTTGAAAAAGGTTAAACAAAAAGTAATTATTAAAAACATATTTATAGAGTGTAAACATCAACGTAAAAATTAGTCTGACCACCAATTAATTTATTGTATTATTCTTGAATTTTAGGTACATTTTAATGTTTGTAAAAGCAATTTTTTTGATGTTCAAGCATTGGCATGATGCGAGGTGATGTGATATCCTTGATTTTGTAAAACAAAGCCCTCAATGTCCTTTTGCTCAAACACTGACAAAGTAATATAGCAATTTGAGAATTTATGAGCAACACATCCGTAAAAATTTAGCAAATTGGCAACCAAAGAAAATTGTATCCTTTTATTTTATTTTTTAATTTATTTATTTTGTTTATGTTGAAAAAAATGATGGACTGATTAATTGGTCAAGCGGACCACGAAATCAGTGAAATTATGAACTGAGATAATTCAAAAGTAGAAGGGTTTATAATTTGAACAAAAAAATTATTGTCAATGCATGATGAGGAATTATGGTATATTCTAATTTGATGGTTTAAAAGACTTGTAATCCAAATATTGACAGGTCATATGTAGACCCTCTTGTCATGATCTTGTTAGTGAAATCTTTTTAATTAGAGCGCCTCAAAACTGTGGTGGTTGTCCTGGTCCCCGCACACACAGGTCTGGAGCTTGGCGAATAAGAAGACTAGTTAAGGCTGGGGCGGCACAAACTTCATGCTGACCACTGTCATCCTGACCATTTAAAAGGACATGGTAGCATCAATGGGCATATTGGCAGAAAAATACTCACTTATCAAGAGCACGGTCAACAGAAGGTCCTCAGTAGCTCTGAATCGTAGAAGAGGGATCATCCCCATCCGATTAAAAGAATAGGCCATGAGAAGATAGCACAGAACATACTTCTGGGCCAAAGTTCGCATGTGTGTCCTTCTTGTAGAGATAAATTGTTCCATAATTAAATGGCGTTCTTGGCTCCATATAGAGAGCGTGTAGGAATGCCACTTGATATGAGAATTGTGCTTGAATTTGGAAAGGAGTATTTGAGTCCTACGTTCAAATTTTTGGAGGAAACAGGGCTGTTTTATTGTAAATAGTACTAATAACCCGTTTGTGTTACTTGTGTGTGCATTGAAAGTAAATGTATTTATTAGCAAGAATGTGTAGTGTGAGATGGCCAGTACTAAAATATTGCCCCATCGACCCTCAAATAAATTAGTTAGATACAGATAGTATGTGCAAAGAGTGATATCTATCTCCACCACCCTACCTGAGTGAATGGTAGTAAATACGAAATAATGTAATTAAAATGGGTAAGTGTGTCTAGGTATAAAATCTGCATGCGTTGAGTCAGCCCTCAATGCTTGCAGTTTTCAGTCAGATTTCAGCCAATGACCTGCTGTTCAACACACGGTTGTTCAACACAAACATTAGATGTGTTCCGGTGTTTCTTCTTCCTCTTGGCAGTATCATCAAAGGCCACTCCGAGTCTATACTTATGGACTATGAAAAGTGATGGATACAACAGTATGTGTTGGGGTGATCTGCCATCCAGGTTTATGATGCAATGAGTCTTTATTTTTGTTCTTTAAGTTTTAACATGTCTATGCTACTTTTCATTGTATATATGTTTTTAATTTTAAATTGGATTTGACCAAAACAAAATGGCGTCTTTTGACAATTTCACTCTTGACTTGAGTAAATTTACACTTCGCCTGCAGACGAGGCCACATGGTGTCTTCGACCTTGAAAAAAAACAAGAAAACAAAGTCCCCGTTAAGTCCTTGCAAGTACGTACAACAACAAAACGAGGTTCTTTACAAAAAAAAAACCCTTTCCCCTATATCAATGTCCTGTGCTTACTTAGGATAAACACCTCGATATGAGCTCACACCGACGTCGAACCCGTTATCAATCCTCGTTACGAAACAGACGAGAGAATTAATCCCGCTAACCTTGTCATTTGACCCTGTTAAGAAGTGGGATAGAGTAAATATAATTAATCCGGCCATTATTTCGCAATTGCACAACCGGGAGGTAAAAAGGAAGGAGATGTCCTTTGTCCCCGATGACATCTCACGCAATGAACTCGAGAGCGCTCAACCTGCTTAGGTCCTTAACTAGAACCAATCAACTCAGATTCAGAAGAAGCGTGACTTCCCAAGTGAGTAAAATCGATTTAGTAAAAAAAATCAAAACATTTCTCCAAACCTGGATCGACGTTTTAGCATCCATTAACTCTTTTTTTTAATGAATGTAAATGTGTTTTAAGTTCCCAACATAGTCCCTCTTTATTTGTTTTTTAACTATACATAAATCGACAATTTAGAAAATGTTCTTTTTTGATGATATCATTGGTTAACATAAAATTAATTCAATTTTTTTTTTCAAAGTTTTGTTTAAGCCTCAAAACTGTGCATATTAATGTTAATGGTACAATTTTAGTTCTAAAGTAGGCTTTAGAGTTCAAAATGGCGGTTCTTTTGATACCAAGTTTTTGGACAAAAGTAAATCATTGGTTATGAATGTACTTTTCGATTAACAATCAAAATAATTATATTTTTATCTTTTAAAAACTGTAAATATTCAAACCGTGAACTGTCATTAAAAAATATTTTCTTAACTTTTTTTAAATTCACAAATAGACGTCCACTGATTATAATGGTCTTAAGCCTGAATTTAAAAAAAAAAAAATTTTTATTTTACAGGTCAAAAACCCATTTCTTAAAAAAAAATATATATACAAAAGTAAGGAGAAAAAAATATATACAATACAATGCTTATAACTAACTTAACATTAATAAAGAATAAAACACTAAACATGAATGAAAAAGACAATAAAATCCTTATAAAATAAAACAACATAAAGATTTAATTAAATACCCTATATATATAATTAATACGATTAGGAATAATCTCTATATATTAGAAACAATAGATATCTTTTCGAATCCCACACTATGTTTTACAGATGGCTCAAAAAATGATGTAGGGACAGATGCTGCTTTTTTCATTTATAATAATAATGCACAATATATGTTTACCCTACCACCTATATGTAGCAGCTACACCGCTGAGATTATAGCAATAGCAAAGTGCTTAACTACATTAGCCCCATCCAGGGAAACGATTGTCATCTTTACTGATTCTTTGTCGGCGCTGTTGGCTCTTAAAAACAACTTTTCTGTACATCCATTGATAAAAGACATCCTATTTACCATTGAAACTCTGCAAAATCAGGGAAATAGAGTAGTATTCATGTGGATTCCTGGACACTGCGGAATATTTGGTAATGAGAAGGTGGACCATTTGAAAAAGCAGGCTGACCTTAATGGAGTTAAAATTACAAAAACCCCAAAATCCGATGTGTCATGACAGCTTGGCATAAAAGAAAGTCTTGGCAGTTATGGCAAAGAGAATGGGAAACAACTTCTAATGTCAAACTTAGGGAGATAAAAAAACTGAGTAAAACCTTGGGCCTCACCTCGTACAGGTTACAGGCACGAAGAAGTTGTCCTTGCTAGGCTCAGAATTGGTCATTGTAGGCTTACTCGTTCTTATCTCATGGCAAAAAAAGGGACTCTGCTTTGTGATGTTTGTACAGAAAGAATAGCAGTGAAACACATTTTGACAAATTGCAAAAAATATGAAGGAGAAAGACATCGGCTGGAAATTCCAACCAACATCAAAGACTCGCTTGGTGATGACTCCGACCAAATAGACAAACTAGTAACTTTCCTTAAAAAAAACTAAACTAATTTCGGAAATATGAAGATAAAATGACAATAATTTAATACAAAAGAATATTCATTTTATGCGATAATCTGTATTTTACTCAATAGTTATTCAGATATCGTGAGATGCGGTCGGGTGTGATGTAGGTTTCAGAAAAACATTTTCTTTATCGTGCCAACGTTTCGATCTTTTATTGAGATCATCTTCAGGGCTCAAAGTGTTTGTCTTCTGTGTAATTGTGCCATCCTTGCATGTCGGGTTGAGAGTGCCACTCTGAGGGGGCACTCTCAACATGACACGCAAGGATGGCACAATTACACAGAAGACAAACACTTTGAGCCCTGAAGATGATCTCAATAAAAGATCGAAACGTTGGCACGATAAAGAAAATGTTTTTCTGAAACCTACATCACACCCGACCGCATTTCACGATATCTGAATAACTATCGATTAACGGTCACTAATCTGTACACATTTTACTCAATGTTGGGATGCAGTTTGGGTGCCTGTGATACTGCCAGGGCTTTGGTTTCCGCTGTCGGGGGGTTCCTGGGCTGTGACCCACTCACCACCCAGCTTGAAAGCTTTTAAGGCAGAAAATGACCCAATGCAGTTGATCGCTTTTTATAATAATAATAATAATAATGATTAGGAATTATAAAAAAGTATATATATATAAATAATTTAATAAAGCATTATAACAATATACATAGTACATTATTACCTTTTGTTAACTAAGTAAAATTATTATGCTTTAATAAATATTAATCATTTATATTAAGTAATCTAATTGGCTAAATTACTTATTTCAATTAATTATTCTTTTTATGTAAGGATTTGGGTGAGATGAAAATGTTAGTGTCATGAGCGGGATTCAAACCCACGATCTTCGGCTGTCACGTTGGCACAAGTAGTTTGAGCAGCGGCGTATTGAGCCGAAGGTCTTGGGTTCGAATCCCACTTGTGACACTAACTTTTTCATCTCAACCAAGACCTTACATAAAAAAGAATAATTAATTGAAATCATGCTTTAATAACTAACGTTTTAATGAGGAAACAGAAGTATTAAATAAATCAACAGTATTGCATATGTTGTCACATATCATCATGCGATGCATCGGGGAATGTTGTTAAAAAATTTTCCCTTTATATTCAATAAAAAATATTTTCTGATTTCTGAGATTGCAATGAGGTATATAAAATTGTTGTTTACCAAGGATTTCTGGGGAATCTGTACAATTTTTATTTAATTTGAAAATAAAAATAATCTCAAAATACTTTTGTCTGTGCTAAGATCAGGTATATTGAAGTAAGATTTAATGAGGGCATGAGAGGATTTATCGTTGTGACAGTTTAATTTCAAATGTAAGGTATTTATTTTGAACAGTTTGAAGTTTTATATTAGCATAGTAGTGCGAATTCCAGATGATTGAGACATATTCAAGATTAGATTGAACAAGTGAATTATATAGATGGACACAGCAAGAAGGATTTTTAAACTGTTTTAAACTGATAGGTACATCGGATGATGAAGCTAAGCATTTTAAAGGAGCCATTTTTGATTTCTTGTAAAAATATAATATTTATATATTGTGGTCAATTTATTACACTGGTAGAAAAATTTAACGCACCACTCAATTTATTTAGCTTAAAATTAAATCCATTATCTTTTTATATTAGTACACTGTCAATGGAGATATTATTTAGGAAGTCATGAAAATTTCTGATCTCGGTGTTATTTTCAACTGCAACGGTGATTTCCGAGAACACTTTGAAGCCATCACAAAAAAAGTCTATATGAATCTTGGCTACAGACTTCACCAATCCCTTCGCAATCCAATTCTTCTATCAGTCCCTTGATAGAAAAAATTTGGAGTAGGTCTGTATAGTTTGGTTTCCTGTGATGTGGATAGAGTTATGAGATTGCAACAAAGCGGTGCAATTTTAGTGTTCAAATCTGACAATCTTAGATCTTGTCTTACTGCGATAAACTTAAAGCTGTTGGACTGGATACTCTAAACCTGTATAGAGTGCTGGTTCGCTCATTTTTTTTCCCGGGGAGTTCTTAATGGTGTAACTGATGTGAATAAACTGTAAAGTATACAATGTTGGATTGATAAAATTTATATAAATGATTAATTTATTGTTGGTTAACACATTCAGCAGGTCAAGTTGGTTAAATTTACTTTTATGCCTAATTTTTAAACTTTTAATTTTTTTTCTATGCTTTAATGGCTGTCCTATTTTTGAGAATATATCCTCCCTGGACTTTGTATAAATAAATAAATTTGTGTTTATAAAGTTTCGTTTGATACGTAAAATAGAGCATCAAGGATTTTTTGTAAGATTAAGGATTGGGCAGTTTGGATGTGGTTCAGATGGTGAAATACAAATGACAAAGAAAAACCTGTTTGAATAGAATTATACTTTATACATTTTTAATCTTTTCTAATTGCAGGAAAATGTTATCCCAGAAGTCCAGGAGAATTTGCAAAATGACTACCTGACTGATAGTTTCGGACGTCGGCACACATACCTTCGGATATCACTCACAGAACGGTGCAATTTAAGATGTACAGATACAGTTTATTCATATTTACCATAACATAATCAAATGATTTACAAAAAACCCCTCTAATTTCAGGTCAATATTGCATGCCGGAGGAAGGTGTGAAACTGACCAAAAAATTAAAACTTCTGACAACCGATGAGATTCTACGACTCGCTGAACTGTTTGTTAAGCAAGGTGTTACAAAGATAAGATTGACTGGGGGAGAGCCTACTGTTCATAAAGATTTAATAACAATTATAAGTGAGTTTTTCTGTTTATAAGGCTTAGTTTTACTTTAAAAATAATTTTCTCTGTTTTTATTTAGGCTCTTTGAAAAGTATGCCAGGTCTGGAATCGGTTGCGATAACGACCAATGGGCTCACTCTGACCAGGCAGCTTGTCAGCATGCAGAAAGCAGGGCTTGATATCATCAACATAAGTCTTGATACGCTGAAAGAGGAAAAATATGAAAAAATAACAAGACGGAAGGGCTATCCGAGGGTCATCGCAGGCATAGACCTTGCCGTACAGCTCGGCTACTCCCCCGTGAAAGTCAACGTTGTAGCTATGAGGGGTTTCAACGATGATGAAATACTCGATTTCGTCGAGTTTACCAAGGATAGGAACGTCGATGTCAGATTTATTGAATACATGCCTTTTACAGGGAACAAGTGGGATACGGAAAAAATGGTGCCTTTTAACGAAATGAAAAAAGTTATAAAAGAGAAGTACCCTGACTTCGCACCTTTACCTAACAACCCAAACGATACATCAAAGGTGAATTAAAAATAAATAAATAAATTTTATAAGCGCTGTTTCAAGGTATTAAAAGATATTTTTAAAGGCATTTCATGTGCCTGGGTATAAAGGCCAGTTGGGGTTCATTACGTCGATGACACAGCATTTTTGCGGTTCGTGCAACAGGCTGCGTCTGATGGCTGATGGAAGTTTAAAGGTGTGCCTCTTCGGCAACGCAGAAATATCTTTAAGGGACGCAATACGAAGCGGCTGCAGTGAGGATGACCTGTTGGCCATGATCGGCGCTGCTGTCATGCGAAAAAAGAAACAGCACGCTGGTAACGAAACAAATTTTTCCCCGCCTAAATAAGAACAAACTTTACAAAAACAAATTTTTCAGGGATGCTCAATCTAGCGCAGATGCCCAACCGGCCGATGATTCTGATCGGTGGGTGACTCTTTAAGCAACACATATTAGGTAGCTTAAATGTCTGAATTTTTTTATAAACCAAGTGGGGCTAGATGTCATTTTGTCCGTCTAACATCGCCACATCAAATCATATAATTGCATGATGGGCATATGTGAGTCACTGCTTTTGATAATTGGCTTGATATAACATGAAAGTGTTTTGCATGCTACTTATTTGGATAAAATAAAAAACAAAGGGAAATAATGATCAATTAAAACAATTACCTTGATTACTTTATTCAGATTTTAAGGCTGCTTCATAAAATTATTATTATTATTAAATTCACATTTTGTGGTCCACTTGACCAATTAATTTCTTACAATTAATTAAGGTTTTCAGTTGAGATAAAAAAGTCAATGCCACGAGCGGGATTCAAAACCCACGATCTTCGGCTTGATACGCCGCTGCTCTACCACTTGAGCTATCGTGACCTCGATCCTCTCGGACACTAATTTCCCATTTCAACCACACCTTTTGAATTTTCCCTCCTTTTTGCCATTTTTCAAATGTTGTGTAATCTATTTGATTCTCCGCGACAAATGAAATGGCCACAGAGAGCTTTAGTGAAGGTATACTTCATTGTAAACTTATTAAATTCATTAGTTCGTGGTCCGCTTGACGAATTAATATCTTACAATTAATTAAGGTTTTCAGTTGAGATAAAAAGAGATGGGAAGTGTCCGAGTGGATCAAGATCACGATAGCTCAAGTGGTAGAGCAGCGGTGTGTCAAGCAGAAGATCATGGGTTCGAATCCCGCTTGTGCCTTTGAATTTTTTTATCTCAACTGAAACCTTAATTAATTGTAATTATTATTAAAACACAGTAACAAAAAAATAAGCCTTGAGTTATCCACATAACCCAAAACCGAGAGTAAATAGAAGTTTTGTTGGAAAACAGAATAACCTGAATGGACCATCATGTCATAAGACAGGTTTCTACTGGTGACCGTTATCCTACCATAATTATAAGTGTGGAAAGGGCGTTTTTCCACAAAACTAAGCATTTTCCTTGGTACTTTATTAAAAAGTCTTGAAAAGGTGATTTGGTTAAGTTTCAAAGTGGCATAACGGAGGCAACCGTGGAGTTGGTTTGGAAAAGCTTTTGGAAAACAATTTTTTGTTGAAATCTTGAGGAGCAGTAAGAATGAAAAAAAAAATTTGGATAACTCAATCTGTTCGTTTTTGTCAGGCAACAATATTAACAATTGACACTCTAAAAAATAGTCAAGTTTGTTAAGTCGGTCCTGCCATAATGACTGTACTAAACTGCTTCACAAAAAAAGTGGTGCACTGTGAAATTACGTTATTTTTTTATATCCTTGCCTTTTCAGTAATATTAACACCAATATTTTTATTTAAATTCAGGTATTTATTAAAAGATTTGGTTAGTGGGAAAATAAAAATATCAGAAATTAAATAGTTAAAAAACGATGAAATCACTTTTGTGTATGAACACAAAACATTATAAAACAAACTTAACCATCTTTAATAGGGTGGATTAAATGGTCCTGCCATAATGACTGTACTAAACTGCTTCACAAAAAAAGTGGTGCACTGTGAAATTACGTTATTTTTTTATATCCTTGCCTTTTCAGTAATATTAACACCAATATTTTTATTTAAATTCAGGTATTTATTAAAAGATTTGGTTAGTGGGAAAATAAAAATATCAGAAATTAAATAGTTAAAAAACGATGAAATCACTTTTGTGTATGAACATAAAACATTATAAAACAAACTTAACAATCTTTAATAGGGTGGATTATCTCCTCTTGCTCTTATTATATACTGTAAACTTCTCATCATGCTCTTAATTAAGTCTTTAACCACTTCTTGATAAATTTCATCCCAAATCTCAACTAACGTAACTTTTACCTGAGCTAAGGCTGAAGGAGGGTTATTTGTTCATACCAACGTCCGAGCTCATCCCAAAAATACTCAGTGGGGTTCAAATCAAGAATACAGGCTGGGCGTCTTAGGATGTCTTCATAACACTGGTGGCGACAGTTGGTCTTGCGTAAAAAAAATTGCTCGCCAATAAACGGAGTGAATGGCACAACATATTCCTCGAGAATTTCTGCATTATGTGACGTCCTATTAAAAATGTGTAACTACATTTTTACCTCTAAAGAAATTCCACTCCACATAGTAATTGAACCACCGGGGGCTGCGGTAGCTGAGTGGTTAAGGCTTCAGACTCTCGGCTAGTAGATCCCACGGTCGTAGGTTCGATCCTCACCGTCACCTCTGGACTTTTTCTGACACCTAAGGGAACCAGTGGCCTCAATTGAAAGAAATTGACACGGCATTCATCAATGGAAGGAGCAGGATCAGATCTCAGCGACCCTGAATTTGGTCCCAACCCCCTTCAAAAATGAGTTTCTTCGATGGAAGAACACCGGCACACCGGGGGTTCAAATTCACACTTGTGTTGCGAGCCCCCAAAAAAGGGAGCCAGGGATAAAGTACGATAACCTGTACAATAAAGCTGCAGTTATCAGGAGGGAACTCCTCCTGTTCCTGGTATCCATTGTAGAAAAAAAAAAATTGAACCACCGAATGACCCACATTTCTGGATTTCTGGCAATGTTGCATTGCTACCTGATAAACTTGAAGATGTCCTTCTAGTGAATGAAGAGAAAACTGGGATTCGTCTAAAAACAACATTCCTTCATTACTGTTTCCACTCAATGTCGGTGTCCCTTGCAAACTCTAAGCAGTCCCAACGATGGTCTCTGATAAGTGCTGGACCCGTTGGGATGTAGACTGACTTCAGCAAGCCTCCTTCTTACTGTTTCAGCACTATCAGACACCTCCCGCATATTTCAAGGTCTTTGAGACGTTTTAGAAGCAATGGAAAAGTGAAATATAATAAATTGGTCATCAGCTGGTCCTTTGGCTCTTGGGCGTCCCGATCCTGGTCTCTGAGCACACCTTGCCATTTCCTCGTACCACTGAATACACATCAATATCGTTTTAAACACTTGCAGCATAACGCTGCTTTCTTCCATCCTCAACAAGTGCAATGGCACGGGCAACTTGCTCGTTATTATGGGCATTTTTGTAATTGTTTTGTTTTGTGCCACCAATACAAATTGGATAAAGGGATTTTTAAAGGATTAAATGTCCTTGTTGATGATTTACATTGTGGAGATTTGTGTGGTGATTAGTGACCGTTAATCGATAATCATTCAGAAATCGTGAGATGCAGTATGGTGTGATGTAGGTTTCAGAAAAACATTTTCTTTATCGTGCCAACGTTTCGATCTTTATTGAGATCATCTTCAGGGCTCAAAGTGTTTGCTTTCTATGTAATTGTGCCATTCTTGCATGTCGTGTTGAGAGTATTTTGCTGTTTTATGTTTATATACGTTGGATTTACGTTGGCAAAACATTGGTACGATAAAGAAAATGTTTTTCTGAAACCTACATCACACCAGACCGCATCTCACGATTTCTCAATAATTATTGTGGAGATTTTAAATTAAATTATAAATAAAGCAGTTTTGCCTCTCTATCAGCAACAAAATAAGTACTTTCCGTCTAATTATGATTATTAAATCATTTTTAAAGTAGTAAAACAAAAAATATGGCCAAAACATTGTCAAATTAAAAAAGAAATTTCATAGTGCGCCACTTTTTTTTGTAAGGAAATAGTAGCGACCAGTGGTGACGGAGGAATTGAACCCACATCTGTGGGTCAACAGGTCATGGAAATATCATGCTGATCACTCGGCTACTGAGGTACCTCTCTCCCGCCTCCCAAAAGAATAAAATTTTAAAAAAATTCACAATGCTTTTGTGTTTTGTAGTTTGAAATTAGTGCATCAAGGCCATTTCATTACAAATTGTTGTTTGCATGAGGAAAATTAAATTAATAAACCAACAGTTATAAAACCATTCATAACACATAATAATTAACAAAGATTGTGGATGTATTGCATGATGTTTATTTCATTAAAAAAAAAAAAAAATGTCATTTGTAAGTTCATGAAATTTGAATGCATCCAGTTCATTATTTCATTAATCTCTTTATTATTGATTTTCAGATTTAGCGAACAAAGCCATATCAATTTTGCATAATAATTTAAAATTGGCCCACATGATAGGTGTGAGACGAAACAGATTAAATTTTTTTGATTTACAAACGCGCTTTAAGAGCACATTAACCCATGTCGACGAGAAAGGGAAAGCCGCCATGGTTGATGTCGGCCACAAGTCAAACACAGACAGGACAGCGGTGGCAAGAGGGATCGTGTATGTTGGCGGAGAAATCACCAATTTGATCAAGGAGAATCAAGTCAAAAAGGGCGATGTGCTAACCATGGCACAAATCGCCGGGATCATGGGAGCCAAGCAGACTCCCAGGCTTATACCACTCTGCCATGACATACTCCTCAACCACATCAATGTTGAGGCACAACTCGACGAAAAATCTGAATCTGTGGTTATAACGTGCACGGTGAAATGCAATGGAAAGACTGGCGTTGAGATGGAAGCCCTCACTGGTGTCGCAGTCGCAGCGCTTACTGTCTACGACATGTGCAAGGCTGTCACCCACAAAATGATCGTGAAAGAAATCCTGCTTGTAAAGAAGACTGGCGGCTATAGAGGGGTATATGATATAGATGATGAAGCACTATAAAACTTTGGCGCAGCGTAAATCAATTGTTAATCATATTTTAATAAAATATTGTTTTAATTTTGATATTTAGTATTTCATTTAATTTACAAACACTTTTTTCCTTAATAACAAAAAAATTTTAATTCTAATTTTTAGGAAATATAACGTAATAAAATTTTTCATGAAACAGCACAATTATTGCCATCTTCTGATGATAGCGACATCGTGAAATGGCCACCTTTTAGCACATTATTGACAATGGCTCTGGCAAAATAGCCTAGCGTAGTGGCTTCAGTTTCGGAAAAGAAGATCTTTACATCGTTACAATTTTCCCTGTTTGTATCCTAAAAATAAAATTTGCTTTTAACGTTTCCACTGAAAAGGTTGAACTTGTCACTAACTTTGCAGTATATGGCGAATGCTTCCATCACCAGATCGTCAAGATTGAGTTCGTTGTTGAAAGTCAATTCTGGATTTCTTTGCAAAATCGTGGAAACTATGCAAAGCAGCTGGAACAAAAGGAAATAATTTTTACCAATTTGTTTTTAAAAATTTATTTAATTTCATTTCCCCAAATAAAAAAAAAAGGTACTCAGTAATGTCCTGTTTGTCCAAACTGATTTGGATCAGGTCCTATTTGGATTAGCAAAAATTCAGATCCAACTAATACAGAAATAAACAGTAAAACAGGTCGAGTAAACACACTGGACCAGGCAGCAAATGCGTTCAATGAAAAATAGGTTGGAAGTTTTGAAAAAGCAGGATAAGAATGATAGTGTAGTTATCGTTTTTGATCATTTCCATGGTTTGCCAGGTCCAATTTGGCTTCTCACCAATAATAATTTTGGTTAAAACCAGGGATCGTAATAGCCAAGTGGTCAGCGTGATAGACTCTCAGCTCGTAGACCTCAGGATCGTAGGTTCGTTTCCCACAGTTGCCAAAAAAATGGCCAGCCATTTTTTTCACACAGCCCTTCCCCCCAACTATATATGATGAAATAATCAACAGAATCATACTATGGCTAATATGCAAGGTCATAAGCGGAAAAACAAAAAAACTGAAAATGATAACAAATCAAAACATGTCTGACAGACTAAAACATGAAGATAAGCAAAGGCAGACTAAAATGGCAAGTACCAAACTACAAGTTCATCACCACGCAGACTTCACAATTTTTAGATAAAAGTGCAGAAAAAAAATCGGCAGTACAGTTTAGAGTGGGGAAAGCTAAAATAAATATATTTTTAACAATAAAATTTACTACAGTTCAGATTAGATATAAATTCGTATTAACAGGACTGCACTATAAGACACTATATGTGGTGATTAGTGACCGTTAGTCGATGATTATTCAGAAATCGTAAGACTTTTTTTTCTTTTTGACGGGCTTCCGATTTAGGTCATTTCAGCCCCCAACTAAGTCTATATTCTATGTACCCTTTCAAACACTACATTCATACAAATAAATACATTCATACACTTAAATATATCCATACAGTACACTCATTCCGTTTGGTCGGTGGAGTACTTGATATTCCTCCACCAACCTATACACTAATAACTAATCTAGATTGGGGTCGATGGAGTACTTTTATAAATATTCCACCATCTACCCCGAACACACACTCTTACGCTCTCAACATTCAAGGGGCGATGATGACGTTATATTTCACCTTCACCCCTCGCCATTCACGCTAATAAATACATGCACTCAGACAAAACATAAAGACACAACACATAATACATATTATATACAATAAAAAACCCCAATTTCCCCTAAAAAGCGTAACAGGGGACTCTGAAACTCGCTATCGTGTTCGAGAACTCTTCTTAACTCCGGCGGCATGCCTACAAGCTCTATGTATGGAGCCAAGGCATGACACGCCTCTATTATGTGGGACACATCGAGCAACCTTTCTCTGCATCTGGGGCATCTACCTGCGCGGGCTTTGGCCCAAAAGCAGGTGCTCATGTGTCAACCGTTTATGGCCAATCCTCAGTCGGGTGAGGACGATCCCCCGTCTCCTGTTCAGGTTCTCTGAGGCCCATCTACCGGTCGTGCTCGCATAAGACACTATTATGAGCCTTACACTTTTTTTTCCTTTTTAAATATAATTTGCTTTGCATAATGTTTTTTTTAATAGAAATTCAATAACAAAAAGCTAAAAAATGAAATCAGCTTACTTCTACAATGATTTGCCTGTATTCTGGTTCTTGAATTTTGTTGAGAGCTTGCTCAATTAGAAGGGAGAACCTTAATTCCGAGCTCGTCATGTCGGAGAGCTCAGGCTGGTGAGGAAGTACGCAGCCCTTAACTTTGACACCCTGCAATGTCCTCGAAAGGATGCACCATACCCTCTGGTAAAACTTTTTTGGAACACGACACAGACATCCTTCAAGCCGCCTTCTTGCCAACGGGCACAATCTTAAAATAAACTTTCATTTAAAAAATTGAAGAAAATTAAAAAAAAAACTTACTGTTCTTTCGAAGCCCACTCACTCACAGATAGAATTTTAGAAAGAAGCTGTCTAACTTGGAACGGGCTTAAATTTTCAAGGGTCTCTTCATTCTGAGAAATTTCTAAGTAAATTTTCATAGCCTCGACAACCCATCTAAACAAGATTTATTGCACATAATAAAAATATACATTAAAATGATAAACCAGCTTTTTTTAAGTTTTAGAATATAAACTATATTGAACTGGCACTGGGTCTGTCTACGCCATCTTCAGTGAGGAACTAGGTGGTTCAAAGCTGAAACACACTTGACTAACATAAAAAAACCAACAGGTTTAGATGGACTTAGTGACTACTTGCCAGTTCAAAGATTAACGCCTCACCCAACTCTGATTTTGAGAATCCCTCTAAAGAGATGTGGACTAGTTGCTATGAGCCTGCCGCAATATAGAACAATCTCCTGCTGCAAAACCGCCTCGATGACACTGTGCGGGTGGATTGTTGAATAAATTATCGATTGGAACTCAGCAGGGGTCAACGGCTTTTCGAATACAGTCTCTTCCTGGCTGATTACACCAATAGTCAACTGTTTACCACTGACGAGAACAGCGGTGATAAAAGGGCCAATGCTGTCCACCGTGTGGTTCAACAAGCTACTGCAATACCGAACCACAGCCCAGTAATGATGACAACCTGCTTTACTGTGAAGGTCCTCCAAATGTTTTGTCACTGAACAAAATCATTAGTTTAAAGGTTAAAGTTTAAACTCAATGTTAAAATTTTGTTAAATGATTACCTGTCTTTCCTTGTACTTCGTAATTCGCTCCACATTTGTTCAAAAGATGGCCTAGAAGCTGTGCTTGGCTAAACATTCCTGGTGAGCTTCTCAATGCATCAATAATATCTGGGATCGATTTGTATTGGTAAGCCTGCATTAGTTAATTTAATTACCACAAGAAATATAGTTAGGCTAAGATACGCATTTAATTACTTTATAATCGACAAATTTTTCGTTATAACAAGTTGCCAATGGAATATCGGTCAAGCTTTGATATCCGATGTATTCGTGTTCTAATTGGTCAAACTGTTGAAAAGTGGTTTCACTCGGGTCCAGCATATTCACGAAATCCAAATGTTCTAAAATGGAAACATGTTAAAATTAACATTATAAAAAATATGTAAAAAAGTAATTCCTGTGCCACTAACATCCAACTACACATTAGGTGTCGGAACTTAGGATCAGAACGACTTTACAATACTTTTTTCTTATTATTCAAAATTGCAAAGCAAAAAATGACATTCTCTTAAAGTTCCTTCTGCACAAAACTTAAGTACTATTAAAATTTTCAACTGCTAATTCTCAAATACTATCCAAAACTTTAGGGTGTCTGTTAACATTGCTGTAAGGTAAAAGTCCCGGGTTTGAATGCAGGGCTGCTGGACATGCTTATAAATGGGCTTTTTCAAAAACCCTGGCACCCTGAGGGTTTGTTTAACCTCGTAATTGAAATATCTTCGTTTAAAAAAATTTTAAAAAAATCTTTTGGAAGACATCAAAAGTCATATTTCTAAAGAAAGCAAGGAAATCCCATGGTGCCCCATCAAGCCATCATTCTCTTAAGCTCCAGGCTAAACATTTTAATAAGTTCTTCTAACGAGCATGGAATATCACCCAATCTGTGAAAGAGAACAGTTCACCAATTTTTTTTACAACAGATACCAGGTACTGGAGGAGGAGGTCCCCCTGAGCTCTGCAGCTGTACAGCTTATTGTACTTTATTCCTGGCTCCATTTTTTGGGAGCTCGCAACAGTGAATTGAGCCCCCGGTGTGCCAGTGTTCTTCACCGAGACCAAATTCAGGGTCAGTGAGATCCGATCCTGCCCCAGACCTTCCATTGATGAGTGTCGTGTCAATTTCTTTCAATCGCAGCCACCGGTCCCCTTAGGCGTCAGAAAAAAAATTCAGAGGTGACGGTGGGGATCGAACCCACAACTGTGGGATTTACTAGCCAAGAGTCTGAGTCTTAACCACTTGGCTACCATTCCCCACAGTCATCACCCAATCTGGGAAAGAGCAACTCAGCACTCAGGGACAGTTTACCACTACTTGAAACTGTTTGGCACGAAGAAGCCATATACTTATTAATAAAATATAACTTTCCTGTTTATCAAATAAAAGTTATTCAGTCGTACAAAAACCAAAGATTTTCGTGTTTCACATATGACTCTCTGCTTCTCACATTGACGGCTGAAATTTCCCAAGGATGAATCCTGGACCCTGTTTTATTTATCATGTTCCTTAATGTCTTATCCCTACCCAAGAAGTGCAGAATGGTCTTCTATACTAATGACAGCATTGTTCTACACCATAAAGGCCAAGTGTTATAATCAAGAGACAACTAAAACGGGCAGTCGAAATGGGAAGTTTATGGCATGGGCGATCGAAGTCACAGTAGCTCAAGTGGTAGAGCAGCGGTGTATTTAGCCGAAAGTTGTGGGTTCGAATCCTACCTGTGACACAAATTTTTCATTTCGAAAAAATTGGGTATAATTAATTGAGCTTCTGAACTCAGATTTTTCCCATTGTGACAATAAACCATATATGATTAAAACGCATTTTTTCCTCCATTTTAAGTTAGCAAACACCTCATAGAAATAGAGATATTGAACAAAAACGAGTGTGTAAACGATAATGACTAAATAAAAATTGCATCAAAACAAAAAAGGGATTGTCAATTTAACTTTTTATATTCTTCTTCCCCCAAAAGGATGTTCATTCGAACAGACTTGTAATATTGTATAATAATAATTAATAATATCGCTTGTAAAATAGGAAGCATTTTACAAGCAATATTACAAGTCTGTTCGAGTGAACATCCTTTTGGGGGAAGAAGAATATTAAAGTTAACTTGACAGATTTCCTCTTGCGGCCTACGGGCTGATGAACTTGTAATTTGATCATTAGCGATCATTTTTATCTGCCTATTTTCACTGGTTGGTCTGTCTGACACAACATAACAAGCACATAACAATCAAATTGCAAGAATATAAAGTTCTTAAATACATTTTACAAACCAACACATGAAGATGAGATTAAATTTTGAAGCCTTCCAGTGCGCACTTTGATGCCCTCACAACAACCTTTCTTCAGCATTGCCATCAAGTCTAGCATCTCTTTAAACTGCGGATCTCTTAAAAAAATACAAAAATAAAAAGACGTAAGAACAATTTATATTGAAAAGATACCTCATGTGATCTTCTCGTATAAGAAGGCAAAACGTAGGCCGACCTGAGAGTCTCCAGTATCTAGATACAAACTGCAGCTCGGTTTTAATGTCTTCGATCAGTAATGCCATGTCTCTGTAGAGATAGAATTCAGAAACTTCAAATATAAGAGGGTAGCACAAGACAGTCGTTCCTGCCACTCTGTAGAACTGATACCTTAAGTTCATTTTAAATGAAATTTAAAAACAAAAAATTACCACCTTGCTCGTGCCGAGGGCACCGACTGGTCTAGGTGGTCTTCCTTTTAATCTAAGTTTCGAGTTGACGCCAAGGTTCTCATAGACTTTCACGAGTTGGTTTGAAGACCAGATCTGGATCGGCTCGACCTCATGCGGTGTCTGTGTCTGTATGCCGTAAGTGGCCATCATTGCTTGCAGGCGCATTGACTCAGCTATCAATACAATCTGGACTACTAAGTCTGTAGCAGTCCCCTAAAAAAAAAGCCAAAAATTTGAGAAACAAGCACATATTGAATCAATTCATTTAATGATAATCCAACTTTCTTGAAAGTAAAATCATGTGCTACCTGAAAAGCCGAATAGCGTCCATTCTTCCTTGGCCGCGAGAAGGATGGTAAGTGCCGCTTAACTGGATCAAGTTCATTGATATGAAGCAGTCCAGATGTGAGCAACTGAGAAATGACAAAAACGGCTTGATTCCACAGGAAAAGTGGGTTCTTATCACCTGAGCCTTCGACACTTGAAACCCTTTCCTGGCTTCCTGGGTTAGCCTTCTCTTCGGCAAGGTTTTCATTTTTTACATAAAAGTACATCGGGATTACTGGATCTAAAAATAATAAAAAGAAAGAATGTAACCCTTATTTTATTTATTTATTTTTTTATATGCTTTAAGAAACAGACCGAAGGAAAGAGAAACTTGGTACTTTCGACAAATATTAAGACATATAAAAAGGACATAGTCTAATGACTAAAGCTATGGAAAGTAATTCCTTTTAACACCCAACTACTTGGGTGTTGTGGATGAGCGGTCAAACCACTTTACGATAAATTTTTCATCCCATTATCAATTAAAAAGCAACCAGCTTTAGGATTCAAACCTAGAACCGATAGTGTGGCAGAGACGAGTCAGATGCCCTAACCGCTCAGCAACTATGGTCCTCCAACTAAAGTTATCTGAGTAGCAATACCAGCATGAATTGCATTATGGGGCACAGATGATGAAGGTAATGGTCGATAACCTTCAGACCTTGACGCACTATTTCAAAAGAGTTATAGAGGACCTCAGCATGTAGCATGAGATCTGAAATTGTTGTCCTGGGTGTATGTCTCCTTATCTTACATAGGAGACATACACCCAGGACAACTTTAGATAGTAAAAGGCTGAAACGAGATATACAAAACCAGCAGTAGACCAGGATGAACAAAGATAAGGTAGCTATCGATTGTTCACACTGCAGACCTCGTGTTCAGATTCTCTTGTGTCAGCCTACACTGCCTGTCACTGACTCCATCTCAGCTGTCACTGCACATGGCCTCAGCATCTGACTCCATCTCCACGATACTCATTCAGGTTCTGACTCTGAATGTCACTGACTTTCTCCGAGTAATGGCCTGTCTTATACCCTAGCTCAGCTTCAGATTAAGAACCTTGGATAGCGCGACTTTGGAGTGCATGGACCCCAGGACCTTGCTAATGAAGTTGTGACCTCAGATGGCAAAACTTCATAATATTAGCCTTGGATGATGTGTCTATTTATGAAGCTGTGGATGAGGGAGTAGACCCCTTGTCGGGTAGGCTTTGGATATGATGTGACAATATACCTTAGGACCTTGCCTAACAAATCTGATCTGATTGTACTAACTATGAATAATAATTGTAAAAAACCACACTGTACTACTTGTAAAAATAAGTATTTGATGAAGTTGAAGTTATCAACCTGCATCAATTAATCTTCAGGAGGTCAAATGACGCTGGATGCCTTATCTCCTGTTGCTCAACACCTTGCTCAAGCAATCATAACTTATATGGTTTATGTAAATTCGTCTTTCTTGGGGATGTAGGTATTCTAATGAATAATTTATGCTATTTTTTGTTCCTTATCAATTGTAATTTTGGATACTTATTTTACAAAATTGTATTATATTGTCAAAAAATTTATATGTACTGTTTTAATAAATCTAGGCCCTCAGGATATAAGTCACTGAAAGCTCGGATGAACCCGGAAGCTGTTATTTTTCTATTTGTTTCATCCGTCATTTGACCTCCCGAAGATCCAACTCGTAACATTAACAAGTACTCATTACAAAATAATTAAAAGGAAATGAAGTTATTGATGCCAGACCTATAATCGTAAATTATAGATGTTTGACATGTGCATAGATGTGAAGACCTCTTTAATTGTTTTACTAATAAAATACGTTATAAAATAAATAAATGTTTAAACCACTTACCACCATTACTGTCTTTTCGGAGGATTGACTTCAAAGTAGTTTGATATTCTTTAATCTGTTTATTATCTCCATGGTATACGCCATCGATAATCATGAACATTAGGAACAAAGGCCATTCACTTTCTATATTTTCAAATTCCTAAATAGATCTGTTGTTTAAAAAACTAATGGTCGAATAGTTATAAAAGAGGAATTACCTTGCTTTCGCTGACTTTGTAAAAGCGCCTTGAAGGGTCCTCAAGAACAGATTTGTAACCGTCTCGTATGAACCGTTTGAATCCGTATTTTCCTTTGAGCGAATGCAAATGTTTTTTGGTCTCTACGACCAAGGAGACCTCGTGCGTGGCGAAAGCCGGGAAGGAGACTGTCATTAACAGAGATGCATCTTCCGCCTTGGTGCTCGACTCCCTAGGAAGCAGGGTTTCAAATATGCTTCTGTTCCTGTTGTGTGCGTCGATGTCGACGTAGATAACAGACCAGGAGGCGCCCTTCTCACCAAACAGGTTGCAGCCGTTGATGGACTCCAGAGCGCTTTTTGCCATACCAATCGAACTGATGGATGAGACTTTGAGTTTATTTATGTTTTACAATACAATCAGGCTAATGTTAATCACCTCGCATGAATTTCTGGTGTACCGTCATTGTATTTTGTCCCTCTTTCCCACATTCCGAAGTCGGGCGTTCTGTACGCTCTTTCAACGTAGTAAACCAAATTTTGCACAAATGCAACCTCGTCTTGTGTATATATTATTTGCAGTCCTGATGAAATCATTTGGACTAAGAATATCAAATAAAGGGATACGTTGTCAATCTGGAAGTATATGGTGTAAGAACAATTTGAAAACTGATTGTTTGAATTTTAAAAAAATAAAAAACCTGGAGGTGGTTGTAGTCGCTGTCTTTTAGAATCTCATCGCCTGTTGTCAAGTTAAACTTGGAGTGTAGAGAAAATTTAAAATTTTGATTTCGTTTGAACTCCTCAACTCGGTCAGCTTGCTTGATCCAACATTGCAAAATGCCACGCATGCATTTCACCGCTGACTGGCCCAACTCATACGATTTTCCTCGGTCATCGTCAATCCGTCTGGATAAAGCAAGTCACATAAAACACAAATTCAAGTAAAACTGTCACAGATTGGAAATAACGATTTTACCATGACACGGTATTAACGAACAAAGAATAAATTATAATTTCAGAGCAATAAAGACAAAAGGATGTAATTTATTAGAGTTTTATCATTCCTCCTCTAGAGAAATAATCTTATCATTTCATGCTACTCATATATGAACAAGAGCTATACCAGTAGATGGTAAAATATAAATCTTAGGCATGCATTAAAAAATAACTAGCAGCCAAATGCAGCTCTCTGGGTCGCCAGGTCACATTTTCATGTACATTAACAAACAAAATACAGATACTGTACACACAGTCAAACAGCACCAAGGAACAAGGCTAAGGGCATCTTCCAGCATGACAAGGGTTTGTCATTGACTATAAAAATCATTACCATCAAATTGAATTTTAAAAAATCAGAACTTCAAAGAATATGAAAAAAGAATCATGAAAAAACTAATTTAATGAATTGAATTTGATTATAGTGAACCAAAATTTTAAACATAGTTTTGAATATGTTGTGCCAGTTAATATTTTTATTTGGCATATGGACAAGTTTTGTTTATGTTTAATTATTATATTTTTCTTCCTTTTCTACAGGAAACTATGTAAATTTGTTCAAAATCTGAATTTTTTTAATTCTTAGAAGGACAAACTGGAGGGAGAAGAAGGCAAGGGCTTTAATCCAAAGTGGACGAAAGTGGAGAACTTGCACCAGAGAATAGAACTTAAAATGATAGAATCTACGATGACAGAAAACTGCATCGTTCTTCAATAATTGTCTGCACAACCTGTTCAGACACACTGGTACTCACAACCTTCATGCACGCTGGAAATATCACAGAGTCAAAAATATCCTTCAGAAAGCCCAGCCAAGGAGACAACCTTAGACAAACAACTCCAACTGTGATATTTGTGATATTATATGTATATATGATTTTGATTTGATTTATTTAATTTTTCAACATTGCGATTCTGCTTCAGTAATGTGCTCATTTAAAAAATTTGTTCTATCAAACTTAGTGGTTTTCTTTTGTTAGTTATTTCCCTGTGATTGGCATGAAGGCCTCCTGTACAAAATAAAGCACATCCTATCAAATGCCCTCTACCTAACCAAACCTTCAGAATCTACGAAGTATCAGCCTACTCTGACTATTGACCTCTAGTGAGTACCTCAGGGCAGAATACTTAGACCGATCCTTTAACTCCTCTACACCGCAGACATCCCAACTTCACCCTCCACCTGCTGATGACATAGCTGCGCTATCCTTTCATTCCTACCCCATAATTGCTTCAGAGGAGCTCCTGAAAAACAGCCAAATGAAGAAAACATGACGGAAAAGCTTAATGAAAACAAAAGCACACATCTTTGAAAGAAAACCCCTCATACAATATTCCTCAATACACTCTCATCTCAAAAACAGACTGCGTCCGCCACCTTGGGTTCCATCTAGACTCAAGGCTAACCTGTAACCAACCCACAGGGCTAAAATATGGCAATAAACCAATGTGACATGACTACTCTACAGACTGTTGAGCAAATCTAACATTTCAATGAAAAACAAACTGACAATCTACATACAATACTAAAACCAATCTGGACATACGTACGAGAACTGTGGGGCACCGCCAAACTTTCCAACATCAAAAGAATATAGCCCTTACAATCCAAAGTGCTCAGAAACATAGTCAATGCTCCTTATGCTCCTTACTACACCTCTAACAACACCCTTTACACTCCTTTAGGGTCATCAGTGAGTGCAAACAGTTTAAGCGTTGACACGGAGCTCATCACTGTAAGGTAAAGGTCCCGGGTTCGAATCCAGCGACATACTTCCAAAGTTTTTTTTTTGCTTTTTTTCAAAAACACCGGCACCCTGAGGGTTTATATGACCTATGATGTTGTGAACCCTCATTTAAAAAATTTAAAAAAAATAAAAATTTTCACTTTCCATACTAAACTATCCTCTTACCCCAATCAAGTCGCCCAATCTTTGTCCTAGGAGTATTAGTCCTTGTGTATAGCGGTTGTTAACCCCCCTTCATGGTCCATGTCAATTGTAAATTTAACTCATTACATGTTGTAAATAATGTAACGATGAAACTAGATTATCAACCTGCTGGATACAAGAAGTCTTTTCAGAGGATCTTCGGAAGAGGTCAAAACAGAGAAAACTCCTTACGGTTTTCGCCGAGCTTTCGACAGTTTTATACTGTCATCTTCAGGGCATGTTTTATTATGATATAAACAAACAATTAAAACATGAAAAAACAATAATTACAATAATAATTGAATATCTTACTTTAAAACCTTAATAGGAAATTAAACAACATGGTGTTTTGGGCACAGAAGTACATTATGTTTTTTGGGGCTCAGCATCGAAACATTAATTTAAATTGAATACATTAATAATTAAAAATTATAGCTAAAATTACAGTAAAAATAAAAATTAAAAACGTGGTCGAGAAAGGTTACCTCATATAAGTCTAAAAAACAATAAAATCCTCCTTTTTTTTATTTTTCAGGTACATGTGATCACAGTATGTTTCTTAAATATATATGTACATATACAATTAACTTATTTTAAAATTTAAATAACAATAAAGTAGGATCACAGATCAAATCAATAAAAACCTTTCTCGACCACGTTTTTAATTTTTATTTTTACTGTAATTTTAGCTATAATTTTTAATTATTAATGTATTCAATTTAAATTAATGTTTCGATGCTGAGCCCCAAAAAACATAATGTACTTCTGTGCCCAAAACACCATGTTGTTTAATTTCCTATTAAGGTTTTAAAGTAAGATATTCAATTATTATTGTAATTATTGTTTTTTCATGTTTTAATTGTTTGTTTATATCATAATAAAACATGCCCTGAAGATGACAGTATAAAACTGTCGAAAGCTCGGCGAAAACCGTAAGGAGTTTTCTCTGTTTTGACCTCTTCCGAAGATCCTTTGAAAAGACTTGTTGTAAATAATGTTACAGATTGTAATAAATATATTAAATTTAAAAAAAAAAGGTTTTTCCCTGTCAAACGGATTTCCGACAAATAATTCTGTTAAATACTTTTATGAAATATGTACATTTGATAATTAATAAATAAATAACTCAACCAAATCAGGCAAAAAATGGAAATGTTATAATATTACTGATTAATTAGTGGACATAGATGACAAAAACTGGCAAAGAAAAAAAGATTCTTTTTATGTGATCGAGAGGTAGCGCAAACATCATCAGCTCAAAGGGCATAACGTAAAGTCAATAGATGATAAAATAGGGTACAATAAACCAAATAGGGAAATTAAGTAAACATAAGACTTGTAATAAATCAGTAAATGATTTCACAATGCAGAAAGAACAAAAACGAATAAAGAAACACTGAAATCCTCGACTATATCGGAAAACCGTGGCGCCAATGCACTGTTTAAAAAAGAATTTTTCATGCTTTTTAATTATTAAATCATGCAATTTTAACTTTTAAAAAACCATGATCGCACCAAAGTAAGCAAATTTAACAAAACATTGTAAGATTCAACGCTAAGTATATTTTTTAAAATTACATTTATGAACTACCAAATCTAATAACTGCACTAAATTTTCTATCAGTTCTCTGGTTATTTTTGTAAACCCACACCTATTGTTATTATTATTTTAGTTGAGTCAATTACTGATATGCTTGGTAAAGACTCCATATCGCCTTGGTGCAGTACAGGCTGTCTCGCACACTCCCTACGATCTTGTCGTCTGACAAGACTGGAAAAAGGCCTGATATGTAGTTCTGGTAGCGAAGCAGTTGCCTTTTGACTAAAAAAGTTTTATTACAAATTAATATAAAACTATCTTTCGCTTGATTTACCTATGCCGTAGAACAAATCCAGGCGGTAAACGGTATCTTTGTAATTTTCTATTTTGACATTGTGTTCTTCATCAGCCAACTCCTTTGATGGGTCCATCTTTTCCTTTTGACTGGTCTCAACTGGAAACCATTTGGCTTGGTACTCCTTGGTAATCTTGGTAATCTTGAGGTTACAAAGTGGTTCAAGGAGGTTTGGATGGGTCAGGGTGATGACAGAAAGACCCTGACCCTGGAATTCCTTGGTGAATGATAAAAGTGTTCACAAATATGAAGAACAAATAAATAAGATCATAAGATCACTATTAAATAAGAACAAAAATAACAAATAAAGTACTACATGTATGTTTATGAATTTATTTGGACTTTGTAATTTCATACTAATCTAAAAGCACTTTTTTGTAAATTACGGTTCTACTCAAAGATTTGTTTTTACAAGAAAGCGAGTCAACATACTCACCACACCTTTATTAATTTCTAATAATCTAACAGCATTTTTTACAAAAATAAAATATATTTACTATAAACAATTGTTATTTCAAGATAAGAAATTATATTGATATAGATTATAAAGTGTAAACAATTTTCTAAAAGATAATTTTTCAAAACAAGAAATATTTTACATTGAATTTTACTTTTGTAACTTTTATTAATGGTTGGTTAGTTTGAAAATATAATAAAATATAAAAAAATTAAATAATTTAAATGAAATGAGTGTTGTGGCAGTCAAGGGTCAGATTCAGTTTCTTCTTTTAATATACAAATCCAGCTTATCAATTTGATTTTGTGGAACACCACTCAACATGTCACCAAATATGTAAAATAAATGAAATCATAGCGATTTGAGGATAAAAGTCTCACAGTAGCTGCTTTTATTGACATTGATCTTCTAAAATCATCTTCACTGGCACACCACAAGGATCTGTCCCACCTCCCATCCTATTTAATATCTTCCTCTATGTTTTCCCAAATTCTGGAGAGCATGGCTGCTTATGCTGATGATTGATATATGCTACTGCAAAAATCACCAGAAAAGGTCAAATCTGCGTTCAGGTGGCCTTAGAGAAACGATCAACTTATACTGCTCAGACTGAAGACTCCACATAACCCCATTAAATGAGAAAGTAAGATTTTTACTCTACAAAGGACCCCAAACCATCGTGAACTAAATATTGAAGGAATAAACATCGCTTGGACAAAGACAGCCCAGTCGAGTATCAGGGAGTTTACCAAAAGTTTAAAAGCTGACTTGGAATACACATATAAACAAAAAGGAAAATGAAGGATATGTTTGACTAGGTATGCTTTACACCCTGATCAACAGGAAGTTTAAACTGAAGCCAGCAGTGACTCTTCTAATTTATAAAGCGCCTATCAGGCAACTAGTACTCTACAGGTGCAAAGTATGGGGTCTGCCTCTACCTCCAAAATAAGGTGACTCAAGGTACTGCAAAATAAGGTGCTGAGAATTGCTGTCAATGCTGAGTGGTATGTGCACAACTCTCAGTTACATTGGGAGCTGAATATACCTACCGTTAGGGAAATCATTGATCAAAGATTCTTTAAGTTCCACTCCAAACTCCCTTTGGTTAAGGAGCATCCACAAACTATGCAGGATAAGCAGGATATTGGTTGAAGTGGTCACAGTGATGAGGCTAAGGTTAAGATGTCCCATCCACCAAACCTATCACAGCCCTCTGATGCAAAAAATGTAATCAAAAATATGATCAAAAGGAAAGAGCAGCATCAGTGGGCCGAATCTGAAGTGAAGCCCCATTATCATGCAGTAGTCCGTACTCTGTCGTTCTCTCATACTTTGTCATCATGCTAATAAAAACACTCAACCCAATAGTAAATTTAACACAAAATACTATAAATTTATTATAATTTTAGCAAAGTCGAGAAGGCAGATTAAGCAGCTAATCCCAGGACGTCCCAACCTCCTGATGCTAAAAATACAATAAAAACTAAGTTTTAAAAAATGGCAGTATCAGTTGGTTGTATCTGAAGACAATCTCCTATGTATCAAGAGCACAGTCAATGCCTGAACCCAGGATGATCTGAGTCAGAAAAAAGATACTAAACTAAATTGTAATATTGGGTGGTATCGCTACTTGTTCTTTATATGGAGCCAAGAAGTGACCCCTTTCAATTATGTGGTACAGATCAAGTAACCTTTCTCTAAAAGTAAATGGCCATATTTCAATAATAATCCTCCATCATCTTGTACTCAATATTCAGTCATATTTCTTTCAAACTATTCTCCCATGCTAATAAATATACTCAACCCAATAATAGATTTAACTTAAAATAATTGCCTACAATTTTAGCTAAATAGAGAAAGCTCCAAGCCAGGACACTTAACCTCCTGACTTAACCATCATGGTTCACCCCCTCACATGCTAAAAATTATAAAATGGAAATAGCTACATCAATGGGTTGGATATGAAAAGAAGCTTCTATGTATCAAGAACATAGTAAATGGGTGGCTCTCAGAGGCCCTGAATGTTAGAATAGGAATCATCCTCATCTGATTAAGAAGAGGTCATGTGAGGATGACACATATATATTTACTTTTCATAGGCCAAAATTAACTATGTATGGCATGTAGAGAATTGTAATCATAATTGACGGGTGTCCTTGGCTCCATATAGGGAGCTTGTAGGAATACCAACTGACATAAGATTGTGCCTGAGCACGGTAGTGAGTATTTGGTTCTTCTGATCAGATGTTTGGATAGAACAAGACAGTTTGATTGTATAGTACTTGGTAGGTATCTCAAATATGGTTTAAGAGTGAATGTATTTATTAGAGTGAATATGGACTATTAGGGGCTGATGATGGAATGTTGTATACCCCATTAAGTCTCAATTAGGGGGACCGCGGTAACCAAGTGGTTAGCATGAGAGACTCTCACGCCGCAGTCGTGGGTTCGATTCCCACCGCCGCCTCTGGCCCTTTTTTCCCGATAACCCCCAATTTGAACAACATATATATAAGAATTCGTCATGGCTAATATGCAAAGATCATAAGGCAAAAAAAAAAAAGAAAAGTCAATTAGTTTTAATGGTGCTATTCAGTGAACAGTAATAAAAAAATATTAATTCAGATATCTGAAAAGCAGAAGGGCTTATAATTTAAACAAAAAATAATTATCAATGCAATCATGGCATATTATAGTTGTATGATCCATAAGATATTGTAATCCAAATATCGACAAGTTCATGACCCTCTAGTTGTGCTGTTATTAGTGAGATAAACTCATCTGTATCGTTTCTAATGGGTGGTGGTTGTTCTTACAATTGTTCTGGGGGGGTAATGAAAAAGCAGACAAGGTAGCTAATTCCGGGACATCTCAATGTATGGACCAAACCAATGCCATCCAGTCTTCTGATGCTAAAAATACAATAGGAACAAAGGAGATGGTAGCATCAAAGGTACACATTGGTAGAGAAGCTCTTGTTTTGTTTCCTCAGTAGATTTTTTTTTTAAGAAAAATTAATTTATTCTGGGACTGGTGCCCCCTAAGAATAATTTACATGAAATAAATAAAGGAAGTTCCTTCTATGAAATTAAGAGTAAAAACGATAGAAATCTTGGCACAATGTATACCAGTAAGGCAGGCCAGAAGAGAAAATTACAAGAATATTAAACAAAAATATAAAATGTTAACGTGAGGTCTATGCTTGGAGGGAGAGGAGGTGATTATACAGGTGGGATTTAAAGGAGGAAAAGGAGGCAGCATGACGAATAGAAAGGGGGAGGGAGTTGCAGAGTTTAGGGCCTCGGATCAGATAGGATCTTTCGAAGGTATGGGTTGTATGTTGCGGAAGGATAAGGTCGATTGGGGATGAGAGGGTGTTACGAGTGTGATGTGAGGAGTTGAAATGGAGGGATTGGGTGATGGAAGGTGGCCGCTGAATGTGGATGGACTGGACAAGAAAGCAACCTAGGAAATACTGTGCACGGAAGGAGGGGAATAGCCAGGAACGTTGGGAATACAACCCCGACACCTGGGATCCCTGTGGGGTGCCGTACAAAAATCTTAAGCAACAATTCATAATACGCTTCAATCGTGTGTTCCCCTCCTCTGAGAGACCACCATATGCCACACAGGTTGTAAGAGAAGGATCGTTCTCACTCAATTAAGTATAGACCATGTGAGGTTGACACACGGACAGTGACTTTTGGGATAAAACTGCTATGTGGCATGTAGAGAAAGATTGCTCAAAGTGTATCATTCTTTGGCTCTATATAAAGCAATTCCCGTCTTACAGGAGGGCTTAACGTCCAACTACCCATTGCATCCCATGGATGAGATACCTTAAAATACATTTTTCATACTATTTTCAATTAAAAAACCTTGGGTTACACCAGGACCACTAGCATGACAAAAACAAGTCAGTCACCCTAACAACTCAGCCACTGAGGTCCCCTACATTCCTTGGTTCCACAGAGAGCATGTAGGAATGCCATCCAATACAAGAATTCTGCATGAGCACAATAGAGATTAGTTTTGTCCTTTGTTTCAATTTTTGGAGGAATCATATTGTATATAAATAGTACTTGGTTATCTCATTTTGTGTTTATTGAGAGTGAATGTATTTATTAGCATGAATGTGGCAGAATATTGAGAACACCATCAACCCTCAGAGCAGAAGTTCGATTCTGTAGACTTGTGAATGTATGTATATGTATGTGAGTTGAGCTTTTATAAAAATCATAATTCTTAGTAGTTTTGGGAGTAAAATGCAATTCAAAAGTGAGAGATATAATAAGATTTTAAAAAAATAGTTGGTCTAATTTTTTAAGAATAGATATATTTACACAAAATTTACAAATTATTGATTTTTCAATGTACACGTCCAATTGCTTCATCGTGTTGTTTTAAGATTAATGTCGACTTTGGTCCTGTTTGCCATATGGCCCCTGTTTCATCAACTACGGCAGCTGTGACAGTCACAGTCGCTTGCACGCTACCAGAGCCGAGAGAGACAAGAAACTGCGCAGAGAAGAAATCTCTATGTGGCACCACAGTTTGTGTAAACATCAAGTTCATTTCTGGTGTCTGAAAAATCAAGAATCAGAAGCTTATTTAAGAAGCTAGCGAGTTTCAAAAATATCACCTTATCATTCGCATTAACGCGAGCAGTTCCCTGGCAGTTAAGCGTAACCATGACCTTTTCAACAGATCGAAATAACCCGGGTTTAGACGCGTGCTGTATCACGCCCTCGACCTTTACAGCGAGCTGTGTACCACTCGTCGCTATTATCCACTCCCCGCTGACCTTCGGCTGAGGAGAGACTGCCAACTAGAGACATAAATTTTAACCAATAAATAACTAAGCTTGTAAAAACACATTGAAATCACCTTAACGCTCGTCGATTGTAAAACTTGAAAGAAGAATCTCGGTAGGCAAAATGGGCTTGCAATGAGCAACTCGACTTGCTGAAGAAGACACTCTATATGCTATAACGTAACATAAAATATAAAATTATGGAATTAAAATATTGCAGATAGATAAAAACCTGATGTGTTATTGCTTTGACAGAATTATCGAATGTTTTATGAAGCAGGCTTGCAGCTTTGCAAGCATTCAACATCACTTGTGTCTCCAAACTGCTGTATTGATGACTGCAAAAATAGTAAAGTCTGTTATGCTACCAATTTTGGTCAAAATTTCTTTACAATTTTATCTCTAGTAAATGAGTTTTATATTTTTTAAAATAGCTATAATTACGAGAAATCCAAAGCCGGCTCTTCTCCTTGATAATTTAGCGTAGAGATAGATTCAATGCTGTAGGTCATCACCATGCACATATGCTGTAATCTATTGTTTAAAAATTAAGTTCATAATTTTTATACTGAGTATTTTAATTGTGAAGAATTATTTTTAGTTTTGACATAAACAAAAGCATACATTTGAATATTTGTGAGCGAAATTGGGTCAGCATCGAAAGCAGATTGATACAGTTTCCAAAACGCTTCGCCACAAGATCGAAACTCTTTTGCACATTTCCTCAACTGGTTTGTAATGTGGCCCGAGCATTGCAGATCATCACGGCTCGCGGTTACGATTGTCGCAGCTATCGCAGGCGGCGGGGAGAAACATAGGCTATGACAAGCGACGACCAATTGGTGAAAGCACTGCAGCAATTCACTTCTCAGTAGAGCATATTCGCACTGGAAGGACATATTGTGCGAAGGAATGCTTCCAGCCTAAAATAACAAAGCTGTACGAACAGGAATTTTCACTTTATTTTATCAAGATTATACCCTTAGTGAAGCGATTGCAGTGTTGTAATGAGCTATGGCTTGTCCGAGCCTTTCTGTGAGAGGGGCGTTTCCGACAAGCGCGGCCTCACCGTTGCTCAGATGTTCCAAAGCAATAATCCAAAAATGATGGTGCTCTGAGGAAACCTTACCCTTCAGTTTCAATATAATATCTCTGCAGATTCCAAAATGGCCGTATCTGGAATAATAATGTACAAAACGTATTGAAAATATTGGTTCTTGGATTAAAAAAAAAAAAAATACCTTGCAGCTGCACGTGCTATTTTATAATTTGCCCAAAGATCGGTATTTTCAATAATTGATGTGATTGCTTCTTGGTGAGTTGAATCCCAATCAGAAGGTCTAACTGTTTGAAAAACTAAAGTGCATAGCATACACTACACAAAAAATGACTTAATCACAATTAACAAATTAAGTTCATGTAACTACAGAATACAATCCAGACCAGACTTCTCAAAAATTTACCTTTGTTTTTATTTTTTCCGTTTGATTCGAATTTAATACTACTTCTTTTATCTTTTCTAAAATTTCTGGAAGGTATGCTTCCAAGGCTTGAGGTTCGAGGCCGCCTATTCCTGCCAACGCTTCGCATATCATGAAACAACTCTCTGGAAAATTTAAATAAAACAATGAATATGCCTTACGAGTAAAATGACGAGGAAAACATTACCTTTAGAGTAGGCCAATTGTGTGGCGACAAGGTCGATAAAACGGTCGGCCCAAGAGCGGTACAGTTTGCAGATTGTTATGGCGCATTGATAATTGCTCCTGTTAGTCTTGAGTATGAGCAGTGCCATCTCGACAAGGCTGATGTACTTTTCGACATCCGTGATAGGTTGGCCTTCCTCATAACTTAAAAAAAAAAAAAAAAATTGATGGATATTACATTTTAAAAAATTAGATCAGCGATGAGCAAAAAAATTACCAAAATTTGACCATGTGGGTTATTATTTTAACAGACTTTGCTGGGATCACCTCACTATGAGAAAAACATGTTGCTTGGCAAAGCTGCATCAATTCAGAATCTATGAGACAAAATATATTTCATAATAAAATAATATTTCGAATGCGTTAAATAAATACAACCAATACCTGATTCTACATATTCTTTGCAGATCACGGAAGATTGTGTCAGAACGATAAATATATCAAGAGCGAGCATGACGACCCCTTGACTTTTCGAATTTCTAGCCACTTGAATCGTTTCGGTCACGCATTTCTGCGGCCATAAGTGAGGGCCGACTTTGGCGAGTTGGTGTAGGCCCAGAAGTGAAGCCTTTTTCACCGGCCACCGCCGGTCCTTTGTTAAGTAGTGGAGTAACAGCTCTACCTGAAAAAAATCTATGTTCAATAATACTTCGAGAAAATATACAACCGACAAACCTGATTTGGAATGTCGACTAAAGTCGCCGCAGCAAGTTTTGTCAATGTGTTCAGTGTCGTTACAACGAAATCCTTCGCTGGGTATTTTGGTAAAAGATCCGTACAAACTTTTCGTACCTAGTAAACAATTTAGTTAAATTACAAAAAAAAAGTTTGTTATTGATAAAAACAAACCATGGCGGCTGAAGATGTGTCATGGTGCATGTACTGAAGAATTGGTATTAAAAGGAGTTTAAGATGTGCCGGTGTAGCTATTCCTTGGATCATATCCGATATCTTGTCACACATGCCAAGAGCGAATGACTTCGACTGGGCGGCAAACTGCATAGCGGCGTAGATTGCCGCTTCTACTTCAACGCTATCGTGAGAATCAAGGCATCGCCGGATATTGTGATGGACCTGCTGCCTGTTTGGAATCACACCGGCGATGCTGCCCAGTGTCTGCAACGTAAGCGCCCTCGCTACCTGAAATTTGTCCAACAATGAGATTCTGTCCTATTATCAAATTTAAGTATGTTTACTGGATCGTTGGAATGGATAACGCTGAAAATCCTCTTTACGAATTCATCGACGTTGAGTATTTTGTCAAGGTGTTTCTCACTCTGTTGGCACACCCTCAGAACCCACAGCCTCAAAAAATTATTACTAAAAATAATTTAATATATATATTTTAAATGGTTAAAAATAATATTGATATATAAAAGATCGTTTACCCGACTCGGAAGACATCTGCCAATTTAAGAAACGATGAATTTATAAGAATTGGAAATGGATATTTTTCAAAAAGGCGAGGAAACCTTACAATTGCTTCACACTGTTCTCCTACTTTACCAGACCTTAAGCCTGAAAAAAAAAATTTTATAAATGTTTTAGACAGATTTCTTTCCCTCCTAATTTTTGCCTAATTTGGAGAAAATTACCCACAAATTTTCAGATTTTTAAAGTTTAGAAAGTTTATATCCCTAATAAAAACCTAGATTATAAATGTGTGATGGTTAGTGAGTATTAATCGATAATTATTCAGAAATCATCTGGTGTGATGTAGGTTTCAGAAAAACATTTTCTTTATCGTGCCAACATTTCGATCTTTATTGAGATCATCTTCAGGGCTCAAAGTATTTGTCTTCTGTGTAATTGTGCCATTCTTGCGTGTCGTGTTGGGCAAGACAAACACTTTGAGCCCTGAAGATGATCTCAATAAAGATTGAAACGTTGGCACGATAATGAAAATGTTTTTCTGAAACCTACATCACATCAGACAGCATCTCACGATTTCTGAATAATTCTAGATTTTAAAGATTTATATATAAAATTACTGTTGGTTAAATTAATTAAAATTAAAAGGCAAGTGCCACATTGAAACAATTTAATTAATTTATTCAATACAAACAAAATAAATAGAATTGTTAGTAGAGTATGAACTTCGAAATAAGGGGACCGCGGTAGCCGAGTGGTTAGCATGAGAGACTCTCACGCCGCGGTCGTGGGTTCGATTCCCACCGTCGCCTCTGGCCCTTTTTTCCCGATAACCCTCAATATGATCACACAAGAATTCGTACTATGGCTAATATGCAAGATCATAAGGGCAATTTAAAAAAAAAAAAAAAACAGAAATGGTCAACATAATGTGGTAATTCAGAAAATATGAAGTAATTAAATTGAAATGTACAGCGACGATTTATTTGCACTTTCAGGTTTAAAATTACTTCAACATATTGGATACATGGTATGAACTTATTATGGAATGTGCAGAACTGCAACGATTAAAAGCAAGATGACAAAATAATGATCTGATATTTTCTTACAAACTCTTAAATAATATGATCGACTGTCCACAATTAATCAATTTTCATTCACTAATTTCGTTGTCCGCTTGACAAATTAATACATTACAATTAATTAATTGAAAAAATTTCAAAAAGGAGGGAAAATTCAAAAGGTGGGGTTGAGATGGGAAGTTAGTGTCTGAGTGGATCGAGGTCACGATAGCTCAAGTGGTAGAGCAGCGGCGTATCTAGCTGAAGATCGTGGGTTCGAATCCCGCTCGTGCCATTGACTTTTTAATCTCAACTAAAAACCTTAATTAATTGTAATTAATCAATTTGCTAAATTTCCATGTTCCACAGTGTAGCACCATTATAATACAAATTATTTAAAATTTAGTCCGATCCTCGACTTATGGAAACGAGTAATAAACTTCCTTTACATTGTGACACTTTTTACCTTTTCTTAAGTCGATTTAAAGAATTTTTTTTTGGGGGGGGGGCATGAGTGGCCACAATGGTTTAGGCATTGATGCGGTGCTCATCACTATAAGGTAAAGTCCTGGGTTTGAATCCAGTGGGCCTGCATTCAAACCCGATATACTTACATTTTTTTTTCAAAAACACCGGCACCCTGAGGGTTCAAATAATCTTGTAGTTGAAATATTCTCACAAAAAATTATTTTTAGATTTGGCTGCACGTGCATTGTTGGTGTGCAGATGGATAACAGGTACAAACTGGGTTTTTTTAGACCAGATATTCTGCTCCACATTTACATCATGATGGTGATACCGATCCTCATGTACGGTGAAATTACCTGGGCTAATAAAGTCAATAAAACTACAAATCAAATAGAACTAACAAAAATTCATTAAGATGTGCCAGTGTCACTATTCCTTGGATCATATCTGATATATTGTCACACATGCCAAGAGGGAATGACTTGGAAGGGTAGCAAACTGCATAGCGGCATAGATCGCCTAAACTTCAATGTATAATCATATGATAATAATGTATTATCACTGCACCGATGCGAACAAGTCCCATGGCTAATATGACAAAAAAATATTGAGTCTAATCCCCCACCTTGAGGACACCCCGAGAGTTCAAATATCCTCGTAGTTGAAAGACCCTCATTAAAAATATAAATAAAAAATTAATTAATTAATTTAAAAAATTACATATTGATAATGACCATTGTATTTAATTTGTTTATATATTTCTGTTGTTTAATTAAATTTTTATCATTCCTTCTCACTTCTTTTATATTTTAAAACATATGGGTGTTATGACAATACTTAAATATTTTATTTGCTATAATTAATTAAGGCTTTTAGTTGAGATAAAAAGTCAATGGCACGAGCGGGATTCGAACCCAAGATCTTCGGCTTGAAAAATGGCAAAAAGGAGGGAAAATTCAAAAGGTGCCGTTGAGATGGGAAGTTGGTGTCCGAGTGGATCCAGGTCTCGATAGCTCAAGTGGTAGAGCACCGGCGTATCAAGCCAAAGATCATGGGTTAGAATCCCGCTCGTGCCATTGAATTTTTTATCTCAACTAAAAACCTTAATTAATTGTAATATATTAATTAGTCAAGCGGACCACGAAATTAGTGTATTTTATTTGTGTTTGTTACATTGAATATGTTCATATTTTTAATTATTGTTATATAGATTTTTTTAAATTAATTAATTAATTTTTTTTTTAATGGCGGCCTGCCGACGGTGAAGTCATATCAGCCAATTCCCTGTGAAGACCAATGGGTACTTGATATTCCACCATCAGGCCTCTTCCTTGAATGAGCAACCATAAAACAACTTTATGACTATATACACAAATAAACAAATTTATATACAAATGAATACACTGTACAGCTACAAAATAATATTATATATTATATTTACAATATTTACAGATTAAGAAACACCCCCGCTTTCTTTAAAAATCTGAAAAGGATACCCAACAACCCACTCTCGTGTCCAATGTATGTCGGGTGCCATGCCTACTCGCTCCCTGTAAGGAGCCAAGGAGCAGCACTCCTCAAACCTTTCTCTGCAAGTGGGACACTGCACAGGGTTTGCCCCAAAAGCAGGTGTCCATGTATCAATTGAGTATGTCCTATACTCAAACAGGTGAGCTCGATGCCTTCCTTGCACTTCAGATCCTCGGTGGGCCATCACCCAAGTAGCAAGAGCTTCTTGGATGATCCAGCCCATTAGTATTTAAATTATTATTTATGTTTCAATTATTCATTATTACTTATATATTGTTAATTGTTATTATTACTTATATATTGTTGTTATATAGTAGTTTAAACTCTTAAAGAGCTTGTGATTGGGTACATTTACCCGTATAAATAAATTAATTAATTAAACGCATATTATTAGACAGCAAATAATAAAATTCAAATTGAAGGAGAAAACTTCAAACTTCTTCTCCGTGGGAATCTTCACTTCTTATTTTGGATGGTAAATGACAATTTTTTTATTGGTCAGACGACTCCTTTTCAGGATTTTAGGGTCACCACCCAGATCAACCCAACAGCTTCTGGATACATCCCACAGACTCTGGCTAAAGGCCATTTCAGTACAGGCAACCATTCATCTTTTAACAGAATGTGCTGTCCAATTTGCAGATTATGACTTTCGTTTAACATCTTTGTACACAACTGAAGATTGGGCAAGTATTCATGTGCCCATCCTTTCCAAAACGATAGGAACATTTACTGCATTTGTATGCACATTTATGACATCTTGGGAGTGTTGACTTGTTGGCTTCTTGATGATCTTCTTCAGCCCTATCAAGAAGTGAGCAAAAGTGAGACGTACCACGGTCTAGATGTGTTGAGATTTCTGTCGCCTTGCATAATCTAAACGAACAGCAGTTGATTTCAACTTTTCACAGATGCCTGTTTAGTCTTCAGACCTGTTAAAAGATTCTGAGTCTCTTCTGCTTCCTTTCTTAGTAGTTTCTTTCCTTTTAAATCTCGCAAGGATCTTCGAATTAAAATCCTCGTGCAAGGTGACAATACTCTATAAGGCCTGTCCATAGCTGTGATGATGCAGCCAGCTGGATAAAAACTTTTATAGACTCATAAGTCTGACATGCTGAAGCCGGACTCATGTTTCAGCATAAAAACTTTTATTGTGACTTAGATTTTGCTTTGGCCCAGTCTTTTGAACAACTTAAGAAAAGTTTTGATCAACAGTTAGTGCATTAACCGTGTAAAAAATTAAATAAATAAACCAATATTATATCAGATATCAACACAACAAATTTAATTATTGCTTAATTATACTTATTTCTTAATTAAGTCAAAAATGTAGAAAGAACCTTTGTCCAGTTCGGTCAACGCTGAATTGGCGTCCTGGTCCGGCTCGGTGGCATTCTCTGTGAATGAGGAAAATTTGAAAGTCGACATCACAAATTTTGCAGCCAGTTGCTGCACCAAAGTTGGAAGTCAACCGGCGAAATCGTTGTTTACGGTCAGGTTACTTCGTGGTTACCGTACTTAAGTTCAAAGCGCTCATTGGCACGTGGCTCATACCATGAGCAGTTAGGCTCAAAGGTGTGCTTTTTAAATAAAACAACTTTTTTTTTTTTTTTAATTAAAGAAAGTCTTCTATTCTGCTTTACTTCATCCTTTGTTTTCCACTCAAAACTGGTCAAGTTGTTGTTGAATTGGTGGAAAAATTTATAGATGAATGAAAAGTTTAAAATGTTTCATCGGGCAAAAAGAGATGCTAGGATTAATATTAATAATATGCAAAATACCAAGAGTTCCAAGTCTGTTTAATTATATTAAGTAAAGATTATCCCAGGCTTGAATTTATTTTGAAAGAAACTTATAAATTATACATTTCAGTCTACTGTTCAATAATGGAATTAATTAAGAGAAAAAAAATAGTACAAATAAGCTGGTAATCATTTAAGTATTGCAAGTTTTAGAAAATTCAGATGAATTATTGACTTTATAAAACCAAATTTTAGCTAGATTCTTATCTAAATTTGAACTGCACAAAGGACAATGTGTTTCGTCCAATTTCATAACAGTCTAAAGTTCCATAGATTATTTTTAAAAGTCAATAATTCAATGTAGTTTAATTTTTTGCTTATTAATACTGTACAATGTATATTTAGTCTGTTAGAGATCTGGAAATATAATAATTAATAAAAATTATACAGTGCATTAACATTAAAACTAAAAAAACGAAACAAAGATTTTTTTTAAATTTCTTCATCTATCTATTCCATTATGAAATATTTTTTATTACGTATACCTTTTTTTTAGTATATAAATCATTTACAATGCAAATATTTGAACAAATCTTCTGTGATTGTTGTTTCATCCGGCCTCATTATTGAAAAGAAAATAGAAAAGAAATGGACTATAATACTCACCACAAGAAATATAGATAGATTTTCAAAATAAATAGACATAAGAAGAGGTTAATAATGTAGCCCTGAATGACGAATAAAGAAATGTGGTTGACTGGCAAGATAAATAAGAATCAAATAATGTAGATAGATTGTTAATAAAAAAACTGGAGACAAGAAGAGGGCTAAGAGTGCATCCCGGTCTAACACCGAGATCGAATAATGTAGATAGTTTGTTAATAAAAAAATAGGGAATAGAAATAGGCTAGTAATTCATCCTTACCTATTTTCCAAGATAGAATAATTGGATAAATTATTAATGAAAAATAGAGAAAAGAAGTGGGATAAGAGTGTCCCGTAACACCAGAATCAAGAAATGTATGTAGATCCTCATGAAAAATAGGGAAAAGCAATAGGCTAATAATTTATCCTTGCCTAACACTAAGATCGAAAATGGATAGATTGTTAATAAAATATAGAGAAAAGAAGAGGGCTAAGGGTGCATCCTTGTCTAACACCAAGATTGAATAATGTACATAGTTTGTTAATAAAAAAATAGGGAGTAGTAATAGGCTAGTAATTCATCCTTACCTATTTACCTAGATAGAATAATTGCAGAATGTTAATGGAAAATAGAGAAAAGACGTGGGCTAAGAGTGCATCCCTGTCTAACACCAAGATCGGATAATGTAGACAAATTGTTAATAAAAAATAGGGAGTAGTAATAGGCTAGTAATTCATTCTTACCTATTTACCAAGATAGAATAATTTGATAGATTGTTAATGAAAAATAGAGAAAAGAAGTGGGCTATGAGTATCCCACAAACCCGGGATCAAGAAATGTATGTAGATCCTCATTAAAAATAGAGAAAAGAAATAGGCTTATAATTCATCCTTGCCTGAACCAAGACCAAATAAGATTGTTAATAAAAATTGGTCAAAGAAATTAGCTAATAATTCATCTTTGCCTAACACCAATATTGAATAATGTAAATAGAATGTTAATAAAAACTAGGAAAAGAAATAGGCTAAAAATTCATCCATGCCTTACAACAAGATCGATAATGTAGATAGATTGTTAATAACAAATAGGGAAAAGAAGTGGCTAAGAGTATCCCCACAACACCAGGGTCAAGAAAAATAGGGAAAAGAAATAAGCCCCTGATTTACACTAGGATGAAATAATATTGATTCATTTTTAATAACAAAATAGAGAAAACAAGAAGGCTAAGTGTATTATAGGCAAACTTGTGACTGCCTATGTTCTAAATTAAATGTTGCCCATTTTTAATCATGATTGGAAGCTCGGTGGGCCCAATTTAGAGCATCACCCCGAGTTCTGTGGTCTTGACAGGGGTAAGTCCAAAAACATTGAAAATGGACTTAAATCAGTGTTCAATTTTGACCATCAGTTCTTCTAAATCAAGTGGCACTAGTCCAGCTTCTTTCAAACTGATAATCGTGAGGAAAAATTTGTGTGCATTCTTAATTTTAATGAGGTTAAAAAATTGTCTCACTTAGAACAATACATCTAAAAGATCATAATTATAACAATACTATTTTCCCTTGACTTTTTTTTTTGTCAGGATCCAAATTTTAAATTTTCTATCCTTCTAAAAATTAGCATTTTGGACATAGGCCATTTGTGAACCAAATGTATCAAATACATATGATGAAATTATATTTAAAAAAAAATAATAATAAGGCCAGGCGGTAATCCAAAAACACATGATCAAATTCCAAATCTTTGTATTGTTTTCTTAGAGTAACACTTCGTTAATGTTGTTTTTCTTGTTGCTTTTGGAGAGTGTGGAGGTGTATTACATCCTAAAAAATAACAAGGCAGTAAGAGTAAGAAAGAATAAAAAAGAAAATCGTGCTGTAAAGAAACCCAAGGGCAAGAATAAATGATAGCACTGCAAGTTTATTGCTCAGCGAGGAGTAACTCCTCCAAAAAATATATTACAATGCAGGAGCCATAGGATTTTCACAATGGAAGGAAATACATTCGAGATACATCTAAAACAAGCAGCTGATGTTCTATAAAAAAAAATAAAAAATAAAAAAAAATAACTTTATTATGCATTCAGAATTAAACTTTGGGTAACAGAATGACTATTTTTTGTTCGATCTTTAATTAGTCAAAGACAAAGCTTCGTAAAGCTGACTTCAATGATAACGTCTTTACACTAAGGTAAAAATAATATAATGTTATTTTGAAAAGATCCCATTGTTCTTTTCCATAGAGTAGAAGCTTCGACGTCCTGGACACTATTTTCTTTCTATTATCTTCATAGATACATCGTATGCAATGGCGTGACATTATTAAAAATGACGACATTCTGAAAAAAAAATTCAAAAGTTAAATAATTTTTTTAAAAATTTTATGAAGAAAATTCTCATATTTAAAGTTTAATGGTAGATTGTTTACTATTCCAAGCTCCTCGCATTTAAAAGTTCACAATGAAAGTCCCACCCTTGATTTGATAATTTCAAAGAGATTATTGAGAACAAGAAGAAATTGGAAAACACGTGCTCTGGTGGCTTGGAAATTTAAGATAGGATCTCATTTAGCACCATTAATTTAATATGTGGTGTTTACTGACCGTTAGTCAATGATCACTTGAGATCGTCCACCAGACCACATCTCACCATCTTTGAATAACCATTTATTCATTTCAAAAATAAATACTAATAACAAAGTAAAATTACATACTACGATTTCATTTTGGCATTTTTGTAGCGGTAGTTTTGGTTTATCACAAACTTTATTTTTCCCCTACATGATAATTTCCCTGTTAACTGATAGTTGTGGCGATGAACTAGATTATCGACCTGCTGGAAACATGAAGTCTTTTCAGAGGATCTTCGGAAGAGGTCAAACAGAGAAAACTTCCTTACGGTTTTCGCCGAGCTTTCGACAGTTTTATATTGTCATCTTCAGGGCCTGTTTTATTATTAAGGTTTAAAGTAAGATATTCAATTTTTGTTGTAATTATTGTTTTTTCATGTTTTAATTGTTTGTTTATATGATAATAAAACAGGCCCTGTAGATGACAGTATAAAACTGTCGAAAGCTCGGTGAAAACTGTAAGGAAGTTTTCTCTGTTTGACCTCTTCCGAAGATCCTCTGAAAAGACTTGATAGTTGTGGGTGGGTTCGAGTCCCACTCGTCCACTAATTTTCATGTCAACCTTCTCTACATCATATTAAAGACTAGTTTAGATAACTAATAAATAAATAATGAAAATTTATTAGTTCACGATTCATTTACATAGTTATTTAATGTTTTTTTACCACAAAGGGAAAAGTGCTAGGAAAATTTTAGATGTCTACAGTGATGATGGTTTAGGAGAAAGTTGGTAAGTGATTTGCTCAGTTCAAAAGCAGAAATTTGATTTGGAAAATGCAAAGCGCTCTGATCTTCTTTTGACTGATGAAAAATTCAAGCTTTTGTCTCAAACATCACAAGATATCAAAGAGAACATCATATAAGCATTTCAATGCAAATGAGGGCAATAAATGTGTTCCTGACAAGCTGACTGAATTCTCGCATCTCCATCTGTGATTCCATCCCAAAATGCAATTTAAGTAACTCATTTTTGAAAAGATTGATAGCTGGAGATAAAAATGGTTCTTTGAAATAATGTTCAGAGAAGAAAATTCTGGAGAAAAGCGACACACCGTTAACAACTCTAAAAGTCGGAATACATCCCACATTTAGTGGGATTGGAGGGAGTGCTTTATTACGAGCTTCTTCCGCCAAACTGTTGTTAATTCTAGTGTACTGCCCACAATTGGAGCAATTATAGACAACAATTGACCAAAAATTACTGGCTAATCAAAAGAGAATGGTTTCCCACCAGGACAATGCTCTCACCATCGTTTTGGAGATGAGCCAGAAAAAATGTTGAAGCTTGGCTGGGATTTGCTACCCAACACTGTATTCTCCTCTTAAAATTTTCACTTATTCTGAGTTCTGATCAAAGAGTTCTTTGCTCAAAAACCAGAGAGGTTCTAGGAGGAGGGAATTACAAAATTACATGGAAAATGGAAACAGGCAGTAGAACAAAAAGGTTTTGGAATTTACCATGGTAAAAAAAGCTACTGATGACTTATTTTACAACCCATTTACACAGCTATAATGCTACACAATTATTTAAAAAAAAAATTATATATAATTACCTATTTTCAGTTTTCAATGTATACTCAATTCCCCTGAGTAAATCGTTAGTTTTTAATAACAGTAACATTTCTTTGTTGACAAGACTAAGAGTTTGCATGATTTGAGCCAGAAGCAAAGGCACACCTCTTTGGAAAAGTTCTTTCTAAAAGTTAAAAAATAATTATTAATGTAAATTATTATATTTTGTAATGTGATTTTTTTTTTCACCTCTTTTTCAGTATATTTTGTCTCAACTATTCCACTATCAATCGCCTGCTTTGAACGGGCAGTGACCATGCATGCAAAAAAATCCGAGTAATTTCCAACCCCAAGAGCTGAACAATGTTTTTTTATTCCTTCCTGGTCTTTGTTAAGTATACTGATCCAGAGGCCTGCGTATTCCCGTCGTACAAAGTCACTTACAACCTTAAAAAATGTATTTATTAATCGAATCAATCATTTGTGATGTTTTCCTGAACATACGGCATATAATCCGTGATCGAGAAGTATAATTTTGACTGTTCCATCTTCCTTCTTGACTAGAATGTTCCCGGGATGGGGGTCGCTATGGACGAAGCCTTTTTTGAAAATCATGCTGGAATAGAGTTTCCCAAGCTTATCTGACACTTCGAACAAGTCAATTGACTCACGTCTCATGTAGTCAACATCGTTGACGTTCCCGCCTTCGACGAACTCCATCACAAGGACACGCTCTGTGCTCAAATCGTTGTACACGTCAGGAATCTTAAAACAAATCAAATCATAAAGCATACATTTAATTTAGAATCACTAGAAGTAATACCTTCAGCCAGTTAAAATGGGAATAAAGCGACTTGACTTTGCGGATGTTTTCAGCCTCCTGCTTGAAATTCAGTTCTTTCGGGATATTCTTCTTTGTCTCCGCCACAAGCCAGTTGAACTTGAAATCGGGGAAAACCCACGAGGCGATTTCAACAAGAACCTTCGGACCATATAGCAAGTCGTTAGTTCTGGAAAATTGTCCTCTCAGTTATTTTTAAAACTATTTAATAGACTTTTGACAAATCACCTCCATTGTTCTCATGTCGATTAAAGTGTTTTTTCTAACGTATCCGTGCTGCACCTTCACAGCGACTAAGCGCCCATCTTTCATTTTTGCTTTGTGCACTTGCGCCAATGATGCTGTGCCCAAAGGCTCTGGGCTAAATTCACTAAATAATTCCAATGGCTGAAAAAAATATACAACTTTATGTTAGCTAAGGGTGATTCAACTTTTAACACTTTAGCTATGAAAAATAGAGATTGAAAGCCATGTGGCTTTTAATAAATTTAGGGAGTAAAGATTGAAACCAACATAGAATTTAAAAATTACTATCACAACTATTTTACTAATGAAAGTTTAGGATAATTTAGTCATTCTAAAGTGCTCTATTACTTGAATCTATACTCAATCCTCTCTCAGCTCAACTTTCTTCTAAACTCAATCCTCATTCAGCCCAAACATCTTCTTGGCACAAATGTCTTCTAAACTTAATCCTAATTCAGTTCAAATGTCCTCTCAGCCCAATGGTCTTCTATGCTCAATCCCCTCTCACTCAAATGTTCTCCCAGCTCAACTACTCTTTATACTCAATCCTCTCTCAGCTCAAATGGCCTCTTGGCCCAATGGTCTGCTGTACTTAATCCTCTATCGGCTGTTTGAGTACTCAATCTTCTCTCAGCTCAACTTTCTTCTAAACTAAATCCCCTCTCAGCTCGACTGTCTTCTAAACTTAATCCTCATTCAGTTCAAATGTCCTCTTAGCTCAGGTGTTGCTATACTCAAACCTCTTACAGCTCATCTTTCTTGTATAGTCAATCCTACCACAGATAAACTTTCTTGTATACTCAATCCTCCCTCAGATCAATTTTCTTGTATACTCAATCCTCATTCAGCTCAACTGTCTGCTAGACTCAATCCTCTCTCAGTTCAACAGTCTTCTAAACTCAATCCTTATTCAGCTCAAATGTCTCTTGGCAACTGCCTCCTACACTCAAGCCTCTCTCACTTAAATGTTCTGTTCGCACAATATCCAAACACTAAATCCTCCCTTAGCCCAAATGTCCTCTCAGCCCAACTGCCTCTTATGGTCAATCCTCTCTCAACTGAACCTCAGCTTTAGCGCTCTTCACTCACTTATTCACTTGACTTTCAGGAGTCAACTCCTAACTTTCACAATTTAACAGCCTCTTTCTGATAACTTGACCCTCTAAATTAAATTGGCCATCACAACTTGACTGGTTATACTGTTTTTTCAGCTTTATTTTTACTTGCTCAAGCGAGATGAAGTCCTCTGTCAACCTAAGATCATGGATACCAACATTAAGTAATTATGTTACACATAGTTGAGATGGTAATGATCTAGGGATTCATGCTAGGACAGCAGTTGTCCCTCCATTCCAACCAACATCCTATTTGACTCTTATTTGCTTCTGAACTTCTCAGAACCACCATGAGTATTACTCTATTGACTCATCATACTGATCTTTTCATGAATATTTCTTCAAATTTCCTAATATGACAGATTTTTCTTGGATACCTAGCCTGAATTCTATCTCGTATTTCAACAGATTTACACAATCCTTTAAAATTTTAAAAATAATGAAATGGTTAAAACTGGTCTAGCCAGGTATAACTTGAGAAATTAAATTTGGGGGAAGGGGGGATTTCCTTATATAATTGTAGTGAACAGTGTAAAAAAAAAAAGTTACGTCTTGCTTGAGATCTTCTCTGATGACATGGTATATCTCACTTAAAGGGGAACTCGGTGCACTTTGGTGCAACACTTTTAGAGTGTCGGTATATTCGGCCGGAAGGAGGTAGTTCAAGGCACCTAAGTGTTGGCCTACTTTGACAAAAACACCTTTATTTGCGCAGCAAAGGTCGAGAAGGTGTTGTGCACCTTCAAGGTGAATCTGCAAACAACAGTATATTGTTAATTCCAATTAATTATTATATATATAACATTTTTTGTTGAGATGAAAAAGCTAGTGTCACAAGCGGGATTCAAACCCACGACGTTCGGCTCAACACGCTGCTACTCTAACCACTTGAGCTATTGAAACATCGAACCACTCGGACACCAACTCCTCATCTCAACCTACAACTGTTTGCATTTTCGCCATATTTTCAATTCGTCTCAACCAAAAACCATCGATAAAAAGTATAATTAATTTGAATAGTTAATATGGCCAATTATGACCACATACATTGCTAATGTTAATTATTGTAATATAAATTATGATGTTCGGCCTTTTTCTATGCTGAAAAATAAGTTTTTAACATAAAAACAAGATAAAAATAACCTTTGATTTGAAAGTACGATATTCTTCTGAGGATGGATCCAGGTCAGGGATGTTCAGCTTCACTTTGTACAGATACGCAATAGAACATGCCTGCAATTTTCAACGTTCAACACTGTTTTTTTGCAAGACTTACAATAAAAAGTATATTACCGTCTTGGCAGCGCGTCCAAATCTAACGAGGCCTACATTTTCTACGTCGGGCCTACTAGCAGTCACACTAGCAAGGCCGCCGAGTGCCAAACAGCCTAACATACCATATTTCAGCAGCTTCCTTGAACTCAAAGACCACATTTCTTCTTTGATACATTAGATCTTCACCTAAAAGAAATATTTAATTATACTATTAGAAATGTAAAACTGGCATTCAATTCAACATACTCAGCACAGAATTTTTTTTTAACTCTTCAAACACCATCTTGGTAAAGTTACAATTTGCAATGTCGGATAACCCATTTTTTTTTTCCAATAATGAAATTTTTTAATTAGTTCCACGAGATGGAGAATAAACTACAGTTGAGGTTGAAACTTCTCAGAATCGATAAGAACAGAGAATTACAATTTTATTTCTGGATTGTTTCCTGGTGTTAGATCTATTGGTTAAAAGTTAGCATATCTACAACTTCATCTAGGCAAAGCTATATTGAATATTTCACTAAATTCTGGTCAAATTGGTACTGGCCGGTGGAATCTCAACAATTTCAGTCACAGTAGAAGAGTACTAAACTACTAACGATGACGTTGATATAAAAGTGTAAGAATCGATAAAAAGACAGGAATGAAATTTAATTTTTGGATTGTCCACTAGTGTTTGTGGTGGAGTCAGCCAAAATTATCTTAGTGGTGAAATCACTTTGATGAGCTGTACTTTTAGTTTAAACGAGTAGTTTTGATAATAAACAAAAACAGTATATTTTGTTTTATCATTACAAAAAATCCTAGGCAAAAACTGCTGATTGACCAGTATTGACAAATTATAATCATTATAACAAATAATACTATTTTGTGGTTATCAATCAATATTTTAAATATATTGAAAACTAAATGAGTTTTATATTTAATTTTTGTAAAATAGTTACCTTTGTGCAACAGTAAAAAAAAGCTCACATGTCTCTCAGATACACAGAACATAGATGAAACGACAGATAGAAAGAAAAATAGTAAGAAAACGAAGCAGACACACAGCATATATATAAAAAGCAGAGAGAAAATAAAAACAAACATTCAGACATAGAAAGAAAAAATGAAGAAAACAAACAAGGAGACACACATCACAACTATAAATGACAAATTAAGAGAAAATACAAGCGAACAGACACACAGAAAAATGAAAGGGGACAACAAACAAGCAGACATGCACAACGATAAAATGACAGATCTCTCTCTCTCTCTCTCTCTCTCTCTCTCTCTCTCTCTCTCTCTGTCTTACACACACACATTCTCAGACACACTAAATAGATAAAGACAGATAGATAAAAGAAACAAACAAATAGACAGAGAAAAAGGAAACAAAATCAGACGCACAGCAGATAGCTAAAATAACAGATATAGACAGATAGAAAAAGAGGAAGAGAAACAGACACTAGCACATAGCTAAAATGACAAATATAGAGAAAAAAAGCAGACAGACATACAGATAGAAATTTCTCTCTCTCTCTCTCTCTCTCTCTCTCTCTCTCTCTCTCTCTCAGACACAAAGTAAATAGATAAAGACAGACATATAGAAAAAAAACCAGACAGGTGGAGAAAGAAAACAAAAGCAGATACACAGCACATAGCGAAAATAACAGATGTAGACAAAATAGAAATACATAGAGAGGAAGAGAAACAAGCAAACACACAACACAGAAAAATTATGTCTGTTGTGTCTGTCACTGCTTTGCCCTTCTTCCTTTTTACTATTTAACAAGGGCTAGGGTCTGTGTAAAGGCCTATAATTTTTTAAATCCTGCCTGCTGAGAGAGGAGGTACTACACCATCCGTTTTGAGAGATTTATTAATCTCTTAGCTTGCCTAGCGCTTTTATCCAGTGCTTGAGTTTTTATTTCTCAAGACAATTTTCCAGTTCCAACTTTAGCCCACATTCTGGCGCGCATAGTTGTGGTTCCAGTCCTGGAACCCATTTTAAAGTAACTTAAAGTTCTGTTTCCTTGGGCCTTTCGGCAATTTAGACATTCCCAGACTAGATGTCGTGTCGACTAGTCTGCAGGTAAAACATATGCATTAATGCCTTTGTACTGCTTTTATTTATTTATTTATTTATTTTAATCAACTCCTGTGTACAAGTTGGATTGCATGGACCTCAGCTTGGAAGATAGTTGGAATATCTCAGGCTGGAAACTAAGCCTTTCTTCCAAAGATGTCTGTTATCTATGACCACTTAGAAGGGTCTGTCAAAGTTGAGTTTATTTTGGGTTTCTATGTGTAGTGTTTTTAGCCACCATACTAGAGCTTCATATGTCACCAGAGTATGGTTAGTAGTGCCTTGTTCTTATGTAGAATGTAGCCTATATGTTTTCTTGATTTGGCCTTGGGGGGGGGGGGCACAGTAGCCAAGTGATCAGCATAGCTAGACTCTCAGCTTGTAGATGCACCATCGCCCCTGGTCACTACTATTTCCAAATAGTCCAGTCATTATGGGAGGACCATTATGACAAAAAACACTACTTTTCAAAGCCAACAATTGTTAATCTTGTTGTCTGATAAAAATGAGCAGAAATCAGATGAAAAATGTGACTTTTCAGATAAAGTAAACTATTGTCTGGTGTTACAAGGAGTGAAAGCTAGACTAGACCCAACAAATCCCAGGCTCATGCTCATACAATCTAACTTTGCACATGAAGTTAATGAAGAAAATAAAAGGTGCATAGATCAATATACTTCAGAAAGTCAGGCAGATCTAAAAGCACTAAATGCTTATGTTTTTAGCTCCAAACTAGTTTGGGAATGCTTACATTGCTTAATGGCCCTAGGAAATGGAGGACAACGATCATCATTAGAAACCTGTCTTTTTGACATGATAGTCCATTTAGGTTATTTTGTGTTCCAATGTTACTGTGCGCTTTGGCTTATGTCGATAACTCAGTGCTTATTTTTTGTTATTGCTTGATTTTAAGTTTAATAATAATTTTATGAAGAAGCGTTAAAATCTGATTGAAGTAGTCAAGGTAATTGTTTTAATTTATCATTACAAAGGGCAAAATTTCCCTCAGTTTTTAATTTGATCTAAATAAGCAGCAGGCAAGTTTGCAGGTTAAACATTTTCATATTATATCAAGCAAATTATAAAATCAGAGATTCACCCATCATGCAATTATTTGACTTTTTTTGTTAAGTCCTGCATACAAAGTTGGATTGAACCTCAACTTCGAGATTGTTGGGACTTAACTTTCACCTATCTCCTTACAACACTAGACAACAGTTTATTTTCTGTAAAAAGTCACATTTTTCCAATTAAATTAAGTACTCTAGCAGACTAATGGATAGTGAATGAAATGACCTCAGAGAAGATTGTACTGCGCTGAGGAAGGAAAAACATACATGATTAATTTGTTTTTGCATTAATGCTTTGAAGAAAATAAATGCTGTTGCAAATGTATTATGGCTATTTATTAACTTATTTAAGCTTTTTTAAGCATTCACACTCATGGTTGTTGTTTTGTTACATTGTGCTGATTAATCATCTTGCAAATTATTAAAAAAAAAGTATATGTTTAGTTAAAGATGGGCGATTTTGAAGAATATTAAATGATAAATGTATGGTTTTTGAATCTTATTAATTTGATAAGTTTTTTAGATGTAGATTATAATCTTCAGAATCATCTCTTATGTTGGGACTTTGGGAGTGTGACTAGCGCCACGAGCGGCGAAGTCCCTTTGCTGGAAATCCAATGGATGGCCAATACTTTCGGCTTGGTACTTAGTTGATGATGATGATGATGACAGATCGGGAAGACATGGAGTGAGGCAGGTTCGCCGATTCGTGATATTTTCCAGTATTTTCCAGGCCGAGAGATTTTCCATCGGGCATCCGACAAGAAAGTGGCGTCCCTTTTCCAACGGCCGTCTCCCGGCTTTGACGAATCTGTTTCCAACCGGAGCGGACCTGGCGGTCCGACTGAATCCGGGTCGCGGACGAGCTTTTTATTATTGTAAAATATTCTTTTTAAAGAAAGCTTTCGCCTTTTCCCCGTCCGTGGATTCCTGTTTTCTCAAGGAAAATGAACCATTCTTGAAAAGAATATTTCTTGGTATGTGGACCATTTTGGCTTTATAGGCACATAAGTATGCTTCACACGCTCCTTTGCCTGCTTGACTTTCATCCTGAAATTCACACGCTTGAAATCGACCTTTTTTGCACGCATTTTCTTAGCAAAAAACTTTCATAAAAAACTACTCTGAAAAATTTGACACGTTGTACATAAAATTTTAATATATTTCAGTTAGTAATAAAAATACACCAGGTACTCCAGAAAGACCTGTATTTTTTGTTGTGCCAAAATAAGACAAAAAAAAAGGGTAAAATAATTTTAAGTGGTCTCTGAAACTCTGTGTGCTTAATGCTAAGCAATACGTATCATTCAGTGTATGAATTTATTACTTTTTATGCTCTGGAAGGTACGGTTTCAAGAATGCAATAAACTAGAGAGATATATTCATAAACATTTATTGTTACACTGGCCTGTCTTAATATGGTAACGAACAAATCAAACAATCAAGCAAGACAGTCACAATCCTGTAGATTTATTGGTCGGGGTGTAATGTACTGCGCCCTTTAAGAACTAAGCCCCTGTTCTGTTCCTAAAGCACACCGGTGAGTCCTATTTCATCAAGGAACGTGATTAGTATGCCTGGTGTCAGTGGTTGAATCTCTTCTATAGTCACATTGCACATCCCAAAGCACTTCCTCCTGTGGGAAAGTGTAGTACCACAGTGTTGGGTTATACCAATCTTCCTTAAATGTCTGTTTGCAGTATCTTGTTAGGATTCTCAGTTTTTCCTGTGCCTTTTGATAATTCTGTAACTTCTTTCCTTCCGAAATTTGTTAGGTGGTTCTTGGATTGTTTGTGTCCAATGAGTGAATTCCATTGTTCCTTCATTTTCTTTTTGTCCTTTGTATGAGGTACTCATTGATAGTGTGGGTTCCTATGCCACAGAAGGGTTTGGGTCCTATCAGCAATGCCTGCTTTCTTGTTGTTTTTTACTCCCACATGTCCTGGGAACCAGCAGAGGCTGATTGTTCCGCGTATCTAATATGTTTAATTTGGTTTTGCAGTCCAACACCATCTTTGACCTAATGATGTTTGAGCTTAGCGCTTTGATGGCTGCTTGGCTATCTGATATGATCTTGTTTTTGTTCCCTTTAGTCAAGTTGAATCGAGCACATCTTTCGATTGCCTAGACCTCAGCTTGGAACATACTACTATAGATAGGTGTACTTTCCCATAGTATTTGGTTCCAGGACCGAATATTTGGATGTTTTGATTAAATTCAAACATCGTGTTCATGCCGTCCCTTGAAGCCGTGAGTATCGGATGGTAAGGAAATGGGAGATTCAGAAATTATTGCAAACGTCAGATAGAAGGAACACGCTGATGGTTAATGAAGAGAGTGAACAGAAGAAATTGGGAAAATTTGAGATCTATTTAACAATGTAATGAAATTATAAACTGATCCTTTGATATCAATATTGAAAGGTTTTTCAAGCATCATGATCTACGGAATCGGATGGGTTCCTACGCCACAGAAGGGTTCGGGTCTTAGCGGTACAGCAGCCCCTTACCTTGCAAGGGTGTCCTCTTTCTCTTTACCTTCTACTACCATGTGTCCTGGGACCCAGCAGAGGCTGACCTTGTTCTGCGTACCTAATATGTTTAATTTGGTTTTGCAGTTCTGCATCATTCTTGAACTAATGATATTTGAACTGATGTTGTATTGGATCTTCTTGAGGTCTACATCTACAGGTGAATAAAGAACGTCACTATTGGGTTTCACCAAGCTTTCGGCGAATGTTCCGCCATCTTCAGGGCCTAATGTAGATTCATTTTCACCTTCATTTTAAAAAACCAACAAACATGTGCCATAAATTTAATTGTTCTAAAAACTGGGTAAAGTACGTAATTTTATTTTTATAATGTATGTATATATGATGTGTACTTCATGGTATCACTTGGTTCATGTAACTTTTTGTTTTCAATAAATTAGGCCCTGAACATGGCGGAACATTCGCCGAAAGCTTGGTGAAACCCAATAGTGATGTTCTTTATTCACCTGTAGAATGACCTCAAGAAGATCCAATACAACATCAGTTTAAACTACGGAGGTCGATCAATGTCAACTAGAATAATGATATTTGAGCATATTGCAGCTTGGCTATCTGACATGATAGCTCTGTTCTTGTTTTTGTACACTTTATTCAGGTTGAATTGAGTACGATTGCATGGACTTTAGCTTGGTAGATAATGGTGCGTTTTCCCAGGGGGTTTTGAGTATTTGGTTCCAGGACCAATCATACCCCTGAAAATTCTTGTGTTCTCGATCCATCTGTGTACAAAAAGATGGTGCCATTCTTAAACGAGGTGTTTTCCTCTTGTTCTCATTCTTTTTTGGTACTTAGGTTTATTTAGAAGGTTAAATTCAAACATCCTGTTCTTGTCGTCTCTTGGAGCCATGAATATCGGATGGACCTTCATTATTTTGTTGGTGTCTCTCCATTTTAGTTTTATTCCTTGTTTCTCTTTACTGATACTAATAATAGTTTTCTGTGCTGTCCTCATTATCATGTGGTGCCAAAACCCTAAGGCCTTTTTCACATAGAGGCGATTGGTATCGAGGAGACCATGTAACCATGTGAGACAGATATGGTCATTCAGACGGGGACCAATATGAGTGATTTTTAATCGCTTGGGATGTTTGGTTGCTTGGTACTTTTTCAGTACGAAGGCGACTAACGAGTCATTGCGCAACATGATGTCATTTACACAGTTGATAATGTATCGAGCAGTTCACTCCGTCTGAATTTTGTTTGCATAAGCCTTTGAAACTTACAAAAATGGATAGAAGTGACATTTTGCTTAAAGACAAACGAATTTCATTAGTTTAAACATATACCACGGTTTGGAATAACAGTGACCATGATTATGTGAATAAAGTTAAAATAGAAAATGCATGCCGAAATGTGGATGAACAATCCTGGCCCTGAGGACTGACTGAAAGAGGAACCTAGGCAAACAGTTAAAGCCATGCTTTCACAAATTTTTAACAAATATTTTTTTAAAAATTTTCTTTAGCTTGGATGTTTTGCCTTGGCAATCGTGTAACTTTTGATTTTGATTATGAAATGATAAGTTGGTCAACATGGAAATGTACAAAGAATGAAGTGCTTTATTTCCTCTCTTTTTATAAAAAACACACACACAATTATAACATACAATAATTTTGATTGAGTTGTTACAAAAAGTTGATTATTTCAGTGTTGTTTTATTATATTAGACAGTTTTTGTTTCTGCAGGTGAAGTAAGGTGAAGAAAGCTATGTGGTGTAAGAATTATGTATGGTATTTCGGATATAGACATGAAACCGGCGATGGAGGCAACGGAATCCTTGAAATCGCTGAATGAAAACAGCACAAAAACAAAGCGTTCGCGATCACACAACCACAGATCTTCTCATCGGAGTTATTCGCATAAGAACTCAAGGTAATTTAATCACCATCACACATTTTGTTTGTAAATATTGTCTAATATGTTGTTTCTAGGAACAGGGAAGACGAAAACATGGCACCTTTCCAAACAGCTGTCACAGTCGATGAGACGAGGAACGGCCAAGAGGTTATCGAGGTACAAATCCTCCCTCAGGACGACAATTGGGGCGAAAACACGACCGCAGTCACTGGCAATACTTCAGACCAGTCAGGCTCGGTCGAAGAGGTCAACTTATGGCCTAGCGAGCCTGATGCGGGCATCGGCTTCACCTGTAGTCGCTATGTCAGCACAGCTATAGCAATTCTGCTCTCATTTGTCGCTTTCGTCAGTCCTATTCTTATGCTTATACTTCCAAAGATTGGTACTTTTCATTTTTAATTTTGACACCTTTTAACTGAATTTTAAATTTTGCTGTTTTTTTTTCTTGAATATTATTTAATTTTTTGTTTAAGGGTTTTTTCCTTCCCTTGGTGCGAGCCTGAGTGCTGCTGAGAGGGCGCAATTGCTTTCTTGTGGCGCTGAATGCAAAGGTCTTTTGGTTTCGCTCTGCTTCAAATTATTGCTTCTAGCAGCTGGCGCTTGGGCGGTGTTCTTAAGAAAGTCGAGAGCAACATTGCCTTGTATATTCATGTTCCGCGCAGCAGTATTGCTTCTAGTATTTATATGTTGCTTTACTTACTGGCTGTTTTACATTGTGCAAATCACTGAAGGTATTTTTTCTTTTGTCTATTTTTTTTTTTTCTTCGATTTACATACAACACTCACAAAAGAAATTTTTCAGGTGCGAGGGAATCGGTGACGAGTAAAGAATCATTAGAGTACAGAGCTTTAGTGGCTTATGCGGCTAGTTTAACTGATACTTTACTGTTTATTCATTATTTGGCAGTCATTTTAATTGAAATTAGGCATTTACAACCGTCTTATTATGTCAAGGTAAGTAAAAACATGATTGACAAATGACCTTAAATAATTTACTTTATCGATTTTAGATTGTAAGAAGCCCGGATGGAGAAAGCAAATCTTATGCGATAGGCCAGTTAAGCATTCAAAGAGCTGCTGTGTGGATATTAGACAAGTATTATACCGAATTTCAAATCTACAATCCTTACCTGGAGAGGATACCTGTGTCTAAATCCAGGAAGCCGACATCTAGTTTCAAATACTATGAGGTCGATGGCGTCAACACTTCCACATTACAGGTAACATAATCTAAAACAAAAATAATTTATATAAAAAATTAATAGTTTTTAAAAATAATATGATTTATTGGGTCGGTGTAAAATCAATGCAGGTTTTGAAAATTTGTTTTATTTTTGTAATTGCTTGTCATGTAAACAAAGCTCAATCTGAAATCTTATTTATGGATTATAATAAATACTTTTAAATGTTTTATTTTTATTTATCAATTAAGGTTTTGGTTGAGATAAAAAGTCAGTGTCACGAGCGGGATTCGAACCCACGACCTTTGGCTAAATACACTGCTGCTCTACCACTTGAGCTATCATACTTCGATCCACTCGGACACTAACTTCCCACCCAACCCCACCTTTTGAATTTTTCCTCCTTTTTGCCATTTTTCAAATGTCGTCTAATCGGATTGGATTCTCGGCGACAAATGAAATGGCCACGGAGAGCTTTAGTGAAGTTTACTTCATTTTGCTTATTATATTTTATTTGTTCGTGGTCCGCTTGACCAAATAAATTCTTTTCAATTAAGTAAGGTTTTGGTTGAGATAAAAATGGCAAAAAGGAGATGGGGTTGAGATGGGAAGTTGATGTCTGAGTGGATCAAGGATACCTCAAGTGGTAGAGCAGCGGCGTATTTAGTCGTGGGTTTGAATCCCGCTTGTGACACTGACTTTTTTATCTCAACCAAAACCTTAATTAATTGAAAAGAATTTATTTGGTCAAGCGGACCACGAAACCTAATAAATTTTTTGTTTATATTGAATTTTATAAGAGTGAGGAAATGCGAAATAAATATGTCCAGATTAGATTTTCCTCAAATTTATTTGTACGATTTTAAACTTGGACAAAATGCGGCCCAAACCGTGCGCAACATCAATACAGTTTTGGGGGAGGAAGGCATTAGCGAATCCTCGGTGCAGCGATGGTTTCAGAGATTTCGATCTCGAAGACATGGAAGGTGTGGTAGGCCTTCGGTTATGGACGACAACCAACTCAATACATTGAGTGAAGAAATTCATCTAAAACAACAGGAAATTGCAGAAGAGCTTAGTGTTGACCGCTCAACCGTTCTTCACTGTCTGTAGCAAATGGGTAAAGCAAAGAAGCTCGACAAATGGGTACTGCAAAAACTAACCGAAGCCCAAAGAAATTGACGCTTTGAAATTTGCACGTCTCTTTCCCCATTAAAATGATCCATTTCTCAATTGAATCATCATGGGTGATGAGAAATGGATTATGCACAATAACAGGAGGTACAGGTCAAGGATGAAGTGCCTAAACACTTTTCGAAGCCTAATCTACACCCAAAAAAGGTTATGTGACTATTTGGTGCTGTATAGCTGGGGTTGTTAATTATTATTTTCTGAATTATGGTGGAACTATCAGAGAGAAATATTGCCAAGAAATTGATAAAAATGCACGGGAAACTGCAACGTCACATAGGCATTCACATTAATGCCAGGCCACATGTTGCAATGCCTGCCAACCCTGCGGAAACTTAAGGACTTGGGGTATGAAAGCTTACAGCACCCTCCTTATACTCCCGACCTCTTGCCTACAGACTTCCACTTTTTTAGGCATTTTGATCACTTCTTGAGGTATAAAATTTTTAGAGAACGCGTGAAGCTTAAAATGCCTTCCGAGATTTTATTACGAGAGAAGTCAGCAGAATAAAATTGTTTATTACACATTGGCAAAGTTGTTCAGATTGTGATGGAAAATATTTCGAATAAATTTTCTTTATTTTATAAAGATTAAAAATAGTTGCCTGCTGCCTTTTCAAAACCTGTATTATTTTTGTACTAGCCCAATAATTATTATTGTCATTTGTTTAGAAGAAAATTTCAGTATTGAAAATCGCAAAAATTTCTTTCTATCACTCGTTTCAGAACCAGAATAGAAGCGTTACTAATTCCCATGCCCGGAGAAGAGACTCGAGTCACAATGAGCGTTTTTATGAGGAGCACGATTATGAGCGTAGAGTGAAGAAACGACGTGCGAGGCTAATAACGGCTGCCGAAGAAGCGTTTACGCATATCAAGCGGCTGCACCATGAGCCGGGTGAGCATTTTTTTTTCCCATTCTGAAACATGTAAAAACATGCTAACGGTGATTTTTTCAGTCAACTATGTTCCCAACCATACAAGGCATCACAACTTGGAATGTGAGATTTATTTTATTCTACTGGTTGAAGCACTGTTTTTTGTAATCACTTGAAAGCATTTTAGAAATTGCTGTAGATTAGCACCTTTTCAGCCTGTTGAATACATTATTAAACTGTTAAATTGTGTAAAACGTGACGCATAAAAAAAAAAAAAAAAAAAGAGAGAGAGAGACAAGATTGACAAAATAACAACATAGACCGACTGCCAAATCTCTGAAAGAAGACAGTGTGATCAGATACCAAGCTACACTGAGAGGCAAAAAAGTAGCCACCCTTCATATTTTTAATTATTTGTTAGACAATCCTCTATTGATTATCTTACAACAATATTTCGTCCATTTTAAAGGATATATCATTTTTAAGTTTCAAATTTGTTTGAGTGATGGTTTTAAGTGAAACAGATTAGGTAATATTGTTGGAAGATGGAAGAAATCAAGCGTATGTGGCCAGGGTGCTTTTAACATTCCAAGAACAACTGTCTGAAGGGTCTAACGCCACTACCAAGATACTGTAGGTTACTCGAGAATACATCGATCAGGTTGCCATTGTGTCACATTTCAGAGAGAGATCAAGCAACGACTTCAACAAGTTAGAAATGTTAAAGTTAGTAAGGTGAAGACTTAAGGTGGCCATTCTCAATTGCTACAAATGGAACTGCGCCAAGCCATATAGCTCCATTTGGAGTGCCTGAAATTTGAGGGGGCATTTACGACCGCTCCACAGCCAGTCGCTCTGAATGTCATCTAGTGAATTACCTTCTCAAAATGGATGACGATCTATTGTGCTACGCTGCTGTTTGTTTATACATTAAAAGCAAAAAACCAAAGAGGAAATGGTGTAAGAAGTGGCTCCTGAACGAAAGCTGTAATACACACATCAATTTGATGAAAGATCTTTCCCTTGAACCCCCTGATTGGAGGAACTATTTAAGGATGGATGAAACGTCTTATTTATTCATTACATTTAATGTTCTATTGACCAAATTACTTCTTTCAATTAATTAATTTTTTTTTGTAAGGTTTTAGTTGAAATGAAAAAGCTAGTGCCATGAGCGGGATTTGAATCCATAACCTTCGGATAAAAATGTCACTGCTCTACCACTTGAGCTATTGTAACTTAGATCCTCTCGGACACCAAAAAATGGCAAAAAGAGGGAAAATTCGAAAGGTTGTAGGCTGAGATGGGAAGTTGGTGTCCGAGTGGATTGAACTATTGAAGTCACAATAGCTCAAGTGGTAGATCAGCGCGTATTTAGCCAAATGTCATGGACTCGAATCCCCTCGTGACACTATTTTTTTATTTCAACAAAACCTTACANCTCTCCGTTTGGACTGCTAGGAGCGGTCGTGAATGGCCACCTTTAAAAGCTGGATTATGTGTGACAAGGCCTGTACTTGTCCAGGAAAGGCACAGAATTGCTCGGTTAAGTTTTCCAAGAAATTGTATCAAACGGTCAGAGCAAGATTGGACTAAAATCTTCTTTTTGGAAGAGTCAGGGTTTTTGTTTGAAGTCTTCTGACGGCAAGAGAGTGGTTGCATAAAGGTGGCTCTAGACCTGCGGTATTCACCAAATGCCGATTGCCACTGAATATTTGCCAAAAAATGCTCCTACTTACATACACACAAAGGCTTGTACAATCACCTGGTTTGTGTGGGAACAGCGAATATTTGCTAAGTGCGGTGCGAGTCCTCAACTTACTACCAATTGTGATAGACAACGGTTACTGTGTTATGTATTGGCTACAAACTCAGTCACAAATCAGTGCTGTTGCCATATTTAGCGTCCTAATGCTCTGAGATCACACTACCAGGCCTCCTTTTGGCTGGCATTTCCAGTCTCTCGGAATTGGGCTAAAGCCTGGAACACCACGCTCTGAGAAACGCCAACTGCCTCAGCGATATCCACTTGCCAGTGACCTCGATGACTCATTCTTACAATAATATTGCGAACTTCTGGTTCAGAATGATGTCTTTCCATGGTTAAAGAGAATACAACTGGATTAAAATTGAGAAAAGACAAGAAAAGGTGTTTGTTTCCAAAATGAGTAATCATCATGTTTACTAGTCTTAAGTAAATAAAAAATGAGTATTAACAAATTTTTCGTTTTTGGTTTGTATTTTCTTTTTGTTTTATCCAACTAACAAGAAGGATTAAAATTGAGAAAGATGAGAAAAGTGTTTGTTTCCAAAATGAATATTCTTCATGTTTACTATTCTTAAGTAAATAAAAAATGAAGATTAACAAATTTTTTGTTTTTGGTTTTTGTTTTCTATTTTGCTTTATCCAAATAACAAGAAGGATTAAAATTGAGAAAAGACAAGAAAAGTGTTTGTATCCAAAATGAGTATTCTTCATGTTTACTATTCATAAGTAAATAAAAAATGAGTATTAACAAATTTTTTGTTTTTGGTTTGTATTTTCTATTTTGTTTTATCCAACTAACAAGAATATATTGGTGAATTTAATTAAAATTAATAGAATAAGAATAAATTACAAATATCCTTATCATTTTTGCACAATTTATTTATTTATTTAGATGAATGTTCTTTGGTGTGATAATGTCAAAATGCAAGGTTTTTATTTTTTAATATTTTTTTATTTTATTTCTGTTATTTTCACAATTTGTTTTGTGGTGCTTCAAATAATATAAATTGTTAGTATGCATTTAAATAATAAAAAAAAAATTCATTGTGTGATTTTAGCACCAGGGTTGCCAATGGACTCTCACGAAGCGGCACAAGCTGTATTTCCATCTTTGGCAAGAGCTTTACAGAAGTACCTTCGCGTGACAAGGCAGCAGCCTAGGCATAGTGTAGACTCGATTCTTCAGCATTTGGCGCAGTGCCTTAGCCACGACCTTTCCCCCAGGGCTTTCCTCGAGCGCTTTCTCCAGCCAGCTCCCGTCCTTCAGGTATTTGTTTTTTTATTATTCAACCATTAAAAAAATAATATATTTTATTTTTTTTTAAATTTGAAGAACGAAAAGGAACAGAAAGAAGTACAATCTTGGTCTCTCATCTGTGACGAGGCTCTTTCTCAGCCTGTGAAACCCGGCACAGTTTTCCAACTGCGCCAAAACGATGTCTCGCTCTTTTGCTCTATTCACATGCTCCCGCATTTTAACATTACAGAGGAGGTGATCGACCCAGCCAGCAACAGGTTTGTACTCAGGCTAAATTCAGAGACGTCAGTCTGACCTAAAGCGAACGACTGTCATACGAGGTTTATATGACAGCTAGTTTAATATGTGATAATTATAATACTCAATGTACTAAGCACATCTCATACTCGGAAGGCATTTTGGGGAAAACTACTTTTAGCTACTGTTCTTTAGACAAATTAACTCTTTCCTAGAGGTGCCTGAGATTACTTAGTTGATTTTTTATGTGTGTATGTAAATATTCTGTGTAGTGATAATTTAAAACTTAAGGCAACATTATTAAAGTAGGTTATTGTGTTCTTTGGGAGCTGTTAATTGAAAAAATTAGACTTTTTCCTACAATATTATGAAAAATCAAAAATTTATTTTAACTGGGAATCATCCAAAATATTCTGGAGGAAGCGAGAAAATTGAATTTGTATTCATTCCTGCCTGAAGAGAAGACTTTTGTTAACAACAATAAACCTTTCAGGCTTTGCACCAAAAATTTTTTTAAATTAACAAAAAAAATCAATATTGAAAATTGCTGTTTATTATCAGCAGATTAGTGAAAAATTATTTATTTGCTGGATTTATTTAGTGGGGCAATAAAGAAATGTGGCGCTTGAAAATGGGTCCCCGGGGGGTAAAAAATTTCAAATTTTTATTCCAGTCGGAGAAAGTTATGGTCTTGTACAGAATAATAATAATTGCCGTTATTTTTTAAATAAATATTTGATTGATGCTGATAAATAAATTGACAACAAAATTGAATATAACCGTATGGTTTTGTGGTCTAATAAACCGCCCTATCTATTTTAGTTTTAAATTTTAACATAATTAATTATGAATAAAAGTTCATAATTTAATGATTTGAGATTAAAACTTGATTTTTATGACCAGATCATGCTGTTTTATTGCTGTGGATAAACAGAAACAGTTAATTTTTTACCATATTGCCACAAAACTATATAGCAGTTTCTTTGGTGTAATAAACAGGAAGACCCTTCTTTGCATAAGACTGAATTAGCTGTAAGTTCAGCTTTTTCAGTATTGTGAAGCAGGGTGTTGGCTGTAATTTTTTAAAACTGTCTTTTTTCTTTTTCTCCTGGCATATCCGGTTCTGTCCATTAGGGTCACGAGGGCTGGCGTGGAGGATAAACTGTCTGTGATGGAGAAGTGTCTTATCTTAGAGTCGAGCTCTGAGAAGCTGCGACACTGACCTGCAGCAGTAACCTCTTGCTCTCCTCGTCGTATGCATTTATGGACAGTTGGTATTTGCACCGTTGTTCGAGCACTTCCCCCCTTTTAATATGTTGGTTGTAACACTGTTGATTGTTTTAAATGTATCCCTCATTTCCAGTGTTGACCCAACGTACCTTTTTTTATAGATAATTTCCGACACCTATTTAGAGTAGCCCTTTTCTTTTTTTATACCCCTTTAATTCCAGCATGTTATTAAGTTTTATATTTTGATCGTTTCTTCTTTTAGTTTTTATTTTAAAATCTATTCAGATGAGAAAACTAATTTAGTACCTTCTTTTTTTTTAAATAGTAGATTTTTCTTAGAGATCACAGGACAAAAATTATTAACCAGGTATGAAATGCCTTTAATCAATCACAATAAATAATAAATAATAAATTGAATATAATATCGTATTATTACAATTATCAAAGTTTTGCAAATTGTGAGAAAATATTTTTTAATGCATGAATAAAAGACTGTTGGTTTGGATATTAAATATTTAAGATGAAAATATTGCCTTTGTATAACTGGCAGCTTAGTATTCGCATTGTAAATGCTATAAAACAAAATTATTTATTTTTATTTTATTAATCAAATACGCAATTTTCTCTTTGTACATATTTACACGTTATTATTATTTTTTATAGTGTAAATAATTTTATATCAATGATAATTATTGAAAATAATTACAAACAAAGACAAAAAACTTAAAACATTCCAACAAAGACTTAATATTTATTAAATTATCGAACAAGAAGAAAGTGCCATTAAGCATGAATTCTTAAGCACAAGCAATTTTTAAAAAAAGTTGCTCTGAAAAATTTTTTTTTTGGTTGGGTTTCTAACCAACACTATTTTAAAATAGTACTTAAAAAACACAATTTAATAGAAATCAATTTTATGATAATCACAAACTTTGTACCTGAAAAAAGTTATTCAGAAATTTAAAAATCAGCACATTTTAGACATAAAAAATCATATACTTCATATAAAGTATAAATATACCAGTGCCAAAACCTGGAACATTAGTGCAATGATGGTATATTAAAAAAATTAAACCAAAGATTATATAAAAAAAAAATAAAAAAATGACAAGGAAAAATGTTTCAAACATTAAACGAATTTAACACTTTTATAATTTTTTAAATTAGGAGTTAGAATTGTATTATTTAATAGTTTTTATTTCTCCAGTGGATTATTATTGTGTTTGTTTTTTAATTTGATCTTTACTCGATTCAGTCTGCTTCGATTTTTGACTGATAGCCGGGAACTTCTAGCCATCATTGACTCGACGCATTGCACATTTCAAATAATGATGCCTGTTGGCTTAAAATTTGTTAGGATTGAACTTGCGACAGTCCAGGGTCCAAGAGCCGCTGCGCTTTCGTTTCAAATTCTGAAAACGTGGCCAAAAATCGACTGAACGCCTTTTCAGAATTTGTGAAAATGTGCAATTAGTTCGATGGGCTAGAATGGAGCCCGAGTGGATAAAATAAACGTTCCTTTAGAAAATGAAAGTTTCTGTTACAACTCTTGGCCATCACAATTCTTGAATATTTATTTCATTGTAAGGTAAAAAAAAAAAAAAATTGGTTGTGCCAAAACAAAACAAAAAACATTTGGCCATTTTTTAATTAGTTATTTGCTCAAATTTACTTTTGTGTTATTTCATAATATTCATGTTTTTAGCTCTTAAGCATTGTAAAATATATCATCTGTTTAATTTCAGTTTCTAATTATATACTATTGTCAAAATGAAACATATTAAAAAGCCAAAATTGGCTTTGACTTATAACTATAACAGGGAGTGAAATATTTATATTACTAAACAAATAAAAAAAAACCATATCTTCTTGATCTCAGAAAATTAAAATCATTTTATAATTATTGCACAATAAAAGCATATCATTCTAAAAGCTTGGAAGATATCTTCATACAAAATATTTACTATTTATCACATACAGTTATATTTGAATACAGAATTTAGCATTTGTAAAAGGAAAAGTTATATAATTACTAATCATTTGTGTGTTGGTGTGTGAGTGCGCTTGCGATTGGCCTTATCGGTAATGTAGTTTTTTTTTCAAATTTTGTGTCTCTTTTAATTTGACCAGTAATGAGTTGACATAGGCTAAGGTATATCGGTTAAGAACGTCTATTATTAATGCCTTGACACAGATGTGTATGTGTGAATACAGCTTCACAGTTGCAAATATATTTTTTTAAATATTAGTTCTAAAAGTGAGAAACAAAAAAATAAATGTATAAAATAACCAAATTATGCAAATTCGATATTACAAAATTGTCCATTTCACCTATTTGCACGATTATGACAACAGAGGAAAAATTGTACATATTAAAAAAAAATATATATATAAAAAAGGTGTTTATTAATTTTGGGTATATATACAAATTATTGGTATATTTTGTGATGAGTTGATTATATTGGTCCTTAGAGACACAATTGATATATTTTCAACCTGAATGTGTTTCATCCATACACGCAGACATTTCTGTGTATATCTGTTTTACCTTTAATTGAATTATGTATTTAAAAAAAAACAAAAAAACAAATTATAGTATTATCTGTTAAAAATTATGTATTTGAAAATGAAATTTAATTAAAACCAAGTTTGTAACCAACCTGTATTAAAGAACTGACACTTTTTTTTTAAACTTTGATTTTCATTATTTAACCCCCCTTTTAACCTTCAATTTGTATGGAAGTGTGTGCACTTCTTAATTATCAAAACGTAAATTATTGTGTTGTTTTTATTGGCTAAAATTTCAGAAGGGTGTAGGCTGTTCGATTGTAACAACATTTAAAAATATGACATTTTAGCATCTTTTGTGCTATAACTATGAAAAATAGATTTTCTAAATTTTTTATTGGCATTATTGTGAGATTTCTCTGTGTGGTCTGTGGATGGATTAACAAGTTATTGACTTATAATTAGTAATCTGTCTCACTTTTGTTTTTCTATCAGACGTGTTTCAGCATTTCGACATCTTCAGAGTTTAATATTATTATATTATGTTTCGGCTATTGTAAAAAAAAAAAAAAAAAAAAAAAAAAAAAAAAAAAAAAAAAAAAAAAAAAAAAAAAAAAAAAAAAAAAAAAAAAAAAAAAAAAAAAAAAAAAAAAAAAAAAAAAAAAAAAAAAAAAAAAAAAAAAAAAAAAAAAAAAAAAAAAAAAAAAAAAAAAAAAAAAAAAAAAAAAAAAAAAAAAAAAAAAAAAAAAAAAAAAAAAAAAAAAAAAAAAAAAAAAAAAAAAAAAAAAAAAAAAAAAAAAAAAAAAAAAAAAAAAAAAAAAAAAAAAAAAAAAAAAAAAAAAAAAAAAAAAAAAAAAAAAAAAAAAAAAAAAAAAAAAAAAAAAAAAAAAAAAAAAAAAAAAAAAAAAAAAAAAAAAAAAAAAAAAAAAAAAAAAAAAAAAAAAAAAAAAAAAAAAAAGAATTGGGTTCAGAGACTATCGGAAGCAGATCACGTTTTAGCCTGAACAATTGCACCAAGCTTCCTTCAGAGAATGATGGTTTTTGAATCAGCAAATCATTCCGTTTTTTGTTATTTTGATACCATTACGGCGATGTGCTTCTTTTTTTTTCATTTGTCATTAATTTTCAAGTCTTTTTTTTCAATAAATCTTTTTTTTTTGTGCTGGAGTGTGTGAAAATTTCCATTTGTTAATCGTATGAATTTTCTAAATTCCTTTGTTGTTTTTTATTGTTAGTCAAAATTTCAGAAGATGTAGTTTGAGTATAAATACGTTTTGTATTTGTGCATGTTTTGTGCCAGTCATGCAAAATTGATGTTCTGAATTTCTTTTGACATCATTATTATTATTTCATATGATAAATTATTGTATTGACTCCTTCGGAGGGTGCAGGTGATCATGAGCATTTCTGTCACAAAATTTATTTGGTGTATTTGATGTAAGATAAGAAAGATAATGATTTATATCAAGAGAATAAGCTCAACAAACCACAACATGTTCCATGGGCTTTCGACATCTAGGTCATATCAACCCTCGATGCATGTAGTTTTTAAATCTAGACCCACTCACACTCTCACTCTTAAGTACATTCTTTACTATTTACGTATTAGGGTGGTAGAGTATTTGATAAACCTCCATAACTCTTTAAACGCTGTAAATAATTTAATTGAGGGACTGTGGGGTCTCTTTCACGCTACTCATTCACTCTAATAAATACATTCAATCTCAATATACACACAAAATGTGTGTATCAAGTACTGTATGTAATAAAACAGATTTTCCTCTGAAAATCAGAATTGGGCACAATTCCCTTTGGTAAGGATGAACACCATTCAGTTATGTACGATAACAGGAGGTGTACAGGTCAGTGGTTGAATTAGGATGAAGTGCCAAAACACTTGCCGAAACCAAATCTTCACCCAAAAAGGGTTATGGTGGTGTACTGTAGTGGCTGACAGAGCAATCTAGCAAATTACACCAGGTACGTAAAACAATAGTTTCACGTTTTTTAACGTTTAATAATTGAATATTTGTCTAAAAAAGTAAAAATAAATGTAAATTGCTAAGGAAAAAAAAAAAAAAAGACGGACAGATAAAATTTGGTTTAATTTTATTTTCGGTTTTTAATTAAATTTCAATATCGCGTATTTCCTCCTCTTGTCTTAATTAGTTTTCGAAGACGCCTCGGCATACTTTCTACCTACCTGGAGATGTCTCTATGCTGGAGTTAGCCCATTCTTCACGAAGAGACCTTTCAAGATCGTGGAGTGTACCAGGAAGGGATGGAAGGGGGTTCAAGTCTGGAGAATGGGCGGCCAGGCTAAGACCCTGACGTTATGTTGTTGAAGGTACGTTTGTACGATGCGGACGGGCATTATCGTGGATTAGAATAGGATTGTCGCTGATTTCGTCAACACATGATCCAAAATTTTATGTTAGTGAGTGGCCGTCAAAGACCCTCCGCGAACAAGAACCAACTCAGTGCGACTCTCCATTGAAATTCCCGCCCACACCATCACTGAGCTACATTGAAAAGGTTGGCTCGGAAAAATTACAAGCTTCGCACCTTTCATTTCGCCTTCTCCACACTTTCACGCCCATCTAGAGATCGTAGAGCAAATTTACATTCATCTGTAAAAAGTACAGCAGACCAATAGTTCAAAGACCAATGGCTGTGCTCTCGAGCAAATGCGAGCCGTCCAGCTCTGTGTGATCTGGTCAATTCTGGCCCTCTTACGGGGCGAAAAGCCATCAGTCAATATTGATTTAATTTTCTTCGAGCAGTGCGTTCAGAAATTTGGACAGCTCGAACTTCCTGGAGCCGATGTATCGCTTGATCAACATAAGATGCCAGTTTCGTAAAATTATCAAAGTCAAAAAACGGTCATCATGTGGTTCTGTTACTCTAGGGCGTCTAGAATCAGAAGCGGGCCTTCTATGGTAGGACACACTTTTTCGAATACGTCTAACGGCGTCTCGCAGAGTTTCATAGGGAACTACGATGGCCGTAGCCGCATACCTGATGGAACGCCCATCATCAATAAGTGCCACACTACGCGCAAAATCTTCAGCACTTAGTGGCATTTTTAAGTTTAACGCAAACTTTTGGCGGGAAGGCTTCTGACCAACCTGATGGCGAGAAAATCAGAACTGGTTGGGAAAATATCCACCTTAACTCTCCTAACTTTGACACAAAAATACTGGGGAAAAAAGTCAATGCCTTTGTTAGCAGAGGTATTTACGGATATGGCACCAATACAAGTGAAGGTGGAGAAAAACAGTGTTCTGCCGGCATTCCAAGCGGAATATGTCACACATTTTAAAAGTCCCGATGTTCAATTTTGCCACAAATATA